CAAATAAGTAGCTTGTTAGCTGCCATTTTAATCTAAGATTCTTTTTTCTGTCAGATTTCTCACCAATTTCTCTCATTTGCTAGATCTGGTTATTGGCACTCTGTGAAGCAAAATGTGTAATCTTTTGGCATCTGAACATTTGACAGCAATCTTCTATGTATTTCAGGACAACAAAGTTCAAAGCAAGTTATACCAAAGATAACCAAGTTATACCCTTGGTTACAAATTACAAATTCTTATTTTATTTGTTCTTCTCAACCTGAAACCAGGGCAAAAATCTCTCTTGGTGAAACACCAAGAGACATTTTAATTGAAAAGACAAATATACCCTGGTAGTTAAAAAGTATTAATTAATTTCTCCTGAAATATTTCAGTTTTAAAAAATCGGTGCCTTTTTCCATAGTACTATTGGCACATATGTCCTTTTTTCCCATCAAACAAACAGGAAGTTTACATATACTCAGTATATGTAAGTACAGGAAGGAGCAAAAACAATCAAGAAATATATCTAGCTGTCAGGGAAACAAAGGTTTTGGTTGTTTTATTCCTTTTAAGTTTGAAATATAACTCTTGTGGGGGTCTCAAGTAAATAAGTAATTTAAAGGAAAGTAGCAGGTGAAGAGCCATAGCTCAGTGACAGAACACATGCTTTGTATATAAAATATCCTCTGTCCAGTCCCTGACACCTCCAGGAAAAAAGACCTGTTTGAAACCACGAGGAGCTGCCTCTAGCTAGTGCAGACAAAATGAATGGACCAATAATGTAGTGATGTAGCTTCCTAAGCAGGCACAGGAGACAGCACTTTTCGGGCAAAGTTAAGGCTAGAAAACATCAGAGATCCATTGGATATGTTCTTATCTATCACTTCCTTCTGATAATTTGTACATCTTGTTTTTCATGTCACCACCATTTTAATTTTCTTCCAAACATTGTTACTACTTAAACATCTATATGTTCAATGGAGAGGCAACAGTATTAAGTCCACTGATCTTATTCTGCTACTTCATGTGTCCACTATGTCATTCCCTACTCCTGCACATTCAGTAGACGCTAAAAATGTTTCCTAACCAAGTAACTTAAGGTCTGTACAAGTATCTAGAAATCATGGTTTCTAGAGCTGACGGTTTCTGATCTTATATTCAGCCTTTTCTCACTTGCTGAATACATGGAAGTCAAGCTAAGGCCAATGGACACCGTCCTACTCTATCTCCACATGTGCAATCACCACAAGATGGCAAGATGATAATGTGAAAGTAGGGTTCCAGTCCAATATGCAGATCAATCTTATGATTGTCTTCTTGGGCAGAGCTGCAGCCAAAAGGAACCTTGACTTTCCTAGTGCTTTGGAATAAGAGCACTGCTGATGCAGAAAGTTGGATTCTGCAGGTTGTCATTCACAAGCAGACTCCTTACAATTATTATATTTACTCATTAGCAGTTTAAGAAGTGTATGTCTACCATGCAATCAGTTCAAAATCGAGTTATTGAATTCAAATGTTCAAGAGTAGTATAACTCTGAGTACCAGAGGCTGGAGACAAACAGGGCTATCACCATGATAACTTGCTTGGAAATTCCCCAGGGAATTTGACTAGCCAGTGTTGGAGATGGAAAACTGGACTAGATGGACTTCAGTTTTGAAGGCAGTTCTTAAAGATAATGGGTTTTTGCCGTTGTTCATGCTATCAAGTTAACTCCTACTCATGGCAATGGTAGCAATAAATGCTGTCCAAAATTCCCTTGATAGGCCTAGTTACCTCTTGTAAACTCAAGGCTGTGATTCCTTTATGGAATCAATCCACCTCATATTTGGTCTCCCTCTCCCTCTTCTTCTGTCTTCAGCTTTCTGTAGCATTATTTTTATCTTCATAAAAATTTGCATGCTAGTAAGGCATGGTTTACTTGGAGTACTGAAAGACTTCCCAGTTTGTTTGTTTGTTTGTTTGTTTATTTATTTATTTATTAAAACATTTTTATGCTGCCCCATTCGCCCAAGCCTCGGGGCGGCTTACAAAACTGTAGGCTTACAGTTAACCCTACGTTGGTATTGAAATGGTGTGCCTGGGAGTATTTAGGAATTGGGAAGATGGACAAGAAATGGCAGAAAAGGTATAGAGGTTGTGCAGGTGTATATGTGAAGTTTGTTAGTTTCATAGGGCATAGAAAACTCAAAAAGGACAAAAAAGAAGGCATCTGAATACTGTACTATATTATGAAATGGTGTGGATTCTGCGCGACTCAAGCCAGAGGCTTTGCAGAGAAGGGGATCACTCTCCTATATTATCTAATTATTGAAGAAGGAGAAGAAGAAAGGACATAATAATAATTGAGAAATGTTTTACTTGGTAAGTGGTTCTCAGGGGTTTAGTTGACTCCTGTGTGGTCTTTCCACTGGCAAGTCAACATATTTTATTCAAGCAGGCCTTTGGAAGGTAAACTGATCTGTTTGCTGTTTTATTCTGTTACTTTTTAATTATGATTTAAATTTATTTTATGATAGTTTTAACCACATTCCTAATATAAGTTTTTAGTTCTTATAAGATTCTAATATCTTGTGTCTTGTTAAAGGGGGATTGTCATCTATGGCAGTTAGCAGGAACACTTGGGATATCCACCTGAGGAAAATGAGTATGGCATCTTTCAGTAGCAGAATAAGATGTTAATTAAATTATGTTCAGCTTGTCATCTTCCCTACTGATGCTGCAAAGTCTTACTTGGGTTGAAGTTCTTTCAGCAGAGAGGCCTATTTGTAGGAGAGGCAGTAGATTATATCTTCAGACTAAACTGTTTAGAAATGCAAAGTAAGCAGTGTTGCAAGGCTTATCCTTGTTTGAAGTTAAAATGTTTTTGGTAGGAATGTTTAGCTGTATTTTTTTTAGGAAGGAAGAAAATAAACCTTTACATAAACAGCAATCACTTTCAGTTGTTTCATGTTATTACGACAGAAGTATTTGTGTAGTTTTGTTCGACTTAAAATGATTACATGTTAATTAGCTTGATACAATGTTAGCTGAAGTATTAACAATTTCTGAAGCTGCTAATAGTGATTTTAGGGAATGAGCCAGTTCAAACTACACCATTTTCAGATTTGTGAGTTAAGAAGTTGAAATAAATGGTATTCCCATTGAGATGAATGGTATTCAAATAAGCTTAATGTTTTGGCTTTATTGTGTTTAGAATTACATGCAAGTCTGAATTACTACTAGCTCATCACTGATACCATCTATTTATATTTATTGAATGGGAATATATAAAATTATACATAGGGTGAATGAGTGGATATGAAATCCCCAGCCCGCCACTTCCATAGTATTGGAAAATTGGCTCTTAAACTATGGACCACGTGATGTAGTGATAGCCACCTAATTGGATAGGATTTAAAGACAGTGATACAAATTCATGGAGGATAATGCATTAGTTAATTAAGTTATGAACACTGGATTGTTTTAACTGGTTGTTATTATGTGCAAATCCAGAACCACAGGTTATTCATAAATTATTTCACCTGGCTGCAGAAGTGGTGGACAAGTGCTGTAAAAACAAAATAGCCATTCTACATGTTAGTATTACAGTACCACATAGGCATTGGGTTACAGGGGAATAGAGGAAAGTATCAAGCAACACAGCAACTAGGAAAACTGGAAAAAAAACCCTGCACATTGCACAATTCTCTGGCAGACAAATCGGATAAATGCTGGGTAAGGCAAGAACCCATACTCTGGGTTGTCACTATGTGTAAATGAGGTTACAAAGACAGAGAGAGATGGATAAACTCAGTTGACTTCATTTCTTGAATCTACTTGGGGAATGACATGAGTGCATGTACTTCAAACGTTACCACTGTCTGCAGTCCAGTTACGATTAGAATACTGCATTGTTTAAATACTAGACAGTGCTAGGAAACAAAGTTGAAGTTCAAGGAAAAGAAGAGTGGAGGCATTGATGAGGAAGGAAGTATGTTGGCAGCTTGGCTGAATGGAAGTGGTTGAGCACATGAGTTGAATTCAGGTTTAGTCCTTGCATCTTCAGGTCGGGCTGGGAAAGATCTATGCCTGACACCCTTGAAAAACCCTGCCAGATCAATTGTCTGAGTTGTCATCATACCAAATCATACCTATATTCATATGAGTTTTTCTCAAATTAATGGGCAACACACATAGTTCAGAACAGAGGAGATAACAGAGCCCTATAACTTGCCAAGTTCTCTTGCCAGTGTTAGAATCCCTATTAAACTTGTTTGTTTTTGAAGGTCCTCCACAAGCTGATATAAACAAGCCACTTTCCTGGGTTTATTTGGGAATCTGTTCTGAAAAGGGTACCTCATAATTCCTAGACTCCTGAGTACCTTCAGCTCATTTCTTTATCAGCTCATTTCAAACCTGCTGCCACATTTGCCTCAGAGGGAAAGAGTCAAGAGCACAGAGAAGACCACTAATGATAACCCATACACTTTCCCAGGCATGTCACCTTTTTAACTACCATTTCATTGAAATTGCTGTGGTGCTTCAGTTTGAACAGCAGCATAGTCCAGCCAAAACAGAATTCCTATCAGAGTTCTGTGAAGCATCAAAGATAGAAAATTACAAAACAAGAAATGTCCCTAACTTCATTGGTGTTTTCCCTATTTAACCTTGAATGTGTTTCCAAGCTGGCCCTTTGTCTTCATCAAATGCTCCCAACACCCCAGCTGCAGTTTGAAATGCCTCTTTTTTTTTTTTTTTAAGAGGGCCAGTGGTACAGACAGATTCCTTAAGGAACTTTTCAATGACATTGAAAACTACATCAGTGAAAGGCAATCTAGCAGATTTAAACAAGAACAAAATGTGCTTTTCCAGAATGTTACTTTTATGGGGTTTTTTGCCACTGCTCATATTTCAGTCTTCATGTGTACACTGAGTAAAATCTTTGTTCATTCACCACTTTGTGTTTGCTGTAGTGAATGTTGTGTGCCAACATATTTAATCCTAAATCTCTTATCATCCCTTTAAATTTGTTTTCCAGACCATGGGGAATTCATATGCAGGGCAACTTAAATCAGCCCGTTTTGAAGAAGCCCTTCACAACTCAATTGAGGCCTCTCTAAGATGTAATAGTGTTGTACCTCGGCCCATCTTTTCCCAGCTTTATCTTGATTCTGATCAGCCACCAGTTTCGCCGGAAGGTAACCAAGCAAGTATGGCATATTTTAATTGCCCTTCTTATGTCAAACAAAGTGTTTGTGTACTTTAAAAAAAAATGTATTTCCGCTATCACTTACATGCAGGTATGTTGTCTTTGTATAATGTACTCTAGATGTGAAACCAAAAGTGGAAGAACTGGACAAAGAATTGATGCATTGTTACACCCAGAATGGAAGCTTGGATTTTTCTTCTAGCCAAACTACTAATGAAATGGAGGAAGATGAGGACGAGGAGGATATGTCTGATTCCAATAGTCCACCAATCCCGTACGCACAAAAACCTGCCCCAGAAGGGTCTTGCACTACTGATGGTTGGTTAACACCTTCCTTAACTAAAATTTAACTTCAGTTAAACTATTCCTTGTAAAAACATATATATATATATATATATATGACTTAGAATTGATACATGCTTTTGTTAACATTTTAACAATTTCTAGAAGGGTAACCCTTTTAGTCTGTTGCAGAAAAACTCATAAATAATCTTATTACACCTTAAAGATTAACAATGCAATCCTATAGTTGTCTACTCAGCAGTAAATTTCACTGAATTGAATTGTCCCCCCTCCCAAATAACTTGGTATAGGATATAAGCCTTTCATAATAATTTTGTTACTCTTCATGGTTAGCAACACCTTTGGTCTGTTAACGTACAAGACTGTGTGATCCTGTGCTTAGTTATACAGTTATAACCTTCATTCAGTCTGAGTGTCATCTGCTTGCATGTAAACTGGAGGTAAGATTGCAGTGTAAATCTGTCTACAATTTAAAGTTGGAAATAACATTAGAAACAGCTCGAAATGTTGTATTCCTTGAGGAAATTTTAGAAAGTGTGTAGGATAGAATCCAAAGTCTTATGTAAATAGTATTTTTTCCAGTCAGCCCCAATTGGTAGGATTTTACATTGGGGATTGTACACTAGGTATGCAAAGTTTTTCTTTATCCATATTAATTTTAGAAACAGATTCTACTGTTTTTAATAATGCAAAGCTAGTGAGGCAAAACATTTCTTTAAACTGCTCTAGACTATGGATAGTCCTATATATGTTGCAGTTGATAGGATTTAGAGACCAGTGACATCTGGGCAGCCACAGTTCCTCCACTCATGCATGAAACCTTGTTTCAAACTTTAGGAAGCAACCTCCGAAGTAAAACTGAAGCATTCAAGTGTATGAGGTGACAGAGAAAATGAAAGACGATAGTATATGTTCAGTCTAACAGTATTTGGGTTAAAGTTTTTCTTTAAAACAAAGTAACAACATTATTTAATAGACTACATTGCCTGCATTGTTGGATGTACCAGAGAGTGAACGTTTTCTACAAGATGTAGGAAACAACAGTAATTTCAAAGCTTCTACAGGCATTTTCATTCAGGCCTCAAAGAAGTCTTATAAAGGAGAGAACAAACAGTGATTAATCAAAAAAGATATTATGTGAACAGGAATCAGAATTATTAATATGAGCTGATGACTGGCAGGTTTTTGTTTTGCTTTTTAAGACAGAATAACATTTTTCTTTCTATGAAATGTTCTGGGTGGCACTGACCTTTGTGTCCTCCTTCTGCCACAGAACACTAAGTTATCTTCTGTAATAAATATAGTACCCTCCAGATATTTTCAACTGCAACTTTCAGGTTGGGAAGACTGCTACATGCACTAACCTGGAGACTTGTTTAGGATTGTGCTATAAATCACATTAGTTATGTTGTGATTACTGGTGTAAGCTACTGCAAGGCCTTTGAAGAAGTTCCTAAATAAATTACCTGATTCTGAATAAATAGTTTTCTATGTTAGCCATGGTCCAGATAGTATCTTATAGTCCAAGAATGGGTCCATACTGAAATGCAATAATGGACCATGTGATTTTGACCTATGACTTTACGTGCCTGCCAAAGTGGCTTCATTATGTGTGTTCAGGTATTACCTGGAACTTATGTGTATCTTCCTAAGTATCCAGCATGTACCATCAATTGGCCTTTCTCTTTTTCCTATTTTCTTGTTGAGTCTTGAGATTCTTAACATTGGATCCTTTCAGGAAATTATGATTTTGACTTGTATTTTAACAGTTAATAGATAATGAATAACAATGACAGTTAGGCATATTAAACCTTAAAATTAATACTTCTGAAAGTTTTCAGCAGCTAAACTTTGCACTCATCCTTTTCTCTCTTGTGCTCTCACTGGAAGTACAACTAATGTTTTTTAGATTAAAAAATGTTCTGTTTATTACTATTCCGCAAACAAGTGACAAAACTAATTAATTTTTATTTAAGATTTACTCATAAAAGTTATTGTAATACTTTAACTGCTGGAGAAATTAACTTAAATTCAAAATTAATATTAAAGTTAGAAAATGCTTTGAGAGAAATAGGATACAATAGTAATGATAAAAACATATTGACTGTTCTTACATTATGCTCGGAAAAGGATGTGAAAGTAGTTTTTTGAAAATACAGGTATGGAAATATGGGGGCAGGGGTTTGTTCAGATTTCTGGTTTTCATCCTGCAGCATCTTTGTTCAATTTCCATGGCCCTTGTAGTTAACAGTGCAATGGTTAGTGTGCTTCACTTTTGGAATATGTGTGAAGCACAGGTTACACTAGTCTTGCTGCTTGGTTTTAAGCTATTCATTTTTTTGCACTAGAAGAAATCAAACCTTAATTTCAGAGGCAATTAGGCAGCCAGGTACTTAATACCTGATCAGTTGCTGTGAAGTTACAAGTGGAAGTGACTGTGAACTGTGATGTAAATCTTGATAGGTAATTTCTTATGCAGATTCCTTATACTAAAGCAGCACAATAACAGGTCTGTACCCCACAAAGGAGATGTTAATTGTTACTGTTAAGAAAGGAGCAGCAGGATGGAGAGAGAGAGAGAGAGAGAGAGAGTCTTTTCTTTACACAACGTCAGTGCTTTTGTTTGTATTTTCACAGCTGTGTTGGCCAAACTGTTTTGTTTTAAGGAGTCCATTCTGCGTTTTTAAGTGAGAGATGGTTGTAGAATACAGATGCACTTGGTTGGCCTAAAAAACCTTGACATTTTGTGGGAGGACAGATGTATCTTACTGACTTTTAAACATATTTTGCAAGGGTTTTATCATTTTGCAAACCACTGGGTACTTTTAGAATGTCATTCAGTTGGTCATAATTAGCATCTGCCCCCATTGCAGCTTTGTTTGTTTATGAAATCAACTATTTTATAATATTTTACTGATCTCTAAAACTTTTTATCATAGTTTGGTAATTATAGTTTGAAAATTATAGTTACATTTGCAAAACACTTTGTGGATGAGTATTTGTACTCTTAAAGGATTTTAGTTCTCTACATTGAAGCCAAGTGTAGCATCTTAAAGTAAGATATTTGGACCTTTGAAACATGAAACATGCCATTTCATTAAGGATCACTTGAAAGCATTTATATCTTTGGTCTACACAAATTAAATGGGATAAGGCAGTACTCTATCTGTTGGAAACTGTTAAAAATAGAACTATAAACTCCACACTTCTTCGCCAAAGAAATGCTTCTTTGTGCAGTTACATATATATAAGTAGTTTCTGGCATCCACTTATATTGGACAAAGGGTAGTAAACATCTGCTGTAGATTACACTACTACCATTCCAGAGAAAGTTTGAAGCCTGATTCAAATCTCTCTGTCTTAAATTAGCACCCACAAACTTGTCCCATAAATGTCAATATGTCTAAAGCATGACTGATGTTTTCTAAATCAGAGCCAGTATTTCTGTAACAGATGTGTCAGGTATTAGAGAGTATCTAATTATATTTTCATATAGTTTAACTTTATGTAATTAAAACTATGTACAGTTAAAACTATCTAAAGAAGCTGCTTTGTCTAGATCTGAAACTATATGCTATATATATATATATATATATATATATGGATAGACCATCCCAAGACTTTAGTAGATAGCATATAAAAGCTTTAAATAAATAAATAATAATTTGAGCTATAAAAGCAAAGAATGCTATAGTGGTCCTTGAGAAAATAAAAAACCATGGTTAGAAAATACTTTTATTAGCGCCAACATATATTTTATATTATTTTGATTGGATCTAAATAATAAGAGTGTTGCCTTAACTGTGGATTTTGATGCAGTTTGAATTATTCTTGTTAAAACCCCTGGAATATGTTGATTCAGTTTTGAAAAGCAACAGGTACTTAAACTCCAAATAAAGATTTGTAGCACCAAAGCACTGGAAATAGAGGCTAATGGATGGCTCCTGGCATTACTATCTGCATTTGTTTGGAAGAAAATGCAGGATTTTCTACTTCAGAGAAGTTGATTTGCATCCCTTAATTATCTCTTGCTTTGAGCTAACACTGAAATCCCTGAACCAAAATGTTAAATTGTCTTTACTGAGACAATGGTGGAAGTGCAAACAAACTTTTGAGTTCCTCAGGAAGATACATTGTACTTTGCATTAAAACAACAACAGCTAATGGCTAATGTCAACTAAAACAACCAGGTTGCCCAGCAAAAGAATTGTTCAAAATCTAACTCTTAATTAAATGCTGTGCCTTTGATATTCTCTAAGTTTAAGTTGATTCCAAAGACCAGACTTAAACCTCAATTGCAGATAACAACATAAATAAAAAGATAATGAATTAAAAGTTTAAATGAATATGCACAAGCCACACTTTGATCCTTTTAACAATGCCTTGTTTTAAACAAATAAATAACTTTAGAATAATTTTTTTACTCCTTTCAATTTCTTCCTCCCTTATCTAAGCAAATGTCCTTACTAAGCAAGGGACCTATTCTAAGGATGTTGCAATGTATTGCAATAAATTCTTAACTGTGCTTAATTTACGACCAACAGTTTCAAATCTTACACTTTTCTCTTGTCTTAAGATAATAAGGGGGTGTAAGATTTATAAGGCAAAGGAATATCAGCTTCTTACTCCAAGAAAGTATTTAATACAAGCTTGGATAAAGGAGAAAGATGGAAATAGATCAGCTTCATCTTCTGGCCAGGAAGATGAAAAGCTGCCTTTAACTTTATACCATCCATATTAGTAACTGCAACATTATTGTTTTTATACATTATAACAATAAATTTGGTGATACGCTTCCCAAAAACAACTTGCAATTTTTCATTGTATGTGACACTTGAACTTGTGGGGAAAGCAGAAAATATGTACATATAATAAATGTAAAGTATGAAGATAGAATACATTTTTAAACTCTAGCATCACTGCAGTTCATACAAGTATGCAATAGATGGTTTGGGTACTTTTGTTTTTGTATTGGTGCCAATAATGTTCCCAATTGGAATATGCGAGCCATTAAGGCCATTTCTCAAATTCCCTTAATCTTCCATTTTTGTATTGATAGAACTTCTTATACATGGATCTAGATATGCTGTGCTCAAAAGTTAGAATTCACTCCTTTCTTCCTACCACAGACATACTGTGGAATAATGATGAGAGTAATTGAGACCTCCATGCTGCTTCCTTATCTCTTCTGGTATTTGTTTCCTTTATCTGTCATCTCTGCTGCCTCTGGCCATGGCCATGCTCTTATATACACCCAGAGGCAGCACTGGAGAGTGGCTTCCTAGAGCGGAAACCCTGAATCTTAAATTTGGAGCCCTAAATCCCTGGGAGGCCAACTGCCTCACTACCCAGCTGTTCAGGGTGCTCGCTGAAATAAAGGTACAGGGGCTCTATACTGATCTCTGTTGCATCTGATCCTTCTGGGTTGGGTGGCTCAAAACTGAGCCCTGGATCTTTTCAGTACGTATCACTGGCCCTGTACATACCAAAGCAGTAATCACCAATGGTTATCTCTGTTGTAATGCTTGATCTCAGAAAACCTTGATCTCAGAAAACCTGGCACACTCAGAGTGTATGTTTAATATTATAACAACCACTTTTCACATTTATCTATCTGCCTATTTTATTACATTTTAAAGATATTTACTCTCAATTCATCAAAAGCTTCTTCAAAGCAGCCTACAAGTCATAAAAACCTAAAGCAATAAACACTATGAGCAAAATATGCATATACACACTAGGAATCTCAATTCCCTACTCTAAAGAGGCTTGGTTTTCCTTGGAAATGATGATAATTACAAAGGGAAAGTCCCATTATATGAGTGGAATTCTGCTCAGTAATCTTACATTTAGACTGGTGTCCTCTCTTTATGACTTGCTTTCCTTGACGACCATGTATCCGCACAGGCACAGACTGGACCAATCTTGTGTACAGGGAATGTCTCACATCATAGCCCACCTGTCACTGATGCAAAAGGGACCTTTTCCTCTAGGCATTCACCTTCTAAGGAGTAAGAAAGCTCCTGACCAAGATGGTGTGCCAAACTGATGTGCACTTTCCTAGTCCATGATTGAAACCTATATATTGTATAAATTCTGAGAAACATTTTCAGCATTGATTTTTTAAAGTAGGAGCACTTTTACATTGGTTTCCTTTTTCACTGGTTTCAAGAAACATGTGATTTTAATAGTAAAACCTGAGCATGACTGTCATTCCCCTTGTTAGTAAATTGTGTATCCCATGTGAGTGTGCGCTAGATACCAAAACCAGACCCAGGTTTTGTGTAGGTTCTGGTAGACCTGTGGTATGCAAAGAAAAAGAAACTTAAAAAAACTCCTTACAGCTTCCTAACCCCATCCGCACCCCTGGATGCAAAACCTGTCTACCCCTAGGGTTCAGAATGCCTGCTCCCCACATTTTCATTCTGAAATTCTACTCCCCCCTCCCCCAAAAATGAAATACATCTGAGTTGTCTGGTTTTCCTTTTTTTTTTTTTTTTTAACCTCACAGGGTGTGTAGGAAATTTTGGGATTAAAATGGTGGTGTGTGTGGGGGGCGGGGTAGGAAACACTCTAATTTGGAAGTGTCATGTTGCTGAACTGAAATGGGGACTTGCAGGAGAGTTGGGGAGACAAACATGATTTAAGCAAGCTTAGTTTGCCCCGAGGCAGCAGAAGGGGCACACACAGGTACCAACTTTTAGATGTTCAAGGCTCTGTTTACCTTTTCATCTAGGGCTTAAGCCTGCTTCTTGTTTCCCCTCTACCTGGGACCTAAACTGTGGGGTGGATTTGTATTTGGACCTGGATTCCCAGCATGCTTCTCACATAATCCTTTTGAATAGTGATAAGCTGGTGGCACTGTGCAGTTTCAAGGACTATGCTCTGTGTGTGTGTGTGTGTTCACACTTGTGTGTGTTGGAGCACAAGTGCCCTTGAATCAATCCCCCTTCTCCTGCCCAGGACACTTGTAACAGCAACTGATTAACAGGATTCCTTTCAGCTCTGGCAGAGAAGTTGTAATAGCTGTCCTGAGAATCAGTTTCATGAAGCAAAGTGTGCATGGATACAGGAGACTTTGTGTCGCTGACACTTTCTCCAGTGTTGTGGATTCCGATGCATTGGTCTACAGTCCCCATCATCCGGAGCTAGCATGAGGGTGTGATCCAACACATCTGGAAGGCAAGCTTACCGGATCAGGATGACTCAGCATGGAAGCAGTTTACACACTCAGATGAACATATGATTTATTTGCTCCTATGGTTCCTGATCCATCTAGTGATACATATGTGGAAGTCTGCCTCTGTGTACAAATCTACTTAGTTAAATTGAGAAGAAGTGTTGGGGACAGACAGAGAAAAGTTAAAACAAAGTCCTTCTGTCCACCCCTCCCCCATTCCCTTCTCTGTGAATTATTTTCACAGCTTCCCAACAAAATATACAATAGAAGTGCATACCACAATATATAACTGCTAACTCCTTTCATTGAAGCAGCATGCTATGCTAACTCTTTTTCATATGGCCTCAGCTGTTTTATATATTACTAATTTATCTAGTGCCCTTTGTCCATGGACTTTAGAGGGCTTGATGAAATATTGAACTAGGACTGGCAGTTGTTTCATGAGATCTGTGTATGGAGGTGGGGGGGGGTATTTGATATAGAATGAACTGTACTTTCCTTAGTTGGGAAAACCATTAAATTACTCATATGTGTTTCATTGTGTATCATTTCTTTTCAGGCTTTTGTCAAGCAGGCAAAGATTTGCGGTTAATATCACTGTGCATGGAACAGATCGATATCCCAGCAGGCTTCCTGTTGGTGGGAGCCAAGTCTCCAAACCTTCCTGAGCACATCCTAGTCTGTGCTGTTGACAAGAGATTTTTGCCAGATGACCATGGAAAAAATGCACTTTTAGGTAAATGGGTTTTCATTAATTATCCCTCATGCTGTGCCAAACTTACCATGCTCAGAGTTTGAGTTCATGTTCTGTTAGGCAGGCCAGCCTTCCCCAACCCAGTGCCCTCCAGAGGCATTCTACTGCAGTTTCTAGTTTGAATTCATTTCTGACTAGAGTTCAAATCCAAGGCCAGAGAACACCGGATTAGGGAAAGTTGTGCTGGGACAATTCAGCACACAGATTTCTCACCATAATAGGCTGAACATATTTTAAAAACATTCTCTAACCAAAGCCTGAATCCTGTCTTTCAGTTTTACTATCATTGCAATCACAGGTATCCAGAGCCACACAGAGAGTGAATGGGATCTGGGGCAAATGTTGGCCTCTACTGCGACCTGTACATGGTTCGGCTGAGGTAGAGGCCAGTGCTAGGAGGGAGTGTTTCATAGGGGCACTTTGCTTTGGCTGTTCTCCCTTCTAAGCAGAGAGCCTGTGTTGGACTGAGGTCTTCTTATCTTGCACCTGTTCATCTAGGAGATTCATTGGGTGACTTTGGGCCAATCATTCACTGTCAGTCTAACCCACCTCACAAGATTGTTGTGAGAATAACATGGAGTGGAGGAGGGTTGTGTAAGGATTTCCTCACAAGAGGAAAGGAAGTGGGATATACTTATAATAGAAGAAGTAGCTGCTGCCACTGTCACAGCTGCTGTTCTCCTCCCCAGAATTTTCAAATTGTGAAAACTTGAGATAGATACCTATTAGCGGCATTCTTATATTTCATACTTGCAAGTAAGTTCCACTGAATTCAGTGTCTCACCCTTCCATAGAATTCTCTGCTTTTTTCATTGATCAATGGCCTTTTGTTTACAAGAGGATCCAGTAGCTATTTACTATTCATCTAGGGAAAATTAGCCATTACCACTGTAAGTGCTTCATCTCAATACTTCAGAATTCTTCACCCAGCTAGAAATATCACTTGATAACGACAATGAAGGTGAAAGTAACTTAATTGTACTCAGTGACCCAGGTCCCATGAGCTACTAGGGCTGCATGCAAGCAAGTTATCTGCTGCTCACTTGCTTTGTGTTTCCACTTTGATTTAGCAAACAACCCAGGAATGCTCTGTCCCTGATTTTCTTATTGTGATTCCCTTGCCCAGCAGCCTTGCTTGAGGTGAAACAAGCCAGTCTTAATCCAACAACAACCATGGATAAACATTCTGGATTGTATCTCCCTCAGCATCCTAGAGTTCCTGTTCAGAACATTGCAGCAAACAACTGGATTCAAGTCGGTTGTTATGTGTGAAGCAGGTTCAGGGTCTCTGGCCCTTTGTGACAGTACATAGCGGTTCAGTTTTTCCTATAGCCCATACAAAGAGCTAGTTCAGGCTTTGATTAATCTCTGCACAGGCACTCAGAAAGGGTAGCCAGGAAGAGCCACTTCTTAGCAGCCATGGTTTTTCCTTGTTGGGACAGAAGGTGAACTAGAGCCGGTCCCCCCCCCCCTTCTTGAATACCCCACATGAGTTTGGTCAAATGTATTGAACACTATCTTGGCAAAGTACTATGTACTCCCATGATTGATTTTTCCTAGCCTTAATGGCAAAGGCATGCAGTTTATATAGTACTCTTTTTTCTGGCAGTGAGAAGGGGTTTGGGTCTCCAGGTGCAGTTCAGAATTATCAGCTGCAACTATTGTTCCTTTTGTAGCTACTGTTTCTTTTGTAGAGCCAAAGTTGATTACCTGCTATGGCTGGCTCACATGTCACCAGGATTGATCTGTGGAATGCAAGGATGACTTGAATGGTTAACACAATTGTTCCTGATCACCTAGGAACAAAACTCCTAGCAAATGCAGTCAAATGCTGGTGTTTATCTATCTACAGTTACGGATATTCAGGAGCAATGAAGGCAGCAAAGAAACAATAACTCACTGCTTCTGATAAATCCTCTGTGTTACCCAGTGGAGCTTTTCAGGGTTGTCTAGGGCCTATTACATATCGGCCCTAAGGACAGTATGGATCCATGCAAGCCCTGCAATATTTCTGTTTCTATGCACTCAGCAGGAGAAATTCCTTGTATCAGCTAGGACTTAGACTCCCTAGCAGCAGGTGAATTGGGTGTCACAGCAGGAATCAGGTGAGATATCCAGGACACAGGTTTGTTCTGGTTTCTAGGATGAGTTTAACTTGGTACAGCTTGAGGATGTTGTCAAAGTGTTTACACAGGTTTGTGCAACCACTTCTGTATTGGATTGTTGCCTCTTTTTGCTTATAAAACTGGCAGGGAGGGACTGTTAGCAGGGTAGGGAGTTTACTCCTTGCAAGAAACATTTTTCTTAGGTGAGACTATTTCTGAAGAAACACTTCCTGGACTCAGAAAACCTTAATAATTTTAAGATTTAAAATGAGTTGCCAAGCAGCTTCAAATGCTCTTGATGAGATTGATTATCTAGATCCATTAAAGATAGACCTTAGCATGAAGACAGCCTTGGGTTTCCTGCATGATTATTCCCCTTAATAATTCAGCTTTTGATATCACTGAATGTAGTATCCTTCTGGATGATTTGTCTTCGTTGGGAATGGGTAGCACTGCATTGAAGTAGTTGCTTGCATGGTTGGGTCCAGAATGTGGTATGTGGAGAACATTGCTCAGCCTAATGGATTCTCCAGTAAGGTTCCATCAAGGTCAGTTTTGTCCTTCATGTTATTCAGCATCTGCATGGAACTGCTGAGTGAGGTCATCCAGAGTTGTAGACTGTATTTTAGACTGCTCTGCTTCTCATTTTCATCATCAATAGGTGAGGCTGTGGATATGCTGGTTTGGTATATGGCTGCAAAAGTGAACTGGATATGGGCTAATAAACTGAAACAGAGTCTAGGCAAGATTGAGATACTTTTAGTGGGTGTTCCTCTTACCAGATTCTTTTTTAAAATAGGATTATCTCCATCTGAAGGACCGTGTCTGTAGTTTGGAGGTTCTTCTGGAGCCATTGTTGTCACATGAGGCTCAGTGGCACAGAGTGCCTTCTGCCAATTTGAGCTGGTTGCCTAGCTATGCCTCTGCTTGGGCAGGGATAACCTGTCTTTCAGGCTCTGGTAACTTCCAAGTTAGATTACTGCAATGCATTCTACATGCGGAATTTGCTGGTCAGATTGCTGACAGGCACAACAAACACTGACAGAGAATGCTGATTCTGGCCTGCTTATGGAGGCTGCCTGTATGCTTCTGAACGAGATTCAAGGTGCTGGTTTTGAATATAAAGGTTTACACAGGTCTGGACAGCAACACCTGATGGAGCACCTCTCCCCATATGGTCCTACTGATTTATTATGCTTATAATTTAAGGATGCCCATCCAGTACTTCCTTTAAAGGACACTTGGAATGCAGCAACAAGGGAGAGGGCCTTTGCAGTGGTGCCCCGTTATAGAATTGTCTCACTAGCATGTGCCACTATTGTTATCCTTCTAGGGCCAGCTTACAGTCTTCCTGTACTCTCAGGCATTTGGCACCATATGATCAATTAGTAATCAGGCTCTGGATTTTCTTAGTGTTGTTTAAAATTGTGTGTGTGTGTGTGTGTGTAAAAGTAACAGTTTTTAATACTATGAATAAAGTTGTAGTGTTAAGTTTTTAAAAATCTTTGTAAACTGTCCAGAGTGCTTCACTATTGGGTGGTAACGAAATGATGAATTATTCAACTTGCCTAGGGATAAGCTTGGAAATCCCACAATCCTACATTCACTCCTGGTTGTGCCTCAACTCTTTCCTGTCCTGTAAGCTGTTACGGTGAGACACTCCATGTCCCACATTTTGAGGAAAGAAAGTAAAATGTCCAAGGAACTTTATAAGATAAATGTTCTTCTTTGAGTAATATGTAGCTAGTGATGAACCTTTCTGCTAAGTCTGTTTACACACATTTCTGCTTTTCTTCTGCCTTCAAATCCTTTCTGTGCTAGTTCCATGCAGAAATTACATTTTTACAGAAATAAATCTGTACTGATGTTGTCATATATTTATAATATGCAATTGCGTGCATTTTTCAAATGCTCTGCATTTTGTCTATATCTGTCCATTAATTAATTGTGCACATTTGTTAAAATATGCAGATATGCATTTAATTCAGAAATGATTCAGAATTTTTTTTCCGATTTTACAGAATACATTGCAAGTCTGGAAATGTATGGATTTCTAAATGCACTGTTCTAGGTACATGTACCAAGTGATATGAATGGAAAGGATTCATTAAAAATTCTGACAGATGGGATTCTTCACAAATCCCTACTTATAGCAGGACTGAGCACCCATTGGTCCCTTCAGTATTGGTCCCTGTGGGATTTTAGAAACTTGAGAACTTTTTGTTATAGGTTGGCAATAAATATAATTAAAAGAAACAAACAGGGTTATATTTTGCAAAATACATTAACCATAGCCATCATGTATAGCTTGCCCCCTGCCAGTGTACTGAACCTAAATGTGAAAGGTTACTTAGACAGCTAATACACCAAGTTATCTAGAAAGTCAAAACACCCCTGCAGTTCACAATGAATTTCTTACACACATCTTCCTGACTGTCATTTTTCTGTCATCATCCCGAACCTGCTTTGAAATGGATGGGAGAGTTACAGTGGGTAGCCACCTTAAAAACCAGTTTGATCCTCTGGGCCCTTTTCCTTTTATGTTTAGAAGGTATTACAATGCACTTTGGAATGAAGATCTTTTATCTTTTCAGTGGTGCCAAGAACTGTGCCTGCAATATTTACTTATGTATGCCATATCAGAAACCCCTGAAAGGGAAAAAGTCTGCTATGCCAATAGGGATTTCTTCTTCCATGAGGGAATTCTTTGTACTGGAAAGAATATTTGTTCCTTTCCTGCTCTCATGCCTTGTTACCACTTTAAATTCTTTTCCCACAAAAAGCAGAATTGACATCACTGGAAATGAAAGAACTAAGTCAGCATTATTAAAGAAATGAGAACATTTGGTAGTTTATAGAAATATAAGCCTTCCATCTATTCCAACACTAGCAGGGAAAGGTGCATTTGTGTAACAATATTGAGCATAATAATTGAGGCACTTAATTTTCCTAACACTGGGGTGGCTTTGGCAATTTTGAAAGTCTACTGTTGTTTGCAACACTGCCTTAGAATGGAATAGGGGATGCTGGAAACAAAGAATTTTTTTCTGTTGGGGAGGATTATTCCAGTGTGGCCACTATGGCAAAAAGTGGTGGTTACAGATGTGGCTTTTAACTTTACCCAGTATGCAATGAAGGCAAAGAAAAATTTACATCCAAACAGTCTTTTTCATTAATGCGTTTCAAGATTCCCTTCATCAGCTTTGTAATTTGGAGCCTGACCAGGATGGAATAAATACTACCAATAACCTAGAGAGGTTCCCCTGAATGGACATGTTGTTTCAGTTTATTTTTGATCACTACTTATCCAATCTATATATTCTAGCCAGAACATGGGCACATCCTCTGGTTCAAGTCCATTTTCAAGTTTGCAGTGTGATTCTCAGACCAGAAAAAATGTGTTCAACCGTATTGCCTACACTTGAAAGATGCACACAAATGCACTTAAATCAATGAGAGAAGAATTTTTACCTTTCAGAGATGTGCAAAATAGATGCTTATTTAAGGGAAAATAAGGGAAAATAATAATACATGCACATTTTCATGTGAGAATAAAAAATGAAGCCTGCAATCAAGTTGGCACAAGCTTTAAGATTGGATTTGGAAAACTTCATCATGTTCAAGTTTTGCTGGTTCACACATCCCTAGTTCTGGGAAGACTCTATATGTCTGGATCAAGAGGCCTGCATTTGAGCACTGGCCCAAAGTTTCCCCATATCTGCTCTAGAATGTACAAGAATTGATGGAATCACAATCGGTGATATCTGGGGAATAACAGTGCAATGTCTTTATTCTCCTTTGCCCTTCAAACAATCTGTATACAACTGGGAATATATTAGCAAACAAAGTAGATGTGAAGTATCCAGTACATCAAATTTTATAGAATTAAAGTTAACAAGTAGCAATGAAATATTCTGCTTGATAACATAGTTTGGGAAGAATATGAATCTGTATTTCTCCTCCCCCAACCCCCTGGCAGGTTTTTCTGGAAACTGTATAGGCTGTGGAGAAAGAGGATTTCGCTATTTTACTGAATTTTCCAACCACATTAACCTGAAACTCGCAACTCAGCCAAAGAAGCAGAAGCACTTAAAGTACTACCTAGTAAGAAGCTCCCAAGGTGTGCTGTCAAAGGGACCCCTTATATGCTGGAAAGGTAACAAGTATCCTGTTAGATATATATCTAGGTTTTTATTTTTAGACAATTTTCAATATAGCTGGATTAAGCAATAACTTGTTGCTTTTAACTTTTTAAAGGGAGATTTCTATGATGATAAGAAACATCAAACTGTTATTTTTAGGTAGTAGAAGCTGGCATGCATTTCATGTCAGTTATTGACAGACTGATTGGTTTCACTCGTCACAGCAAGGTGCTGTGGGTGTTGCAAATGAACTAGTGAGTAAATGTGCTAGTTCTTATCACTTGATTGCTCCATCAGCAGCTGGGTAGATTCAAACACACCAGGGGGAGAAACAGCTTAGAGTTAGAACCCATTTTTTGGCTTTTGACATAAAACTTTAATTCAGTCTGCCTTGTATTTGCATTGCAAAGCTGGCATAATATTCCTGGGTGTCATTCCAATGAGTGTTACCACTTCTATCCTTTTGTACCATATGTGACTTATGTAAAGCCTTATAGATCATAGCTATACCTGTGGGTTGCTCTAAGTTGCTTCCCTGTTGCAGTGTCCTGTGAGTTTGGCCAACTGTGAACAACTTATGGAAGTTGTTGTTTTGGAAGTGCTCTTGCTTCTGTTGCTACACATTTTTATCTCATGAGCTGGTAATAATAGCCATATTTGGTGTCAAGTTTCTTGGTATCAGGAAATAATATGTGCTTTCCTTGAAGTCAATCTTGAATGTTTCTCCTTGCAAAGCAGGATCATATTTGCTGAAGGGTATTAAAGAATTTATTTTGACAGAATTGCAGGAAATTTGCTTTTGAATGAACTCTGTTGTTTGATGAATATCCTTTAAAACATCCAAAGTTGTGGTGTGCTTCTAAACCTTCATAAACATGTTTAACACCTGTATGTTGAATTGTCTCACCATCAAGTCTGGCACTTTAATATGTACTGTAGCTGCTTCACTTGCAGAATGTAGAAGCAGGCAATCTTCTGCTGCTAGCCATTCTGCTAAACCTAGCTCTTCAGCATCTCCATCCATGACCCCTGAGAGTGGAACAGCTAATGGATACAAGCCAGGGTTCACTCAGACAGGTAGGAGCTGTGAGTAAATTGTGACTTAGACATAGTACTTATGAAATAGTGACTGCACTGCCACTTAGGCTTCAGACCAGATCGATTGGGCTTGGGGGTTAATCCAGGTGAATGTCCATCATACTTCCATTTTAGTCTGGCTTGTGAAGAAGATTTGTGCAAGCCCCATGGAATAAGAGCCTTTTCAGGTATTTTCCTATCACATTATTAGAATTGTGTGAGGGTGGTACAAGGCTTGCCTCTTCTCACTTTCCATGCATTGGGACATGTCTGTAACTACCTGTTTCCAAAACTGAAATCATGATAAATGTGTCCTTTTTACCTCTTTGTAGTGCCGAAGTCCAATAGTAAACTGCTGATATTTTTTGCCATGGCTGTTGAATTCAGCGGTGTGGTAAAGAAGGCAGGAATGCAGCCAGTGGTTGGGGGCAGACTTCCTACAAAGTACCCACCCCTGTGTTACAAAAAGGCTCAGAGTGGGGATCCTGCTCTACATACATAGGTGCTCCCCATGCAATCTAGCACCCTGTGCACGGAGTTTTTGCAGATAGAACAGGGTCCCTGCACTGGCTGATGGTGGATCCAGCAACATCCTTGATGGAGGGCAGCATAGCATATGTGGTATAACTTGCTTACTTTTCCAGAGTTTAAATTGTTCAGTGTTTGGATGAAACTGAAAAAAAGATCTCAGTAAAGAACTAGATGGCAAAAATTATTTTTAAATACATTGCTTCTTTTATTACAAATTGTTTGATAAATGCTTTCATTTAAACTGCCATTGATGTCTGACAGAGTGAGATATCCCTCTATAAGTACCTGAAAGGCTCTCACAAAGAGGAAGGTCAAGATCTCCTCTTGCTGATGCCAGAGAGTAGGACATGGAATAATCAAGTTGCAACAACATAGATTCAGGCTGGACAGCACGAAAAGCTTCCTCACTGTCAGAGCAATATGACAGTGGAATCAGCTGCCTAGAGAGGTGGTGGGCTCTCCCACACTAGAGACAGTCAAAACGAAACTGGACAGCCATCTGAGTGGGATGATGTAACTTGGTGTCCTGCAATAGCAGGGCGTTGGACCCCATGGCCTTCATGACCCCTTCCAACTCTACTATTCTGTGATTCTATGAGAGACACAGAAATAATGCAGAGGTTTTTAAAACTGTTGTTAAGAGACTGTAGAGCAGATTAAGTGGTTGCACTATCAAATTCTTCCCCACCCCCCTGACTATACTTAAGTGTTTGCTTGGTTAACCATGGTTAAGGCAGCATTTGCACTGATTCATAGTCAGTTGAATGCTTTGATAGACTAAATGAATGCACATGCATTTACCTCAATACCTATAATGCTATTTTATGTAGGTGATAAGATTGTGTTGTTGCTACTGTGGCTTTGCCTTAAAATTTAGAAGCTGTCAAGTTAAATTAATGTTTTATTGGTGAATCTTGGTGAACCATTCTCTAACATTTGAAAACTTCTACAGCAGCCTTTCTTTTTTTATAATAAGTTTTAACTGAGAAATTATACAAAAACAAAAAGAGAACTACAAACAAGATCCATGATCAAAAAACATCAAGCCCACTGGGTCAGCCCCCACACCTTTCTCTTTCCATCTATAATAACTAAAAAACAACATATTGAAATCTTTCTCTAGCCCATAATAAAAAAGATTCCCAAGTTTGATAGAAGTCAGTATCTTCTTTTTCCTTCCTTCAATGATAAATTCAGTCTATCCATTTCTGCACAATCCAGGATCTTTTAATCAATTCATCGGTGGGAAGTTCTTCATTTTTCCAGTGTTAAGCGAATACAAACCTCACCGCAGTGATTACATATAAAATCAGATGCATTTCTTATTTACTAATGTCCGAATATACTACCTAATGAAAAAGAAATTTCAGGTTTAAAAAACTAAGAATTTTTGTACCACTTCCTCTACCATATATAATAAAAAATACCCAATTTACGTTACATATCCAACATCCATTTGAAGTCTTTAAAAACATCTTGGCTAATCTATTTGGCGATGGCTACCACTATAACACATTTTATACAAGCTTTCTTTATACGAAATTGCTAATATTACCTTGATATTTCTCTCGCACAGCTTTTACCACATTTCTAGTTCAGTATTAAATCTAAGATTTTGTGCCCATATTATCATAGCTTCCTTAACCTATTCATCTTCCATTTTCCTAACAAGTAGAAGGTCTTTTAATCATTTCCTCATCTAGTTTAAGCATCACTTAGTCAAATACTATGAAGTCCTTATAAAAACCCCATGCTTTACGATTTTTAGCATATCTCTATTGTATCTACACCTTATTTCATCAAAAGATAACAACTCCCTATTCTTGTATTTCTTAGCTCAATTTCAATCAGTAAAATGGTGTTTTAGGTTTTTTTTTGGAGTCCTGTGGACTACTGCAGAAAATTGTTATCACCATAGAGAGGAAGTGAAGGGGCGGGGGCAAAGCCGTGGGATATTTGTTTTTTCCTCCTCTTTTCCACTTTATACTTGCTACTATTCAATAAATGTGGAGAGAGAGAGCACACATGCAAAACTTCTCTGTCCTTATGTAAAATCATATATGAAAACTATGAACATAGAGTTGCCTTGTAATACATTTTTAGCCCCATGGTAGACTGGAACCATGGTGCAGATCAGTCTTATACAACCTGGTGCCCTCCAGATGTGTTGGACTGCAAGTTTCATCATTCCTAGCCAGTATGGCCATAATGAGAATTGTCAGAAGAACACTTCTGGACTGTATCTTTGGCATGGATATTATCTTGAATAACATCTGTCAACAAGGTAGGACACACCTACCTATTAAAGGCCTCTACTTCAATAGTGACTTGATTGATCCACCTGTGAGTCATTCTGAAAGATGGAAGCACCTTTCCAATTTCCTTGGCTCCACTTCCTCTTTCTATTCATTCTCAAAATGTTTGAGCATTCTTTAGTCAGGTCAGCCTTTTTTGCAAATTAGATGTTCTCATGTCCATTCTTTGACTTGATTATTCCAGCTGGCAAATGCTCAGCTCTCCACCTCTCTTTCCTTCCTCTCCTGCCAATCCAAGGGTTGTTCTTAAAGTGTTGTGTTATCTCCAGGGTTTATCAGTGTGGCAGATCTTTTTGGTAAAGTTGCTTCCCTTTGCCTTCTGTTTTTTCTTGTTTTCATTTGTGTGTGTGGAGTTTGCCATGTTTTGTTGGGTTTTTTTTCTCTGATAAATTTATCCCGTGAAATCCAGTTTCCATTGTTTCCAAAGTAAAGTTCACTCTTAGGTCACAGCAATTTCAGACATGTTGGGATATCAACTGCCTAAAGGGGAAGATTGATCTGATGTTAAAATGTAACCAACTACAAAGAAGGCACTTGTATTTATTTGTAAGAACAGGAACTTCAGAACTACATTGGAGCTTCCTATACAGCCACAACAGTATAAGAAAATGGCAGTTGTACATTAAATTCAAATTGAAAGTCTACCAAGAATGGCTGCATTCTATGATTTATAAGAAAAATGACCTTAACACGTATCTTGTCTTGCATAATTCATTCTGTATGGTAAGGGAAAGAACTCTATGGAGCATTTCAACCCCTGTTGGAAGCATGTTTAGCCTCCCCTCCACCCACTCACCACCAAGGGTTTATGATCAGTTACAGATGAGCCACATATGTTTCAGCTTGTTTCCTCAGTCTCAGGGGCTGAGAATTTTGGGATGTCCTCCTGAAACTTCAAGTTACAGGTGCCTTTTGACAGGGCACACCACTGAGCCATGGCTATGCAACCTTGGGGATGGCATCCCTTAAGAATGTAACTGGTAAACAGAAAGAACCAAAATGCAGAAAAAAGAGATTTGAAAGCATGGGACACCCCTTACCCTGAGAAATAGGTAAAAAGTGAAAGTATTTTTAAAAAATGCTTTTAAAAGAGATTCTCCTCCTAGGATTTTTGGAAGATGTGGGGGCGGGGGGGGGATACATCTACAGGCTTTGATTTTTTCTTCCTATCGTTTACCTCTATGTCTTCAAATCTTTCAGAGAAAGGGAACCAGAAAAGACATAGTAAATGAGAAACTCAACTTTGCAAAAAATAAGCATAAAAGCAGCAAATTGGATAGCAGTGGGCATTACCTCAGGTGCTTTGAAATCCACATGTGGTAGTGTGAGGTTGCTTGGAGCAGATGTCCATGCATGAATGGTCTTGGTAGTTACCTAGAACTCCACATTGGGTGACTATCGTGCCTGCCTTCTCCCCCAGCGTGCCTGAGATTGCGCCCGCCTTCCTCCGAGCGCACCCGCCTCCCCCCCCGAGCATGCCTGTCTCCCTCCCCAGCACGCCCACTTCAAATTTTTGTGATTAAAAAAAAAATAGTTACAAAACGGATTAACCTTATTTACATTGAACCTTATGGGGAAATTTGACTTGGCTCATGACCAGTTTGGATCACAACCAGAGTCCTGGAACAGATTAAGTTCGTGAGCCAAGGTACCACTATAATCTGTTCCTGAAGCAATCTAGTTTCTATTATGGGGGAAGGACATTTTTTAAAAATGATGGCAAAGTTTATTTTTCTTTCATATGGCTACAAAATGCAAATAAAATTGCTTCTGATTCCATTATCTTTATTCCATTAGGATATTTATTGATTCCTGCTTTACAAGTCTGTTAAAGGGATACTGTATCTACTTGCCAGATCTAGGAATCTAGTCTGCAGTGCGATGCCCACTTACCTGGGAAATTAAGCCTTATTGAATATAGTGCAACCTACTTTTGAATAGACATATATAGGATTGTGCCATTAATTTCTTGAAAAGTGAAACTGCCCACTGCAAGTAGTCCTAGGACATTAAATGGTAATACTCATTAATGAGTTCATGCTAGAATTTGAACCACTTTTAAAATAAATGCTAGGTTTTAGAAATACCTTGAATGTGGGAAATGAAGAATAAGTGATAAATATAACACTGAGACTATTTGGTGAGTGATAAATATAACACTGAGACTATTTGGTGAATTCCCAGCATTTGTAATGGTTTCTAATAACTTGCATGTTGACTAAGGAAAATTTGAGGATTGATGCAGATTTTGTCAAGTAGTTAGTTACGACAATCTCTTTGACAGACTCCTCGGTATTCAGTCAAGTGCAGTCTTCCTCTGCTGTTAATTTAAGCGGAATTCAAGATTTGTCTCGGAATAAGAACATAGTGAGACCAGTTGCTTTGCCTGTGCAACTTGTAGGAAACTCTCTTGCAACAGGTAATATCTCTTCCCCAGAGTTCAGGAGGGCTAATAGAAAGCTAACTGAATGTGTGAAAATGTGGCTGGCTTACATTTTCTCAAATTGTGAAAGTATATGTTAATTGGAAAAATATATGTCACTCAAAACATAAATCTGATTTCTATAAAATCTTCTTTCTGCAACAAATCAAAGAAAGCAAAGGTACCATAAACAGCTAAGTGTTGGAGATATTTCTAAACTCTTGCTCTTATCATATGAGATTTATAAGTTATTTTATCCATCTTTATACTCATACTGGGGTGTCTGTGTGAGATAAATCAGTTTAAATCTGTCTACCACATATTTGTCATTCCTCCAAGTAACTCAAGATGATGTACATCTTCTGCCTCTTCCCCCATTCATCATTTTATCTTCACAACAGTTTTGGGAAGTAGATTGGGTTGAGAGACAATGACTAGCCCCAGATCATTCAGTGTGCTTTGTGTCTGCAAGTGCATTTCAACCTGGAAATTTCCAGTTCTAGTTGCACACTGTAACCACTATACAATAACCTCTCTAATTTTAAATGTTTTATTTTCATTTTCAACAAAACAAAACAACCATACCACCTCTCATCATTTACAGATTAATAATGGCATATAACAGTTTATTCATTTGTTAACAATTTCACTAAAATATGTAAAACAGGTTTTAGTTTTTGTTTTATATGGACATACACAGCTGTTTGCCTTACTCAAAAACCACCAATTAGCTTGTCAAAACCTCTTGCTTTTGGGAATCCAAAATTTTGACTGTTAGCTGTCAAAACTCATCCCCCCCCCCAAAAAAAAGGAGTCTGGGTCAAAAAAGGAAGGTCACTTTTGTACTTTACCAAGCTTGAGCTAGAGAAAACATGCAATATGTGTACTAGCATGTGAACTAGCTTGGGGTATGGGAGAAATGAGGATCTTGCTGCAAAGAGGGTATAAATTCCAGAACCCCCCTCCCTGTTTTGCGAGCAAAAATTCTTCACACCTTTGGCTTCTCTTGACAGTTCATCATTGGACAACTGTTAAGAAAAACCAAGGTGTGGAAAAACAATTAGGAACCCTTTCTGGGCAATGTTCATGGTTTTATACCTGCTGTATTATGTACCCTGTTAAGGCCTCAGATCCTTGCAGTGATCCAAGAAGGAAGATTTCCAGTTGTGCAACCACATCCATATTTAATAATAAATAAAAATATTTTAATACACAAAACAATTAAAATGGTTCTGGCAGTTTGAAGAGCCTGTCAGTGACTATCAGAACTGGGATTGTGAAAGTAGTTTGTCAAACAGCTTTTGCCATCAGCAGAAAAAATGGGTGTAGAGGGGGAAAAGCTGGTGGTGAGCCCAAAATGACTTGTGGTTGCAGAGGATTGGGTAAAAAGGTAAATGAGTATCAGTTCCCGTTAGGTGCCACTTGGACAAGAGTTTGTTTGGGATTTCATCACTCTTTCTAACTGGCTCCATAGCGCTTTTCCTGTATTCAGGATGGTGTCATCTGAACTTGGGCAACTGACATAACAGCCCATCATGAGTACTAGAATGTAAGAACATAAGAAAGGCCATGCTGAATCAGACCAAAGGTCCATCTTGTCCAGCTGCCCACTGGATTGCTCAAGTAGGACGGGTGCAAGACCTCCATCTGCTCAATGTCCTCAGCAACTGGTATATACAGGCATGTCACCTCTGTTAAAAGAGGAAGCACATAGCCAACAAGGCTACTGATAGCTTCCAACTTCCTGAATCTGTCCAATCAGCTTTTAAACCTAGCCAGCTTGGTGGCTATCACCACTTCCCATGATAATGAATTCCACAATTTAACTATATGCTGTGTGAAAAGTACTTCCTTTTATCTGCCCTGGTGGTATGTTGCCTACAAACAAGCTACCTTGGGAAAGTAGGTCAAGATTCACACTACATGACAACTCAGAGAACTCAATTGTTGAACTTAGCAAGACTTATGTTAGTCATGATTTAATATAGTGGGTCTGTTCTAAATATGACTAAGCCTGTATGCAACCCACTGTTAAAAGGAATGGACATCTTAAATTATGTTTTTAATTACCTAATGCCCAAGAACCAAATAACTTTTCAAAACAAACATGTTTATGGTTAACCCATAACCCAACTGTTTAACTATATCCTTTTGATTCCTGTTGGCTTTCACTAATCAATTTGTGCAAGTAAAGCTTACATCTTAAAACTATTCTTTCTTTTTAGTAATTATAGTTGAACTTTCTGTCCACTATAAATTTCAAATAAAGAAGGCAAAGGAATTCTATTAGACTGCTGTTCCTTTTTTCTTTTTTTTTCCAGATAGCTTCAAAATATCTGTTCTTACTTTATAGCTTGTTTGGGAAAATATAGAAGCCTGCACTAAGTCCAAATGTGAATATTGTATTCATTGTTTAATCATCTTGTAGCATTGCTAGATTTCTGTAATACAGTGGTTTATTTCTCAATGGTCACTCTGTGTTTTGTTGCATTCAGCTCCTTTGTCGCTGCGTGCCACTGATGTTACTAGTGGAAACAGCAATGGAGGAAGGACTAATGTGATGACCTCTACCATCTCCCGACCTATGCCTCACTTGATGTCTCCTGGCCCAAGCTGCGTTCCAGGGGAGCAAGCCAGTAAGCAAACCAAGCATATAAATTTGGTTATAAAATAGTGAATTTGGCACTATTTGATTTCCACATAACATCATGACTCTGACATTTATAAAAAAAATATTAAGAGTTTTGGATAGGATGCTGACTTATATTGGGTTGAACTGGGGGAGAAGCAATGTCTAGGTTAAATGTGTTGAACCTCAGGCACTGAGGCCAAATCCAGCCTTTTTGAGGTTCCAGTCTGATTCTCTGGTATCCCCTAGATAGCTGTATCCCAATCCCAGTCATTTGGTATAGTTTTGTATAGGTTTCAGCCCATTCTAAAAGGTAGGGCTAAGGCTTGGTTACTGGCAGTAAGCGCTTTAAGGTAAAATATGCTGGTATTTTTTGCCCCACCCCTTTTGCCTTTAACCCCATCCCTTTTGGCTTCAGCCCACCCAGCACTGGAATGCAACCTTCAAAAGCATCACTGAAATGGAATTTAACCTTCTGGCTGAAAACATCCCCACTCCTGATCTGTGCAGCTAAGGCATTCCTGACATCAAGCCTCTGTTTAAATAGCATCAACAAAGGAGAACTACCATCTCCTGAGGCAGTCTATTCCACTATTAAATCAGACTTACTGTTGGAAAGTTTCTCCTTGGTGAAAGAATCTTGGTGGGTTTTGGTTCAATAAAGGATCTAGAGTAGCTTATACTTGCATATTTTTCAGGGAAGTACACATTATTTTGGAAATAATACTTCCTAAACACTTAGCTGAGTAAACTTTTCTGCAATGCAATCCTGTGCACGTTTAATCAGAAGTAAGTCCTCATATAACTAAAAGAGCTTATTCTTCAGAAATTGTGTTTCCCAGACTAGGATTGTGGTCCTAGTCTGCTTTTCTAGAAACTCCAGTATTATTCACCCATGAAATGTTTAAAAGCAAGATAGTTATGGGTTATGAATGCTTGTAATTACCCAAACTCATTTCACCATAGATTGTGAATCATTATAATTTCCTTGAATTGAAAGCTTTGATTCTTTAGTTATTTTAATATTTGCCACAAGCAAGAGATTGCTTTAGACATGGGTGCCCCAGTCTTTACTTGAATTGTTAACATGGTATTTTTTTACCTTCTAAATCTTTCCTTTGAACAAGTGATATGATCTGCATATATTCATTCCTTCCATTCACACTATCCATTCAAAATATTTTTAGCTGTCTTTCAAGGAAGGAAATACCTTGAAAGGTGGCATACAACAATAAAGCACATAATAAAATGATACAGTAATAAAAACATTAAAATATGGAAACCCACACATGCTAAAAACAACAGCAGCAAATACAAACATAAAATAAAACTTAAAACAGCCACTGCAGCTGCCAACCAGTCTGATAAAGCACAGTCAGGGGAAGGCCCAGTATAAATATACATTTGCAGTGATGGTGCCTGGTGGACCCATGAGGGCAACATTGCAGAAGTAAGGGGTTATTGCATAAAAGCTCCATGTCCTTGCCTGCCTTACTATTCTTACAGGTGGACAAATGAGAAGGCCCCTCCTGGTGATCTTAAAGTGCAGGAACACTGATATGAGTGAACATAGTCCTTTGTGTAATTTGATGCCAAGCTATTTAAGGTTTTATAGGCCAAATGCAAAATTTAAATTGAGCCCAGAAAGGCACTGGTAAGCAGCACAGCTGGCAAAAGGTTGGCATTATCTGACCTAATTATCTTATTTCATCAACATTCTACACTAGGTAAAGGTTCTGGGCTATCTTCATTGACTGCCCTACATATAGTTTTTACAGTGAACCAACTTAAGGCCAGCAATTAATTCAGTCCAAGAAGATTCCCATAGTATACACCTGGTGTGGCACTTTTCCTAAAAGACCACCCAAGACCAGCTGTAAACATCCATCTAGAATAGTTAGTTTCCCAATCTGCCATCTTGTGTAGTTTAAGCTACAACTTGCTCTTGGAAGAGGCAAGTTGTGTAGTTTAAGCCACAACTTTATCCTGAACCATCCCAAAACAGTCTCCAGACAGTGGCTGACAGGTTCTCATTGAAATCCACTAGAGGAAGGTAGTCGAGGCAATTTTCATTGATTTTTTCCTTCCTCTTTCAGCTTTCATTTTGCATCTCATGTTATTCCAGAAAGTCTTCTAGCCCTTCAAATCAGCTTTTTGGGGAATGCACAGAGCTGCTGGGAGGAGAAAGAATTATAAATTACAACTATTGCCTTTCTGACCCTTTCCTTCCGCACGAGTGAATTCTAGTAAGAGCCAGTCACATGCAACCCAAACGCTGCAGTAGCTGTCTGTGCTCATCAAAGCATGGATGGAATTCTGCTTTAGAAGAAATGTCTATAAAGTGCAGTAGGACAATATAGGAAATTTGGGATGTGTCCACAATCTATTACAAATGGATAAAGTTCTTTGCATTTATGACCTGCATTTTCTGTTTTGCAATGAATAAACTGTCTTTTTATCCTTAGTTCTTTTTTGTTGCTTAATCAATGGTTTTCTGTAACCTTAATAGTGGAAATGTTAGTCAACATGTCTAATTGGACAGACTGCTCACACAAAACTTCAGTTGCAAATAAGATTTGGTTCTCTTTCGATAAAAGCAAAGTAACATAGAAACATAGAAACAGAGCGAGTCAAAAGGGGCCTCCCGGGCCATCTAGTCTTACCCCCGGCTCCAGTCAGCTCCACTCACGACATGCCCACCATGTACATGTCTAGCCTGTCTTTGAACACCCTCACCAATGGGGCCTCAACCACCTCCCGTGGAAGCTCATTCCATACCCTCAGGGTCCTAACTGTCAGGAGTGCTTCCTGGCATCTAAATGGAACCTTGGTCCCCTGAGCTTTTCTCCATTGGAGCATGTCCTGCCTTCCTCTACAGGGGAAAACAGATCTCTGCCTACCTCCGTGTGACATCCCCTCACATACCTGTATGTCGCCAACATATCCCCTCTGAGTCTCCTCTTCTTCAGTCTGAAGAGACCCAGTTCCCTCAGTCTCGCCTCATACGGCATCCCCTGCAAACCAACCACCAACCTTGTGGCCCTATGCTGCACTGACTCTAACCTAGCTATAGCCTTCCTGTAATGAGGGCCCCAAAACTGAACAATAAAGTAAAAATTAACTGTGCCATATATGGAGTCTCATATTTCCCTCTTCTCTTTGTGTTTATTTCTACATAGCATCCATAGCTAGTTCTGGCCCCCCAAAGAAGAGACACCGAGGATGGTCTCCTGGATCACCGCTCCCTCCTCCGCCTGGTTTAGTTGTGCCTGTCCCTGCCATCCGGCCTCTTCCAAGAGCAGGCAAGATTCTGATATCTTGTTTGTTCAGTCAATATGACTTGTTGCTTCATTGATTAATTACTATTTGTTACGTTTATATCCTACCTTACCTCCAGGGAGTGCACAATTCTCCATGATTCTGAATGGCAGGTTATTAACATGAAATGAAAATCCAGAGCTACGCAACCCAAGGGAAGCTAAACAACCTAGTGGCTAATCCAACAATAAACCATGGGCATTCAGTGTAGTTACTAGGTGGATTCTGTGTTTCTGAAGCTGCCCTGCTTTGGGCACATCATTGGAAGTCAAGACTCACTGGAGAAGAAAATAATAATACAGAAAGTTGAAGCCAGAAGAAGATAAGGAAGACCTAATATGAGATGGATGAATTCTTCAAAGAAGGCCGCAATCTTGTGTTTACAGTTGCTGAGCAGGACAGTCGAGGACAGGACATTTTGGAGGGCATGCATGCATGCATTCATTCATAGGGTCTCCAGAGTTAGAGATAACTTGATGTCATGTAACATCAACAAGGTCCTGTGGGATAAATATACAGCTAAATACTCAGCAGCACTGAAAGGTAGTAGGTTTTTTTCTCCCTCTCCTTCCAAGCACACCGGGATGCAGGACCCGGATTTCTAACTTAGATCTCTGTGTTCACTGACCTTGGCATTTCAGCTGTGGATTCTAACTTCTCATTTTAATCAGAATCTGTTTCCACAAGCCTTTAGCCTTCTTTGCTTCTTTCACTTTTTTTTTTTTTTTTTGCCAGTAAAGATTACTCGCCTGCCTTCTTTGAATTGATAACTCTGTCCATTACTAGTACCTGCTGCACTTTTACAGCAGCTAGCTGCCCTAGCACAGTTCCTAGGCAAGGTTTCCTATTTCACTGCATAAATACACAGAACTGCAAGTCTGGAATTGTACATTCCAGCTATAAACAAACAAGCAAAACTATTTGTGCATATTTGGGATGCAAAAACAGAAGACAGTGATCCACTTACAGCCCCTTCACATCTTGCTTGAGCACTTTGTGGGGGTTGCCAGTGGCTGTCAAAATTGAGACTGTGAACAATGTTCTCTGGAAGGAAGGATGGACAGACGAGGGACAGGGATAAAAGTTGCAGCAAGCAAGCAAAACAGTGAGCCAGTGTTAGTTGCTTCACCATGCTGCTTGTGCAGTTATGGGATGGCTGGCACTGTGATGGCCTGAGTGAGCTTGGGAACTTGTTAAAGTTAAGATGCATATCAGTCATGTGAGGGTAAATTGAACATACATTTTAAAATTTACCTATTATGATGTGAAAATACAGTGTGTAATACATTATATTTTAGTGTATTACACAGGATTTTAATTCTGCTTTGTAAGAGAGATGGGAAGGCATCTTTTGTTCTCAAGCCACTTTCTCATTTCAATTAATTTGGTTTGGAGTGTTGTGTTAGTGGGTAGCAGTAGTCAAGATGAAAGGAAATCCAAATCATGAATAGTCTTCTATTTTCTCCCTCATAATCTCTCTGTGTGTGTTTAAAATGAATCACAAATGTTGGGTTCCTCTGATATGCCTAGATAACGAAGATTGAAGATTTACAATTACATGCAAGATAAGGTTTATATCTAGGGAGCCTCCTTGAACTGCAGAAAAATCACTGTGGCTCCTTCATGTCTGAAGCTATTATATTTAAGTTATATGACTTCAGAATATGCAAACCAATGTTTAGCTATCTAATCTGCATACTGTAGGTCATAGGTTAGAAGGGGCTTCCCTCCTTTCTTTATGTTGACAGGTAGCACTAAAAGGTGAACTCTATGGACAGTTTTAGCCTAGCACCTGACTTAGTGGGAAGATGCATATGCAGTCTTTTCTCTTTCATTTCTCCCCTCTCAGCAGCAGACAATAGAAGAGCTCTCTTTTAAAAGGTCATTTGTTTTAGGAATGAACTTAGGGAAGGATATCGATTTGATTCTTTCTTCAAATTCATTGTAGGAACAAAAGGAAATGCAGATGGATTTTGAATTTTATTGTGTTTAATGATCCACAGAAATGGGAGGGATTTCTTTCCTCTTAGAATGCTCATAGGGACAAATCACAGTATGAGCCTTTTCATAAAGAGAGGATTTTTTCTCCCTTTCTGTATTTTCATAGATCCTCTTTTGTCAGTCCCAGTTCCTCAATCAACCTTAACTGGAATTTTACAGCCTCAGCCCATCCCTGCAGGGGAGACTGTAATAGTTCCTGAAAATCTGCTGAGTAACACAGGCGTCAGACCAGTAATTCTAATAGGTAAGCTCACAGTATGAAGTAAAATACTCTGCAGCTAAGCAATTTGCCTGAGATGTTTTAGATTACTGTTCCAATACCTAAATATTGTGTTCATCTCTCACATTTTGAATGAGGTCAGTGGATTGTTTAAACTTTTTCCAGTAAATTTTCTTAAAACATTTGTTTACCATTCCGGAGTGGTGAAAAGTAGCCACAGTGTAACAGAGGATCAATCTGAAGGGACATCCTGAGTTAACTGCAGAATGTTTATCATTAGGAATCTGCTGCTCAGGCCTAACATGAAAGAAGTCTTATGTAGGTCATATTGGCCCTTCAGTGAAGAACTAAATGAAATAAACTTTTTGCACAGGCTGTGAAATGCTTAATCCTTGGCATTGGAATCATGTACAGATCTTAAGCATTTGATAGCATTTTTGTGTAATGTTGTAAGATTCAAATTGGGAACTAACAAAAACAAATCCTCTTTTTTGATGCCTAACAAACTTTCCGCACCAAACTTTCATGTTATATGTCAGATAGCAAACAAACTGAATAACCTTATTTTAAGGAAAGGAATTAATTCTGTGTTACAGGATATGGGCTAAGCATATGGGTTATCAAAAGAACCTGTTTGAATGTTACTTATAGAGGAAAGTGTTAAATGGAAAAAAATCTTAGATTCCTCTTTCCCCATCTTCTCACTGCAAGGATAAAATATATCTTTAAATGTGATGGTTTAATGCAGGGATGAGGAAGCTCAGGCCTGTGGATCAAAGCTGGCCCTCTTGGAGTCCCCAGATGGTCATGCTTCCCGTCCCTTTTCTCTGCACCATCTTGAAAGGCTCTTCTAAGACTTTAGTAACAGGCAGTAAGAGCTTCAAGCTACAATATGCTGTTATTTTGTGTAATTTTATTTCTACCCCGTTTCCTTTGGCTCTACTCACCACTGGAATTTAGTTCTTGAGCACTTCTCCAAAACTGAATTTTGCTCTTGATTGAAAAGTGTTTTGAACCTTTTTATTTCATTCCTAGTTTAGTGTTTCTTTAAAGCTTCTGGTGGTGGTGGCATTAGGATTTCAGATGGAAGCTGTGAAGTACATTCTCTGTACTTATGCCCAGGTCCCTCAGTAAGATGTGAATCAGCATCATGCACCCAACAATGCATTCCAGGAGGTGTCCCCTGTTAGGGTTCTACTTCCAGGCTTTGTGGCTGGAAAGTGAGTGCCTCAGTATAGTGCTGTAATGTTCATGGCCATATGTCTGAAAAACATTGCTTGGACATTGCCCTTTCAAGCTTGTCCCAATAAATAACATGCACTTTTCCAAAGGAGAAACCTTTGTTGCAAACAGAACCTGGCTGGCAGCCTCTCTTTTTAGTCCATTTCATTCCTACAAGCAGTGGACTGCTTCTCAGCAACTTTTCCTCTTTAGGAATAAATTGCTCATACTAGAGGCTTACATTTTGCTGGTCAGCATTTCACTTTAGGGCCCACCTTCATAGGCTTGACCACTTAGTTGCAGCTCATGGAATTGCCACGTGGAGTGCAGAAATGCAAAGAGAACTATAAAAGCGTACCTGAACTGGAGGAAGCAGTGCAGAAGGAGAAACTCTAATGAGGACACAACCTAAATCTCTGCCCTTTGTCAACTTTTAGAATAATGTTATTTTTCTTTAGCATAATGTCATGATACCAGTAAAGCATCAAGCCAAGTAGTACACACTGTATCCAGTAGTATTGTTCTGATGTCTGTCAGTGCAACAAGATGGGATGATCTGCCTGTTCCCACAGCCTCAGAATCTGTTCTGGAGGGCTGGGACATCTGCTGGAGCAGATTGTTTATTATATTAAATATATTGAAACCCTCCTTCCTTCAAGGAGCTGAAGGCAGCGTACATGAACCGCTCTATTTGTTCTTTGTGAAGTAGGTTAGACTGAGAGTCTGTATCTGAGCCAGTCACCAGTAAGCTTCAGGCTGAGTGGAGACTGGAAGGTGCATTTCCTAAGTCCCAATCCAGCACTTTTTAGCTCTTTTGGGCTGCAGTGGGGAGAAGAGAAGGAGAAAATCCTGTCACACTGCTGGTATGGTGTTGGATTTAACTCCCTTTGTCCAAAACCATGCCCATTAAAAGTTTTAACACAGAGAACAATCTTTGGAATAAAAATATTGCTTAGGAAGGTGGAAAATATAGCAAGTCAAACCATTAGCCTGTGAAGCTCATATTTGTCACTGTTGACTAGCAGCAGCTCTGCAGGGTTTCAGACCAGATGGTTCCCCTTGTCCTACCTGGAAATACCAGAAATTGAACCTGGGATAATTTCTGTGCAAAGCATTTGCTGAGTTATAGCCCTCATTTCTGTCATGCACCTTACTGAATGAGCTCTCTTGTTAGTGAATTCTTATTATAATTGGGATATTTATAGAGCTAGAATTTGAAACTGAGGATAGCAACAAAGAAGTACAATGGTGCTGTGGTACAGAGGGTATTAAAAGTGATGCACCTTCTGTTGTATCGGGCTCATGGCTTCCCTCTGTCAAGTTAGCAATGCAAAAAGGCTGTCCACATCTGGGAATGCAAGAATAAAAGAAAAGGCTACATTTTATTAGGTCAAAGAAAGGCATGAGCATTTCGAAAATCTGGTGAAAGCTACAAACCACAACAAACCACACATTACTCACAGATGCAGATAAGTGTGACTTTGAAATATCTGACTTGTTCCTCAGTATAATTTCCTGTAAACCTCCCAGAGCCTATGGGAATGGGGCAATATATAAATATTAAGAGGAGGAGCAGGAGATAATGAAAAAGAAGAAAGCTCCAACATTAATCTTTTAATAGAAAGTTCAGGGATTGAGAGGAAACAGTTTGGGCAACAGAGGATCTCTGTGTTTTGCTTTTTGTAACATTCATATTTTTTCACACATGAGTTCATTCTGTCCCATTGCTGCAACAGTTTGTGATCTTTTAAAAAATGTCCACACAAAAAGTATGTGGTTTTGTGTGCATTCTTATGTAATGTTAATATAAATACATTTTTGTTAATATTTTTCATACTGTATGGTTTTTCAACACAATTTTCCCTATTGTATGCAATGTTTGTTTTGAAAATTGGTTTTTCAAATCTGGAGAAATGTGAAAATGGAAACATAATTTCATTCTAGTTCTCATGTTGTTTTGAGATGTGTGGATTAGATTGGTTCATATCGAAACATACCCTCTGCTTTCCCTCACTAGCTTCAGCTGTATGTTTATGACGACCAACTTGCATCTGGAATTCCACAGGGGTAAAGCTGACTGGGATGTGTGTGCTTTGGGGTAGGAACAGTGACAGCTTTTGTTCCTCTTCTCAAAATTGCACCTTTTCAAAGCTGTTTAACTGAAAAAGCAAGCAGCAGTAAGGGTTTCTCTGCGTGAGCTGTTGCAATGTGGATTTTGTTTCTTATTACATATATTCATTCTTCCTATATTGCATATTACTTCCCTATGACTTTAGGAACCAATGGATGCTTAATAAAATGCTCAGGAGTATGGTTCAGTAAAAAATAATTAATGCTGTTTGTGACGGAAGGAAAACTACATGCTATTTAGAAATAGAAACAAGTGTGCTATTCTTTCTGCAATACATTCTGCATCAAGCAGCTTTGTGTATTTTTCCCTCTGGAAATGGCCTTAAGAAACCAAGTAGCCTCCAAATATCTGGCAATTCTTTGGTGGGATACAGATCACTGCTTTGGGTTGACCAGTCTATCATCCTTTCTTTATTAATTATTTGAATAGATTGCAGTTATTTCACAATTGTTTTCAAGTAGCTTGATTAGGGTTTGTCTTTTTCTTTTTGAAGGTTATGGCACTTTACCATATTTCTATGGGAATGTTGGAGACATTGTAGTAAGTCCCATGCTGGTGAATTGCTACAAGATTTCTCAGCTTGAAAGCAAGGATTTGGATCCTTTTGGATTGACCGGGAACCAACTAAGTGTAGAAAACATGATTATTTTAACAATACAGTATCTTGTCCGGCTAGGTAAGGCATTACATAAATGAATTGATTTTGCTAAATATAGAAATAACATTTCTTGCAAATCACAACATTTTGCTGGTGATTGGCCTTTTGCTATTTGATTTTTCATGTAAGAAATTAATAGTGGAATATTTTGTGCTTTTTTGAGATAATAAATTAAGTGAATTTAAGCTGGATTTGAAAGATGGCAATTCTTTCTCATTTTGAAACCCGCTCACCTTTGGGAAGAAGCCATACTTTATCCTGAAAATCAGATCTGACATTTGCTTAATGTGAAACATTCAGTCACAGCCACCCATTTTCAGCCAAAGGCTTATAGCTATAGCTCATGACAGTTGTTTTAGGAGCACTATGTAAACTTTGGCATGAAAAGTACATCTGCTATGTAATGCAAACACACAAAAGCAGTATTTCTCAGTCTGCTGCCATATGACCCTGTGGCATGACAAATCCCATCAACCACAGTCAACACTATCAATCTCCATGCTATGTGAGCTGATGGGATTTGTAGTCCTAAACATCTGGAGGACACCATGCTGGAGAAGACTGCATGGCCATGCTGGCTGGACATGATGGATGCTGTAATCCATCATTCCTGGAAGGTGACAGGTCAAAGAGTGCCATATGAAGATGATAAGAGTTGTAGTCTAAAACATATGGCATGTACCAGTTTGGGAAAGGCTGAATTACAGTGCAAGGATTAGAAAACATGGTTCTGCTTTGTGCAAGGCAGGAGTTCCAAAGCTGTTCCTCTGTTATTTGTAGTCCCAGGAATTTTTTCCCTGAGGAGAGGGATTTATTAGACAGGCAGGACTCACTCAAGCATATGCTTTTCCTGTGTTGATGCATATACTTACCTGGGTGAAGGTAAGAATCTAACACAGACTACTTACTATGGGCAAAATTGTTTGACTCATCATTGGAAATGCACTGGCATCATTAGTGGTTAGAGGCACCCTCTGTGTTATGGCTAACCTGTATTTGTAAAGGTATTAATGGGTAATGTAGACTGTTGAAATGCCTTTGAATGTCTTAGGAATTCAGGAGCCCACATCAATACCTCATGACCATAGGTACACTAAGTGCTTTCACTTACAAGCTTGTCTTACCCAGGAACATAAATGAACCAGAATAATTAAATGGTTTAAAATAATCAGTCTCCTAGGATCTTTCCCATCCCCTAGAGCTGCAATTATATTTTATAAACTTCATAAAATGTTCCCTGTTGAAGCAGTTTTAATGTGGAACATTAAAATTGTCAAAAGGTGAGCTGTCAAGTGAAAGCAAAAATATGAGTGATTTTTTTTCTTGTTGGAAGGGAGAGGTGAATAGATCAGTTCCTATGTGGTGAGATCCTCTAGGGGATTTTTTTTTGCGGGGGGGGGGGTGTAGTCTCTTCCTGCAGATGTGATATTGGGTTCCTTGGCAGAAAATCAGCTGGTTCCTCTGAAAGGCTTAATATTATCCCCTGCTGCAACTTTGGGTGGAACTGTATGAGGAAAAAGTTGACTCTTGGATACCCTGGTCAAAATAATAGTTTGTTCTAGCCATATTTTTATAGCCTTGGTAAGAAAGAAGTTTCCTATGTAACAGGACATGATCCAGCCGTATTGAGCAATTCTATGTCTTACTAATGTCAGTACTTGAGATCTAATTTCTCCAGATGTGAGGAGCACACAACCACTTAGTTTGGTCCATCCAGAAATGCCCTGTGAAAAGCAAGAGGCAACCCTTCATGTTCCAGAAAGGGCCTGTTAAGTGCTAGTCTTTTTGTGGCAATCAGTACGTGGGGAATACATGTTTGATGTAATGTTCTGAGAATAGCAGTAGTGAAAGACATTGTCTGAACCATCCAGAGCTAACTGAAATTACTTCCTGCAGTTCCAATATTTGGAAAGACATAAAGCACAATGGGAAAGTAGTGGGTATAAATCCTGCTATTCTATGCAAGTAAAATTTGGGAGCAAAACTGGCCACACTGGCTTGCGATGATGCGGACTGGAGCCCAACATTTCTGGAAAAGAAGGCTACAAAATTATATGTAATTATTCTCAAACATTAGGCAGGTCTTCCAAGAGAGATGGACATTTTCTAGGGTACATGCATGCTTCTGTCACACATCTATTCTTCCGCATTTGTGTGACTATCAAATGAGATCACAGAAGTACAGAATTACCACTGTCTCCATCCCCATCAGTGTAACATAAGACTTTGTGGGCAGTCCAGTGTCCCATATCTTTTATTTAGACCAGTAGAATAACTGCCAGTTTCCCCCTTTGATTCTGTGTCCCCATACAAACACCACTTTGCCTTTTGGACACGTAGAAGTATGTTGTCCTGTTAAAATTGAAGATAGGTGTTCTGCTCTACCCATCCACCAAGTGATCCTGTACTTGATCATTATCAACTCACTCAATCCAAACACTAGTGCGTCACTTGCAGGGCAGAAGGGTGCAGACAGAGAAAATAGCTTCAGTTGCAACTCTCATAGGACAGCCACACTACAAGTTCTAATTCCCCTGCCCCACATCTTCCCTGTGCCTAAGGTAATAATTTCTTTCACACTGTTTCTGTTTTTACAGGGTCTAAGGTGCCCCCCCTCACACACACACATAAGAACATATCACGAAAAATATTGCTGTGATAAATATTGATCTCTGTCAGTTTGCTATCTTCGACCCTTACCTGGTAATAGAATGAATCTGGTTTTAATTATACATTTTGATGCTTTATTTGACAAAAATGCAGGTCCTGATAAGATACCTCTCAGGGAAGAATTTGAACAGATCATGCTGAAAGCTATGCAGGAATTTACTTTAAGAGAACAATCCTTACAAATGAGCTCTCAGTGCATCTCCTTGTCACCAGCTCAGCTCCCATGGCTTGCCAAATTAATTGCCAGTGTCTCCCAGGACATGGTGCACGTGGTGGTTACACAGAATTCCCTGGCTGAAGGCATTTCAGAAACACTTCGATCTGTGAGTGAAATGAAGTGCCAGCAAAGGCTGCCAGATTACGTTGTTCCAATTTGCACGTCAAAGATCAGAGGGAATGAGTTCTGTGTAGTTGTTTTAGGTGAGTACCTTTTCTTAATGGAATGTTAGAGGCCAAGTATACCTAAGGTGATACTTTGTACTGACCCTTTTTCATTGGTGAAACAGCATGCAGCTGTCAGTACTCTCTTGAAAAATTGAGACATGGTCATAATATTAATGTTGAATGCACATGTAACTGCGCTGCATGACTTGTTAAGCACCTACATTTCATTCTTCTTCTTCTTGCTGCCATATATTTCTTCATATATTGGAATTGGCACATGTCTGTTTCTTTGTAATCTCTCAGTTATCCTGGATGGCATACTTATGAAACAGGGAGATCTGTTAATTTATTTGGATATAAATTGCTTTGCATGCAAACATCTACAAGGTTATTGGAGAAGTAGGAAATATTTTATGCATGTATTTAGTTATGATATTTATAGTAAGTTAGTGTAGCATAGTGGTTAGAATGTTGAACTGGGACCTGGGAGATCTGGATTCTAAGTCCCCACTTGGCCATGGAGCTCATGGGTTGACTTTGGGCTAGTCATGTACTCTCAAGCTGGCCTACATCACAGGCTTAATGTTGGGAAGATAAAATGGAGAGGAAGAGGACTCTGTAAGCCACCTAATCCTAACCCCGGTATACATTTATTTGTTTGTTTGTTTGTTATACATAGTGAGCCAGAATTAGGCATACAGTACTGATCTGTTCATGGAGGACCTCACACAGTGGACGAATTGAAGGAGTTAATCTCACAAGCATTTATTGACATTGGTCCTAACTGGAATTTATGTCACAGTGTTGGGGACAGGTTCCAGGAATGTTGCAACCCTGATGGAAGAGGTTTCGAGGACCCAAGGGACTAAACATGACCCAATCAGTACTGTATACCTACTTTTGGCCTACCCTGTATTTATTTCCTAAATACAGGGCTCAGTATCTACCATATACTCCCAGTTCAAGAGAAGCTCCAGTTAAGGAAGATTAATTCAGTGAATTAATCTGATAAAAATGAACTTGATGCAGGCAACTTTTTAAATATACTTTAGTGTGTCATGTTTACTTGAGTTCTCTATCCCTTCTGAGCAAGTTTTTCCTCTCCTTTGCAAGACTTTTTTTAACTTCAGGAACACTGATAGGCCAAGCTGACCTTGGAATATTGCAGGCAAAGGAAGTGGTAAACTGTTATGATAATGTACTCTCCTGTTTCTTCTTCTGACCTAAATGGAGAGGCAGAAATTGCCACAGAAAATTTGTGTTCAGATGTTGCATTATTATTTTTTGTATCTTACAGTGTGTCATTCACAAAAATACAGCCTCTTTTGTATTACATTTTTTAAAACCCTTTAAACCTCACTTGCGCTATTTGGATACTTTTAATACAGACTAGAAAGAGAACAAAACTAATTTCAGCCATTGTTAGGATTACATTACAGATGTGGTCAGGGTGGATTTGATTTAAATCATGATTTCAATCAGTAGTCAGTAAGACTAGATATGAATCTTGGTTTTCTACATAATTTGCACACATGTCCGCTTTACCCATAGGTAGAGGAATGTCATTAAAATTTTCCCAAACTGTATCTGCTGCCATTATAGGTTTTCTCTTCCAGGGAAAGAATAATATGGTAAAACTCAGACTATATGCAAAAGATCCAAAGACTTGAGGAATATTCTGCTCAAAGGGGTTCACTTTCATTTTTACTGCTTGCCCCCTCCCCCATGCTTAGTTTCTGGTATAGATCTATTCCATTCTCAACTATCGTTTATTCAATGATTTATTTTTTTTAAAAAACTTTGCACTTAGCACATAAGGGATTGATTCTGTGTACATAGATTTGCAAAGGAACAATGGGGTTAAGATCTTTTCTTTACTCAGTATGTTTATTTTATAACATTTTTGCTGTGAAGGAGAGGCATGTCATCTGTGCAGACACAAATTCACAGTTTGGAGAACTGTAAAACCAAACATCTGTGATAATATCTTCTAGATAGAAAAAATGTCCAATAATCTTTAAGAAACCTCTGGAAGAACATGACGTTGTCAATGGATTAATGGAATACATTTACCAAAAAATGGAAATATTGCATGAATATATAGCCTCCTGCTATATAATTGAAAGCTAATGCCTCTTTCATGAGGAATTACCTTTGAACTATAATGTCCTTAAACAGAAAACTATCTTTAGATAATTTTTCCTCAAAAAGCATTTTATTTTAAAAAATCAAATTTAAATAAAAATTCTGATTTAAATTTTTAAAATACAATTTTTATTTTTTAATCATTTATTTTTGTTCACCCAAGATGTGGTAAATGACAGTACACTCAAAAACTTTTTAGAGATTATTTAAATTCACTTAGCTTTTACAACCTAATTATAACACATACACTTCCCAGAAATGTTGGAAAAGTCCATTCTGCTTTCCAGATTATTTCCAGGCTGGGCAAAAGAGTATGAAGCATGAAGCTGGGGGAATCAGGAAGAACTAAACGCAGTTTTAGGACTGAAGCCACAGTTTATAGAGCAATAAGTATCTTAAGTCAGTCCAATATATTTCTTTGTTTCAGAACATGAACTACCAATAGATTTGGTGAATGGTGATTAAAAACAACACTGCTATCCACTGCATAGTGAAAGGGTGTATAACTTCATATAACTTTATGTCTAGGGACCTTCAAAACGCTTGGATAAATAGAAGTTCAGATATGCAAGACATTTTTTTTAAATGAGGCTAAGCTATCATGAGCTATCACAATGATTTCCAGTCATTAAGGATTTTTAGGGAATTCTGCAATATTTAATATCTTAAAAATGTTTATACATGTAAACCAATAAATGCAAATGTACTCTAACAAAGTAATTTAAAATTATGCGTGCAAAACTCACTTAGTTGGCCTTTTCCAGAAGTCAGTAAGAAGAGTGGGGCTGAAATTCATGAAGGCAAGGTCTTTATACTGAACTAAGCATCTGGTGATATTTCTCTGTCTTTTCTGTTCTCTAGGTCAATATCAATCTAGAGCACTAGCAGAAAGCATGCTTACTACAAGTGAATTTTTAAAGGAGATCAGTTATGAGCTCATTACAGGAAAAGTTAGTTTTCTGGCTTCACATTTCAAAAAAACATCTTTAGGTGAGTGGATTGAAGATTTTCCTGTTATGGCTCTTTGAGTTAGAAATCTAAACATTTTCACAAATAATTGTTTTGCCTAAGGTAGTTGTTCTACTAAATGCAGTGCTTATTTCATGGGCTCTTGATATGCACTGCTAGCCATGTAGTATCTCTATGTGTATATCAAAGCAATTTTGAAACATTTATTTATTTATTTATTTATTAAAACATTTTTATGCCGCCCCATTCGCCGAAGCCTCGGGGCGGCTCACATCAATAAATTAACATTGGCTCAAGAAAGCTCCATCCTTAATGAAGGAATAGATACGTAGGAGCAAGGCTTTCCTCTCACAACAACGGAGCCAATTACCCAGGAGGTCATGGACTGTCCCCAACTAGAGGCATTCAAGGTTCAGCTTGAGAACCATCTAAGAGGATGGTTTAACTTGCATTGATCAGGGTGTTGGACCCAATGGCCTTCTTGGCCCCTTCTAACTTTACAATTCTATAATTCTCTATTAAATGGCATTCACCAGTTTCTTCCCAGTACTTGTTATGTGTTGTGAGGGCTCCCCCTCCTGTTTCAGTATAAATTAATCACTGGTTCTTTCTAGATTGTGGAATAACTGGGATAATGAAGGGGGTTTTGCTTTGTTGAACACATTATTACACTGCACTTTAACACAAACATTCGCAAAGGGGTTCAAAGGCATTATACAAATCATATGCAGCATTAAAGAATAGTTTACTAAAACAACTGAAAATAAAATAGTAAATTTTATGCTTCCATAGTGCTTCCAAGTAAATCCCAAATAATGGAAAGAATAAAAAACCTTTCACTTGTTTCCAAAATGAAGCTTTTCTGCTCAGGTGACAGTCTTACTCATCTGGAGTTCTGGCCTGAGGGGCAGGGGACGCTGCTAAGTACAAGTTTCAGCTCTGGCAGGGGAAATAAGGCAAGGTCAAGCAAGGTCAAGTTCAAGTCCTGATGAAGCAAAGTTCAGGCAAAGCTCTGTGTGAAGGAGTCATAGCAACTTGCTCAAATATTTCTTCAATGACATGCAAAGCCAGACTAAGCCTTAAATAGAACAGTAGTGATTTGCTTCAGTGAGAAGTTAATGCCAACTTCAGTGGAGCCTAAGCTTGCTTCAGCAGCCAGTGACTAAGAAGATACTGAGGAGGTTCATGTTACTAGGCTTCTGGTTAGAGATTCTGACAAGTTCTTCTTGTCTAGAGTTTCTAGAGCCAATCCCTCTCCTCCTCCAGTATTTTCTTTAAAACCATGGCCTCATATTCCAAAGATAGGGAATCAGGGTTGGTCATGACACCAAGTAAGGATAAACATAAACAAGCCTCTATGGGAAATATCCTGCAACTTGGAATTCCCAGCGGAAAGAGCTGTGTTCTCAGCAGAAGTTAATTTCACCTTCTGGGAAGGTGATGTTTGGGGTAGTTCCTCATGGGATCCAAGGAGCTCCAAGCGGACAGTTGTTATACAGGAAAAAGCAATTTCTAAGATTTGGATGCATTTCGATGATGAAAACTACTTTCAAAGATGAAAAGCACTTTGAAATCTAAGTGATAACCAATGCAAATATTTCAGATTAACTTTGAGATACTTCCACTAGCTCATATGTATTAATAAATAGGCAGTGGTGACATTCTGCATCAGAATGCTTACATTTTTTAAAAAATGGTCCTGTACAGAGTCCAATTTGGCCTGCAGTGGATGAATGACACCATCCATGTCTTTCTTCTAGCAGCTGAGATCAGCCAAAGCTGGTAAAAGTCATTTTAAATCATGACTGCTAAAGACTCGAACAGTGATACTAGGTGCAAGAGTAGTTTACTCTGTTTAAAATGTTTAAAACTTTGAGGATGACTTGCAGTATATAATAAAAACAATAAACATTCAGTGACTAAAAGCAGTGAAATAGCAGCTTTTAAAACACATTAAAACCCCTGCGCTTAAAAAAAGGATTTCCTCAAACCCCACAAAGTTTAAAGGTTCATAACAAAAGGAAATTTGTAATTTTAATTCTTTAAGGAAAGAATTAAATAGGTTGATTACCATCACCAAAAAGATTTTTTCCCTTGTTTTTTTTATCTGCCTTAATTCTAAAGGTAAAAGTGTCTAGGAAAGAACTTTTGAAGATGGCCTCCGTAATCCTGCATGTTTCCCTGGAGGATGGTTTTCCTTTTTCCACAAGAGTTACTCCAAATGGTAAACCTTCTCTCTTAGCAGGAGGAAGAGCTCATCTGGAAGGAGCAACACAACTAGCTAATCTCTTAGGTCTTTTGCAGTCACTAATTTTGCCTTTCCCTTGATTGACTCTCATCCAGTCCAGTAACAGCTGTTTGGGAAAGCAATCGCTTCTTCTTTGTCTGATGAAAAGGAGAAATGGAGTTGGGTGACATCAGCAACTTTAAGATACTTCTTCATGGACATCTGGACAATATTTCTGTGCAATTTTGTGTAGATGTTTAGAAGCATAGGTGACGAGACTGAACCTTGTGGAAAGTTGTACAGCTTGACAGAGAAAGAATGGGGAAGGGCAAGACAACCCCCAACACGGTTTCTGAAACTTGCTTTCCAGGAATGACCCCCTCCCCAAAGCGGTGCCATTCCTATTCTTTATATTTCTGATGCTTTTGCCTTTAGGTTGATCTTTTTTTGATTAGAAAGATGCTTTAACACATTTAGGTGAAAATGAAGGATAGGTGTTAAGTACAACACAGTATCTTCGCATCATTTCTTGTGAAGGTTTTGTAAGGATGTATTACAGCTTATTCAGATACATATTAGTTTTAAAAGCTCATTCTTTTCTAGGAGATGAATTGGACAAGTTGCTAGAGACAATGCAACAGAGACGCGGAGATAATGTTGTAATCCCATTCAATGGAGATGTTAATGAATGTGTATCATCTCATGAAGCAGCTGCCATGGTTTGCACGGAAGAACTTGGTAAGAGTCGCCCCTTAAAAATGAATAATGTATATCAAAGCCTATAGCTAGGAATGGGGAATATGATCTACAGAACTTTGGTCTACAGAAATTGTGCCCTGGCCAGGTGCAAGCATTGTACCATGCTCTTACAAAAGCCAGGCAGTAAGATCACAGAAATACTAGTCAGATACTATGGTCATAGGATGATTACAAAAACTTCCCTAGTACAGGATGTGCAAGGAGAAGTGCTTTCAATAGTTCAACTGCTGTAGAACTGAGTTCCCAGATTTATACTAAATTTGTGAATCAATGTGCTGGTTGGGAAGAGAAGGATTGACTTGGGCTCAGTAGTGCTGAGAGGTTCCACATTGATTAGATCCTCTACTGGAGAAATAGTGAGTAAAATTAAGTTAGTTTGGTTTAGTTTTTGCTAGCCTGAAGCTTTTTCACAAAATTATAGACCATGATAATATGAAAAAACCTAAAGTTTGGCACATAAAGGCATAGCAGACTATTGATAAAGAATTGTTATAAAAGAACCAGCCTAGTGGTTATAATAATTTTGAGTGAATAGCTTTCCTATGTGGAAGGAATTTGAACTTTGGCTTGGATGAGGGACAGTCTTGCACACTAACATCCTTTCTGAAATCCTCCAAAGCTGCTTTTCTTAGCTAGCAAATAGTTTATTTCACCAATTTCACCATGTCTGCCTTGGATCAAATTACACATTACATTAAAAGAGCAAACCTGTTGTGATGGTCCTAAGTCCCCAACTCAGAGGTACAATCATCCTATGTAGAAGAAAGGAGTGTATTAACTGATCTCTGACCCCTTTCTCCTATGTTAGATGTTCACTGGACAGGCTCTTTTGCCTGTCTAGTTGGAGTGTGTTGGAAAGGGAGGGAAGGAGGATAGCTGATACTCTGGTGTCTATTTCCCCACTGCCCACCCTGCTTCCTTTGCCTCTCTGAGGTTCTTGTTTGACCCCAGGGGGCAGCTGGCAGGAGGCAGCTGGCATTCTAGGGAGGCTTCAAGGCAGATGGGAGCAGGGTCAGAGCTCTGATTCCCAGCTCCAAACTTGGAGCACTACCTTCAGCCTTGGATTTAGGAATCCAACGTATTCCATGCTTTTCTAGGGCCCTTAGGATTGCTCTAAGTATGCTAATGCAAAATGCTATTATTACCTCTCTGTTCTGGTTTTTTAACAAAAAGCAGCAGCAGAGGACTTGAATCTCAACTGAGACTGCAACATGAAGGAGTGATGTTAACCCTTACCCTTTTGCTGTTTTCCTACTGAAAACGGGAAGCATAAAGTTGTAATTCTTCCCATCACCAGTTGGGTTCCAACTTAAATCCATGGACTATTTTCATTGTATCTAAAACATGAATGGTGTCTTTGGTTAGTACAATGTGCTGAAAGGATGTTGTTTTAAAATGGAAACATATTTAGTCATGATATTTGCATCTTTCCTCTCCAAAGGCTCTTTCCATATGAATGTATGCATTCTGGGAAGTTTGTACAGAATGGGATGAACTCCCAGAATACTCACATCTAGGTATTGACCAAGGCCAGGCCTGTTTAGCTTCCAAGATAAAACCTAGTTAAGAGGCTTCTCTGGGACTAGAAAGTAAATCCTGGCACTGCTTTCTCCTAGATTTGGATACTGAAACCTTCCAAATTTATCAACCACAGCTCACAATTGCCAGAAAACTCTTGTCGCAGGTATGTGCTATTGCAGATAGTGGCAACCAAAGCTTGGATCTGGGCCACTTCAGCAAAGTAGATTTCATCGTTGTAGTCCCTCGTTCAGAGGTGTTGGTTCAACAAACCATTCAGCGGATTCGACAATCAGGTAAACAAGTGGGGAGAAAAGAAGCATGTTAAATCCAAGAAGGTTTTTGATATGTCTGTATAGAATTCATGATGTTTTACATTAAGGAAAGCAAATCCAACCTGCAGGATTTACCAACCTTGCATTTGTATTCCTGCAAGTGAAGTGAAGATCATAACAAGACTGTGCATTTGTTCTAGGACTATCAAAATTGTTAACCAAGTTAGTCAGAATTCTGCACCAAATAAAGAATAATTCTTTGCTTTGTATACTTTATGCAAGAAACTTAATTGTCACATAGTTCTTTCAAAACTTCTCCTACTGCAAGCCCTACTTGGCCCTTTTCCTCTGATTTGGGATTTGAGATTGCAATAGTATAACCCACCCTCCCCCCGGTATATTTTCAGGCCTATCTTGACAGTGTTCAAGACTAGAAATGTAACAATAAAAATGCAAGTAAATATTTTCAGGATACTAAATTGTGGGGGCAGTTTTGACAGTTATTTGTTCCTAAAGAACTGGCATAGGAGAATATTGACAATGATCTGCACCTGGCAGCATTTTTGAAAGAAATTTTATTTATGTACGCATGCAATCACACATTAGATAAAATTAAAATGAAAGTACATGGTATTATTTGATTCATTGGTGGATAATAGTTCTTCTGCAGCTGCTACATTGCCTGTTTTCAGTCATATTTTTATTTTATATTATATTATGCTTACCCTGTCGTAAGGGAACAGTGTCAGTAAAAACATATCCTTCTCAATCTTTTACTCTGCTATAATGCATATAGGCATAATGTGCATAATGACTGAATTGGCATTTGGGTTTCAAAGCCAGTACTGCCTCCACTCAGTTGCTGACATCTTTTGTTATTTATTTTTAGACAAAAGCCAAGTTCTTTCTCTTATCCCATTTCTTCCCCAGGTGTTCTTGTAGATTTGGGTCTTGAAGAAAATGAAGCAGCTTACCAAAGAGCTGAAAAATATGTGGTGCGGCTAGACAATGAGATTCAAACCAAGTTCGACATTTTCATGAGACGGGTGAAACAGAATCCATATACACTTTTTGTACTGGTGCATGACAATGCCCATGTGGATTTGACAAGGTAATTCATCCCAAGTAAAGCAGTGTAACATTTAATAGTATACTATATATTTTCATTCAGATTATAAGTCTAAAAGAAGGGATTTCTGGAGTTTTTAATAAGTTGTTTCTGGAGCTTTTGGTATTTGCACAGCAAGTGGTACATTCTCCTGCCATTGCAGCAGGGATGACCCATACCTTTCCAACCTGTGTTAAAGACACAGAGAACTTGCTGGGCTCAAGAATAAACCACTATGTCTATAATGCTACTCTTGTCGCCTGAATTCATAAGCTTCATGTTCATGAATTGAAGTTTATGCAGCTGCAGTGGACTTGTGGTGGTCCTGGCATTATGCACTTACCAAGTATATGTGGAGCTTCCTTTGGGGACAAACTGTTGGGTGGTATATGGTCTTTACTTTGTTGAAGAACTAAAGATAAGTCTTCAGCATATGCTTGATCTACTTAAAGTATACTAGAGTTTCCCTAGATATTATTTCCAAATTGCTAGGTCTGGAATCACTGTTATGGTGCTTTGTCTAACACATTGTCATGGCTTTAACATTAGCAAAACAGGCAGTGTCATCCAGCTCATAGATCCAAAATGGGCATCAGAGATTTTGTATGGGCCAAGTGATTAAGCATCGGCCACATTATTTAGTTCCCCATACCAGGCCTGTATATTGCTCATGCCTGCTTCAAACTTGCTGATTTGACTGTGACATGGATTTTCTGCAACTACTTGAAAATCCATGATAGTGGTGAGCATGGTAACAACCACCTTGCTAATTGTATGGCTTAAGGCCTCAAAACTAAGCTCTGTATAGCTGACAACACCATCTGATAAGTTTCTAAGTAGGGATCACCCTGCAGAAGTTCGCTTGAAACCTACTTTTAGTGCTTTTTAGAGGCAAGTAGGATACTAAGGCTTTATTTCTAGATTGGTATACTAAAAGCTGTGAGTTTCCTGAATTTTTGTGGACCAGGTGACTCCTTCAGTCTCCATTTTAATCCAGGATGTGAAACAGACAGTAAAAGCTACATTTTTGTCTCATCTCATAGTGCTATCTCAAGCTCTTTTTCCCATGGAGAGCCAAGTCATGGACTTGCTGATAGAGTAATAAACTGCAGAGAGGTTCTTGAAGCATTCAACCTCCTTGTTCTCCAAGTGAGTTCTTTCCCATATGCTCTTCAAACCCTGCAGTCCAGAATCAGCTCTGCCAATGAGGTACACTGGATACAGTTTGGTAACATGGTAAGGGTCTAAATGTCACAAATTCAATACAGTCTTTGGAAGTGTGTGCATGTTCCCTATGATCATTTTTGATGCTTAGCCCTATTGATGTCATAAAGACAGAAGTTATTCTGACTGCTGCTTTAATACAGTCTGCAATCGAAATTTGATGGCATCTCAGAAGAGGTTTCATTGGATCCTCATCTTGTTCAACACTCAACATAGCCACTGATTGGCCTACCAGTTGCTTCACTGCCTCTAGGAACCTCAATACCATTGTTTAATAATGGTATGAACTTTATTTTCAGAAATGTATACATTTCTAGGGCAATTACAAATGAATAAATAGTAAGAGTATCCAACAGTATCATTCCACTAGCATGAATGATGTTGCACTAGAAGAAACTGTTCCAAAGTATGCACAACAGAAGACCACAAGTACTGTTACTTTTACTGATGTGGTTGTGCATTATGCTTGCACCACCGGTTCTGCAGATGGTTGCACATAGCTCTTGTGTAACCTTTTCTACCTTCCTGATTGCACAATTGTTTGCACCCATTGCTCATTCCACTTTTGCAACCTGTTGTGCAAATAAAATACCTTCTAATAAACAAAACTCGCAGCTGCTTAGAAGAATTAAAATCTTTAAAAGGGAAATGTGAAAAGCCTGGGAAAGTAAGCAGCTCTTTGCTTGGCACAAAAATAATACAGTGGGTACCAAGGAAACATCCCTGAGGAGGTCATTCCACTGATCAGACACTAATGTAAAAAGGCTTTCTTCAAGATTAGGAACTGCAGATGTAGATCTCATTGTCTAGCCAATCAATGCAGAATAGGATTGTCTAGTAGACACCAGGTCCTAAGCAATGCAGGGGTTTTAAGGTAACATGCTATTAAAATGCACTATATTAAGAATATGTATATTGGACAAAATTAAATGCAAGTATGAGACTTCTGCATGTGAAAATTGTATTAGCAGAAGTACACACGAAAGAGTATTTTCATGAGAACTTAAAAATTATTTAAATGCTCAAGTCAACTGAACTTAGGAGTGGAAAAACAGAGAAAACAAAAGTGATAGATTCATCCATCACTAGTTGTTGTGGCTACAAATATATTTAATATCCTGTCCATGTGATAAATGTTCATAATGATGTTCATTTTCACAGGAGCAGGAAGAAAATGGTGGGGTTTTGCTTGTAGGATGGATATATAAAGTGTTTGTGATCAATATTTTTCTTGCAATATTTCTGCTTGGAACAGGAGGAAATAAGCCAGGATGAGAAGCTATATTTTGGCTTGAATGAATACAGCAAATCTCTGCACTGGGGAATCACAAGCCCTCTTTTGAGATGTGATGAAACATTTGAAAAAATGGTGAATACACTATTAGAGAGGTAAATGCTTTAGCCATGGTCATGACCCTGGTTGTTGAGAAAGCTGCAGGTCACTGACGAGCAGTGACCAAGAACATATTATTTCCAGATACAATATATATGTATTTTAAGCTCAAGTATTTTGTCATTGGGGCAATACTATATATTTAAGATTGCAGCCTAAGTATCATTCTTGTTATTCTCCTGCTTGAAAATTTACAATCCTAGCATTATTAGGCTTGGCCTGGTATAAAAATCTGAGGTTGTAAATCAAATGCTAAACTTAAATTATATTTGGATGAATCACAGATCTGCAGACTAAATTAACTATTGAACTCTTGCAGCCTTCTCCAACTTGGTGCTCTCCAAATGTGTTGAATGGCAACTTTTGCAATTCCTGTCATGACCTTGCTGCCTTGGTATTATGGGAGTTGTCATCCAATGCATCTGGAGGGTTATTTGTATTTCTGTTAGTCATAAAGGCAGAAGTGTGTTCCAAGAAAATGCTTGTATAAGGATGAGAGTACTTTGGGAAATTCTGAACCATGCATGGCAGGAATCCTTCTTTCCTTGAATTTCTTGCATGGTGTTCAGACCAGAGCAGCAAATACTGATTTGACCTGACCACAGTTGTATTCCTTTTAAGGTACCCCAAGCTGCACAGCATGGTGATTCGCTGCTATCTGCTGATCCAGCAGTATTTGGAAGCCTTGATGGCTCTCACTACTATGGCCTCACTCCGAGACCACAGCACTCCTGAGACTCTCAGCATAATGGATGACATAATCACTGCACCAGGCAAGGATAAGAATGGCCGTGGCCACATGCTGATCATTAGGATTCCCTCCGTGCAGCTGGCCATGTTGGCCAAAGAGAGGCTGCAAGAAGCACGGGATAAACTAGGCCTGCAATATCGCTTTGAGATTATCATGGGGAACCCAGCTTCAGAACTTACTGTGGCCAAGCACTTTGTGAAGAGATTAAAGGTCAGTATATGCCTGGTCATTCTTTGAGCTGGTTGTTAAATTTCCGATGGAGAAGAGGCCAAATAAATATGTAGAAAGGCTCTATTTCACTGGATCTCGATAGTTCAAGTATTGTTTTATCTTGTTCATTTTTATGCTCTTGAGTAAGCAAATTTTGGTTCTTTTTTTAAAGTGTTCCACTGTGTTTAAGAAACAGTACAAACAATTGTTGGCCTAATAACTTAATCACTGTTCATGTCCAAAGGGAAAAATACAGTTGCAGGAATCTTTGAGTTATTCCAGCAAAACATCTAGGATTTTGCAGACTGTTTATGAAACCAGTACAACTGTACCAGCAAAAGTGCACAATGTGAAGTCTTGAAGTGATGTGGGGCAGAAAATGGGACATTTTGGGAACATGGAGGTGGATGTCAACTTTGTATATATATTGGGGGCAGGTGAAGAAGCTTCATCTGTGGGCCAGATTTCCCCTCCCTGGACCAAGCTAGTGGGCTGTATGATATAATGGGCTAGGGCTCTTTCTCAAAGCCCTGTCCACTCCTTTGATGTCATTGTGCTCTACCCATGTTTTATTTCCATGCAGGGAGAGGTTAAAAAGTTACATAAGTCAGTCTCAGGAGGTGCTGACTGAGTACTTAGTAATGTCCTAATGTCTTGTGGGGAAAGCTAGACAGGAAGGTACTTGGGCAGCAGTTGCTTCTACAAGCAGGTTGTATTCTACAAGGACCAGCCAAGTACAGTACCTCTTACTCCACTTGCATTACAAGCAGGGTAGGGAGGTGGGCTTGAAGTCCTGCAAGCATTGGCGGAGCAGTGAAATCCCTTAGGCTATCACTTGCTTTGCTTGGAGACAACAAAGGGATTCCCTTTTGTGTCACTTTCACTGTAAATAATCACTTATAAGATCAGACTGTTAATACCATATACATAATGTAGACCTTTTGGTCATAATAAATAGCAATATGTAATGCTTTTTGTTGTTGTAAAGCAGAGGTGTCCAAACTTTTCGCAAGGAGGGCCAGATTTGGTGAGGTGAAAATGTGTGGGGGCCGACCTTTCAGCCTGACATTCTTTGAACCATTAACATTAAATGCAAATGATCTATTTTATGAAAGACTAAACAAATAACTTAACTGCACTAATGTGAAGGGTGATACTGAGATCTCGACTACATTATATAGGCCAGGTCTGGCTCAAAAACAGTGGTTTTGATGCGCAAGATGTCACGCAGGTGAAAGTCACTTAGTCTCGTCCTCACGCGGTTCTTGTTAATGTTGATAACCAAGAATGTCTTCTCGCACAAGTATGTCGAACCAAACAAGCTCAGCATTTTCTTAGCAAATGTTCGAATCTCTTGGAACCTGTCTTTATCCAGCTGGTGGTAAAAGTTGACAAGAGGGAGCTGTTGGTGCTGACTGCGATACTCGGTGTCACACTGCAGCTCAATGAGCTCCAGCTGCAGGTGGTCTGGAGCGTCATCAGGGTCCACAGAGAAAGGAGACGAAAAAAACCTGATCTCCTTTTCAATAGCTGCAAAATCCCGAAAGCGCTGTTGAAACTCCTCAGCCAGAGATGAGATGTCTGCTTCATACCTCCTTATTTGCGCACTCATATTGTTCTGTGGAAAACTGGTTATTATTTCCTGCAGCGATGGGAAATGTGTGCTATTGGGCTGCGTTTGTGACAGGTGCCTTTGGAAAAGTAGCAGCTTGTCCCAAAGGCTTTGATATGTGAATACAGTTGGCTTACCACTGCATTTTGCCTCTGAAGGCTCGTGTTCAGCACATTCAGATGTCGTGTTATGTCAACTAAAAATCCAAAATCAGCCAGCCAAACAGGATCAGATAGCTCTGGCATCGGTTGTCCCTTTTTTGCCAAGAATTGTCCGATTTCCTCCCTAAGAGAGTAGAAGCGCTGCAGTGCAGACCCCCGACTGAGCCATCTTACCTCGTTGTGCTACACAACATCTCCGTATTCAGCCTGGATGTCGAGTAGAAACTGTTGAAACTGGCGGTGGCACAGGGCTTTGGAACGAATATAATTAATAGCCTTCATCATCGGTTTCATAACATGATCATATTTCAGATGTTTGGCACAGAGAACTTGTTGGTGAATAATACAGTGGAGTTTTATAGCTTTGCCTCCTTCTTCACTGACTTTGTTACAGACTAGGGTTGATAATCCACTTTGCTCGCCAGCCATGGCAGGTGCGCCATCCGTAATAATCCCAGTGACTTTATTCCATGGTAGTTTCATGTCATCTATGGTGGAATAAACAGAAACAAATAAATTTGTTCCTCTTGTTCGCTCCTTAAGGCTCTGGAGGTCAAGTAGCTCTTCATTCACTTTCATGTCATTGTCCACTCCTCTCAAAAAAATCAATAACTGAGCGGTGTCAGATGCATCCGTGCTTTCATCGCAGACTAACGAAAAAAAGTCAAACTCCATTCCTTTTGCCTCTAACTGTCTCTTAATATCAGATGAAACGTCTTCAATTCTCTGTACCACAGTGTTACGAGCCAGGCAAACATTGGCAAACTCTTGCTTCTTCTCAGGACAAATTTTCTCCACCATTTTCATCACGCATTCTTTAATAAATTCACCCTCAGTAAAAGTTTTGCAGTGCTTGGCAATCAGCGTTGCCACCTCGTAGCTCACCTGTGTGGCATTTTCATTTGACTCACAGGCTCTTGTGAAAAAGCGCTGCTGTGCTGTTAAAGCAGCTTCCAGTTCCTTCAATTTTTCGCCACGTTCGTTCCCAGTTAGCTTGTTGTAGTTAGCATGTTTCGTCTGGTAGTGCCTCTTGATATTGAATTCCTTGAAAACATCCACAGTCTCTTGACAAATTAGGCAGACACAGTTGTTTCGTATTTCAGTGAAAAAATACTCCAATTTCCACTTGTCCTGGAAGCGGCGGTCCTTGCTGTCAACTTTCCTTTTTTTAGTTACAGTCGCCATTTTAGAAATGGGCACACAAGCCTTGTGTCACAAGGGTCACGCGGTGAGAGTGCTGACTCAGGTCTTCTGCCATCTTCTGGTGAAATATAACCACCAGCCTTGAAGGAGCAGGAGGCAGCAGGAGACAGCTGTGGGAACCGCTGTGCGGTGAAGGGAAAAACGCCAGCCAGCGGGAATGAGTGATAGGCTGAGCCGGCGGGGAGAAGAGGCTGCGGGCTGCTTGAAATTTGAAAACAGGCCGCAGTTGGCCCCCGGGCCAGACTTTGGACATGCCTGTTGTAAAGGAACAGTTCCTTGAGGTACACAGACCTGGGTTTGCAATCATGGGAAATGCAAGGTGGTCTCCAAAAGAATTAGTTCATGACTCATGAAGAAATCCTTCAGGGTGCCCGGAAGATGGACTAATTGTATATGAGCTTGACTTGCATATCCAAAACCTCGCACTTTCTTACTTCTCATTTGAGTCCCACATCAAGTACAAGCCTGCACTTTAAATAACCTCACATTATAGGGTGGTTATATTTGACTGTGTGCCTCTGAACAGAGCCCACTGAGCAGGATCATATAACTTCACAATCTCCTATTGAGCAGGGTTCATCGTGTGCTTATCCTCTGTCATAATTCAGTTTGGGTTGCTTCTTAATCAATTTTGCACCGAGGGGCAGATGACTGGTGGTGAAAGGGAAGTTGATCTTTAAGAGATGACATTGCTTTTAGCCTTGAGAGAGAAATTAGTCACAGTCCTCTTCACAGGGAGACTTTAAAAACATAGCACATTACACTGACTCATTGATCCACTGCAAGGTGTCCAGTTCCTGGGCTAATCTTTTACTTCAAAAGGAATTATTCATAATGTACAGCATTTGTACAAGAGGTGTGTGTGAGAGAAAGATGAAATGTCAGATGGAGAGGAGCAAATATGAGAGGAAACTGTCAATGAAAATTCCTTCCTTCCTGTGTGCAGATCTTTTAGACAGCTTTTGTTAAGCTATATACTCTCATAAGTATATGATGACATAAATGTGGGAAGAGATTCTGCTTCCTTTTTAATGGCCATGCCTTTGGATGCTTTTTTGTTTGTTTGTTTTCTACTTCTGCTTTAAGTATACATCTCTGGTTGGTTGGTCAAGCTTAAATTACATGTTTCGCATACAATTGCTAGCCATTATATGCAAGGAAATTTAACCTTTGATTTAATCACAGCCTTTAACCTGTGCTGCAGTTTGTCTTTTCCTTCTTTCCCCCTTTGTTATACTGTAGACACCTAAAGTCACCCTAATCCTAAATCTGCAGGGAAGGAGGACTGCTACAGATCATAGGACTGCTTTCTCATTTAGAAGATTCCACTCTCACAGAGTTTTTGCAAGTACCCCCGCCCAGCCCTGTATATAATCTGATGATTATGTGTGAAGTAAGGTTCGTTAATTGGTTCAATTGGAATCCTGCTCTAACAGTCAGGACATTCTTCCTGATGTTCAGCTAGAACCTGGCTTCCTGTAACTTGAGCCCATTATTCTGTATCCTGCACTCTGGGATGATCAAGACAATATCCTGTCCTTCCTCTTTGTGACAGCCTTTCAAGTACTTGTAGAGCACTATCCCTTAGTCTTCTATTCTCAAGGCTAAACATGCCCAGTTCTTTTAACCTCTCCTCTTGGGGCTTTGTTTGCAGTCCCTAGATCATCATTCTTAAACAGTGGTGGCCAGAAATAGACACAGTACTCCAGATGAGGTTTAACTAGTAAAGGGGAACTAGTACTTCACATGTTTTAGAAGTGATAGTTGTATTAATGCAGCTGCATAACATTGTTGACTCATATTCAGCTTGTGACCTACGACAATTCCAAGATCCGTCTCCCTTGCAGTATTGTTGAGCCAAGTATTCCCCATCTTGTAATGATGCATTTGGTTTCTTTTTTGTAGGTGCAGAACTTGGCATTTGTCCCTATTGAAATTCATTCTATTGTTTTCAACCCAGCACTACAACCTATTAAAATCACCTTGAATCTTCTTTCTGTCTTCCAGAATATTAGCTGTCCCACACAGTTTTGTGTCATCTGCAAATCTGATAAGCATTCCCTGCTCTTCCTCATCCAACTTGTTAATAAAAATGTTGAAGAGCACTGAGCCCTACAGTACCTTACTTGTTACCTCTTCCCAGTTTGAGAAGCTGCCATTGATGAGCACTGTTTGAGTCCAATTCTGTAGCCAAGTGTGGATTCATTTGATAGTTGTTCCATCTCACCCACTTTTGGCTAGTTTGTTAATTGGAATGTTGTGGGGCACTTTGTCAAAAGTTTTGCTGGAGACAAGATATATTATGTCCACAGCATTCCCACAGTCATCAGGGTAGTTACACAATCAAAAATTGAAATCAGATTAGTCTGGCAGAATTTGTTCTTAACAAATCCATGATGGTGTCTCGTAATCATTGTATTGCTTTTAGGGTGTTTGCAGACTGACCACTTTATAATCTGCTCCAGACTTTTCCCAGAAATAGCTGTCAGACTGACTGGCCTGTACTTCTCAGGTTCTTCTTTTCTTTCTTGAAGATGGGGACAATATTAGCCCTTTTCCAGTCATTCGGCACTTCCCCAGCTTCCATGATTTCTCAAAGATAAAAGACAGTGGTTCTGAGAGTTCTTCTGGCAGCCCCTTTATGATTCTAGGATGGAGTTCATCGTGCCATGGAGATTTGAACTCATACAACCCAATTAGATGTTCCTTGATCATTTGCCTATCAATTTTGAGCTGCTGTCCTGCTCCATAAGATTGTGCTTCCCCTTCTTCAGGAAGGTCATAGTTCTTATTTTTGGAGAAGACTGAGCCAAAGTAGAAATAGAGCACTTCTGCCTTTTCTTTGGGGCATCCCTATGCAGAACCCTTAGATTATGTCATGATTTTGTGGCAAAATGGTAGGATTTAAATTTGTGGGACCTGAATTTAGGGGGATGTTTTTCTTTTCTTTTTTCTGTGGACAAAGGAGGATATCCTACCTGTTGCACAGCGTAGGAAAGGAAAGAAAGAACTGTCCTTGAATACCTGTTCAAGCATTGTTTTTAGTACAAAGAATGTATGAGGAATAATGAAAAATCGATCTACGCTTCCTTGCATTTTTTCTTCACAGGCATGGAGAGGAAATGACCGGGAAGACTGGTTTCCTCACACTTACCAGGATTTGGAAGGTCTACCTTGTATTGTTGTTTTAACTGGCAAGGACCCACTAGGTGAAACATTTCCCAGGTATGCTGTCACTTAATCCACTGTGAAAGTACTATTTTAAAAGCTTCTTAAATACCTATATAATCTCCAGCTTTTTATTTTAAGTGACAATTAAATAATGCTGAGTGGTAAATTTGCAATTATTCCTCCTCCAGCTGAAGAAAAACATACAAGAACTGCTGTAAAAATGCATGTTGTTGATTTAAAGGGTGAGCACTTGTAAAGGTTTATAGGCTCTCTTTCAGCAAACTATCAGAATAGTAGATAACAGTGACAATAAAAGTTACAAAATTTCTCTTGACAGCAAACGGTAAAACTTCAACATAAAATTTCAGTGAAATGGGCACCACCCTCATTTGATCGATACTACTGCTTAAAGGCTTAGTAATGGAGTGAGGAGGCATTCCAGAAATCTGGTGCCACAACTAAAAAGGCTGCCCGTCTAGCTGTTACCCACGGAGACTCAAATGGTAGCAGGATCTGAGAGAAAGCTGCAGCTGATGGGCATGAGATTTGGACAGGCTTCTGCAGAAGTATTTCAGCAAACATTGCTTAAGAAGAGATAGATGCAGTGGCCATTACTGAAGCTGCTATGGACTTTAACCTTTGTTCCTCATTTCACAATACAAAGATAATTAGTAGCTTAAAAAAAAGAAAACCTTATTCTGTGACAACTCCTTTTTTGTTACCCCTTAGTGCCAGGACCCTTTTTCCTCCTGCAAGATTGCATCAGATGGGTTGAATTCATTTTCCAGTACATCCTGGGATAAACATACCACAAATGAACAGAACTCTGCTTTCTTCAGACCTGTCTCAGAAAATAAAAGATTGGTTTGACCTGACAGGAGATGAGTTGCAACCATTGTTGCCCTTCTCAGGTTTGGGAAAGGGAACCTCTCTGTTTCTGCTGTCTATTCATAACAAGCGTAATGTAGAAACCTTAACAAGCCAGACATGGAAAAGACAGCAAAAATTAGAATTGTACCCAGGGAATCATCATCATTATCATCTTGTTGTGGTTGTAGTTTGCAAGTATTATTATGAATTTTGTTTATATTTATTTCATTTATTTATTTCATATGGTGTTGGTACAATTAGCCAGGAAGTCTTAAGTGCTAATGCAGAGTAGTTTGGCTGCCTAAGATTGCTAGCTCTTCAGTTTACTCTCTCCACTGTGCACCACAGGGGGCAAGCCAGCTTTGCACACAAAGCAGCTAATGCTGGTCTGCAGAGGTGTTGATGTCCACTGGTCTTGCTGCCTAAAAAGGATTCTCTCCTTGAAGGCAAAAACCATACCAAATAAGTTTGCTTATCACAGGATTAACTCCTATGCAATGCTGTTGCATATTCCATTCTATTTTGCTCTTTTGTTTCCAGATGAAAAAGTGAAGTAAGGCTTACCTTTGAAATGTTATTATCTTTATATTTGATGATTCTGTTTCTCATGTTTGCTATACATAATAAGGATAAATGGATTTCCCTGTTTCATTCCTTTATTGTCATGTAGGTTACTGTGTTGCACAATCCCGCTTGCCTTTCAGTTTAACTTTCAGTTCTCAGTTCATATTTCTTTTTCTTCTTGACAGATTACTGATACACTATAGACAAAAGGTATCTAGATTTGATAGTAGAATGGCAGCAGGAACCCCCCTTGTGCTGTAATTGGAACAGTGAACCCATGTGCAAAAGAATCTTGATACAGTCACATCTGTTATATTTGCACAATGGTTTAGTCAGTCATCAGTGTGCACATGTGAATCTGTGTGTGCATGTTGTGTGTGTCGGGGAGGCATGAACTGAAAAGTACAGCAAAGTTTGCACAGCAATAAAAAAATCCTAGAATTAAATTATGGAAGAATAGTGTCTTGCCAACCCATCAGTACTATTTCGAAAACAAAATCTAATAGTTTGATCCTCAGAGCAAGGAGGAAATTGGATAGGCTAAAACATGACAGAATAAGATTTGAAGGTAAACTGAACAAGTCTATCCTATCAAAGTCCCCATCTCTGTTACAGGCAAACTATTCCTTACCATTTCATACATTCATGGAACAGTACAAAAAAATTGCTTGCAGTTCGAGTAGCAAGAATTCCATTCTCTCTGCCCTTCCAAAACCAAGCCAAACCAACTCTCCTTTTCTATTTTCCAGGTCTTTGAAATACTGTGATCTTCGACTGATTGACTCAAGCCATTTAACTCGCACTGCCTTAGAACAAGAAGTAGGCCTGGCATGTTGCTATGTTTCAAAGGAGGCGATCCGAGGTCCTGTTGTAGCCCTTGACCTTAGTGAGAGGGAGCAGGAGAAGGCCAGTGTTGGTGAGAATGATGGTGATGAACTGTCAATTGATTTGGAGAGACCCCAGAGTAACAGTAGTGCTGTGACTGGAACTTCAGGTGGGCTTTTTATTTTACCATTCTGTGTTGTCCTTGTCCTTCCTCTTAGACATCAGGCTTTCTGAAACAGGTGAGCCTGTGCAAGAAACCTAATGGAACAGTTCCTTTGCTGAGGGAACTTCACTGGTTGCCTATTCACTATCAGATCAAATACAAGGTATACTTGAGAGATGTACTTACCAGCTTTCTCAGTCACTGAGATCATTCAATGAAGCACTTCTGCTGCTTCTATATGAACCTTATGAGCCAGTCAGAATTCACCCAGAGAAGAGCCTTCAGAGTTCCCTCTCAATAGAATTTCTTACCTGTAGATTTGAGGCAGACACCAAGATTGTTTTGTTTATGATGCCTACTGGAGGCATATTTATTTCATTAAGCCTTCCCTAATTCACCAGTCTTGGTTTTTGCTGCTGCTGCTGCTGCTATTATTATTATTGTTGTTGTTGTTGTTGTTGTTGTTGTTGTTGTTATATGATAATATTATATCATAATAATAGCAGCAGCAGCAAATAATAATAATTCATTTTATTCCTTTTACTTATTATTGTTCACCACATTGGAATCTGTTTAGATAGTATATAATTGTTATGAAATGATGAATAAATTCAATAAATAAAAATGCAGTTCTAAATATAGTACATCCCTTTTTTATTCAATAACTGTTGTGTGAGAGTAACTACAAAATATGATTAGTAATGAACATCTGCTCCATTACACACATAATACCAGAACTCTCAGAGCTAGCCTTGAATGTAAGTGGAACATTAAATGTCCTGCTAATTTAAGTATCAAGAAAAATATGCTGTCATTTGACTTTTAAGCCAGTTTTAGATAATTTCTTCTGGTATAACCTAGTGGCACAGTTGTGAGTTCTGTGGACCAACCTTTCTCAACATGGAAATGCTTGGATTTGTGCAGTGTAATCCAACACATCTGCAAGTTTAGGGAAGGTCTGTAGAGACTGTAGCCCAGGAAGTAGTGGTGAGCTCTGTGCTTCTCATAAGGCCAGGCTGCTATTGTAGACATATAGCTAGATGGCAAAGTGTACTGTGCTAACCATGCTAGTCTCCTATGTCTTCCTGAAGGACAATACTGGGCCCAGGATGGTAGAGATGTAACAGCAAGAGTGGGCACCTGTTAGGTTTGCAGGATCCATTTTGTTTTATCCTAGAACCATACTGTGCAGCAATTAGAGCCTGGAACAATGTCATGTGCTTAGAATGAAAGAAGTATAACCCCAGGAAATTGTTTAAAGTGTGACAGCTGAATGGAACTCATAATCCTTTGCACAAAACTCTTTTCCTCCTTGCACCAAGTTTTCTTCATTTTCTTCATTTATAATTTAGAGTGCAGAAAAGTCATTTTGTTACTTTTTAATTAACTGAGAGTCAGGATTCCTTCCTGATGTACTGTATGTTACCCATTAATGTACCAGTAGACCTAATTTACCTTTTGCCCAATCCTGAATTAGGGCTAGAAAGACCTAGGTTTGCATTCTATGTAACCCAAAGAACCATTGGATGACCTTGAGCCAGTATTATTGCAAGGATAAAATGTTTGTGCAGAGTCTTTCCTGGCTGTGCACTGCCTTGAACTATTTGAAGGAAAGGCTGGGTATGAATGTAATATATAAAATAGGTACTGAAGACTAGAATCCCAGCCCAGGGTTTTCCTGGCCTTTCTCCTTTGACAGAAGCTCTGGCTGGTTAATTCAACTTGTGAAGTTCATCTTGCTTCCACCCTGCCTCTTATGCTTTCTAAGTCCGGACATATACAAGTCCTGTACTTGTAAGAGTTGCACAGAAGTGATGGTTTCATCAGGACTGGTTTTCTCAGTCATAGTGTTTGCTTAATTCTATCTATCTATCTATCTATCTATCTATCTATCTATCTATCTATCTATCTATTTAGAATCAAGTTTAGGCTACCTTCAAGAGTAGAGCTTAGAAAGACAGGATAAATTGCACCTGACAGGATAAATTTGCATCTGTTGGGTCTCCTTCTGACATAACCATGATCACAAGTAGGCTACAGGAAATTGTGCATCAAACCATGTTTTCTAATCATTAACAACACAACCTAGTTTGAGTTAAGGTCAGTACTGCCTGATGTGAGGAAAATGCTTTTGGTGGGTGGAACACCTGATCCTGTGGCTTCTTCATGTTCCCTTAATCATTGTTAAAAGATTGGGATGTACTAATTCTTAAAGGCATAGAGCCTTTCCTCATTCAGACCTGGCAATCCTAGTCCTTCCTCAGCTTTCTGTCCATAGCTTCCAAAGCTATGCTGTTGTAGGGTTGACACCATTTTTTCAGGTCTTATTGCAAGACCATTAATAACAGGTGATTTGAAGGGACTAAGCATGCAGCACTTTTTTATCCCTATCTGCACACTGAGAGGAACATTAGCACCATAATGTCTTTGTATCTGGCAGCAGTTATAGTCACAGGATGTTCATTCATCATTCTTTTTCTTCCTAAACCTTGTGTATCAGCCAACCTAAATCTGGTACCTTCCTGATGTTTTTGACTACACCGCTCATCAGCTCCAGCTGTTGAAATGGTAGGCAGCCACCAGGGTGAGAAATACTGAGTTATACTCATAGCTTATGACAAGACTTCTGCACCTTTGAAAAAGTTCGTGACTGGCTGGGGTGATGAGGACAGTTGTGCTGTTTCATTTCTACTAGTCTTGAAGATTCATTACAGATGTGTCTGGTTCTCCTTTCTACCCATAGCACTTTCATCTTCAGGCTTTTGGGGCAATTTGAAAGCTCATAGTATTTTGTACTGTGTCGTATTTACATTCTCCCTTTTTTTCTTCGAAGGAACTCAAGGTGGCTTACATAATTCTCCTCCTCCTCTTCTCAATCTTATCCCCACAGCAACAATCCTGTGAGGTAGACTGGGCTGAGAGTCTGTGATGGGCCCAAATTACCCAGTGAGCGCCATGGCTTAATGGGGACTAGAACCCAGTTCACACGAGTTCCAGTCCTATACTACACCACCCTGGATCTATGAAATATGAATTTTAAAAGTATGGATAAAATATTTGTGGCATAAAAGGTATAGAGCAGAAGATAAGTGTTGAAATTATGTGCTGTATTTTATTAAATATCATTTAGTTCTTTGTTTCAGGTTCTATAGCAGAAAATGGAGTGAGTTCTTCCAGTGCCACAGATAAGTCTCAGAAGCCACCATCATCTCTGAACTTCCAGAATGTGGCAAGCAGCTCAGTCGATGAAGGTTTTGCCACTGGGGAGAACCTGAAACAAGAGTGTGACTCTCTAGGCAGCCAGATAGCCAGCAGTACCACTTCTAAACACTCAGCAGCATCCCCATCTGTCAGCCATACATTCCGGTGGCCTAGCCAGTCCGTGAAAGACTGCAAAGCATTGCGAGTGTCCTTACCCCGAATTGTGATCTTGTCTAAAGCAGCCTACTGCCTTCTTGGCTCACAGAAAAGTGGACAGTTGCCTTTCTCAGCTTCTCTCTTACCTCATGCTGATGTTTCTTGGGTGAGCTCTCTGAGGCCTTTGCTGCATAAGGACATGACCAGTGAAGAGCAGTCTTTGTACTACAGGCAGTGGACCACGGCTCGACAGCACCATGCGGACTACAATAATCATAGTGAAAACAGTGGCAGCAGGAACTTTCACCCACGACGGCTACTTTTGACAGGACCTCCACAGGTAAAAGAATGCCCCTCTTTTAGTGAACCATTGGAAGTGCCAAAATAGTTAATAACTCAAAAAAGGACCTGGATTTTGGTTGTGAAAATACGTGTTAGGAGTTAAGCAGTTGTGATTGAAATAATTTAAGTGCTTTGGAATTGTTTTCCATGTTCCATATTTATGTGTATGCATAACTGCTGCATAAAAGATTTTGTAAAGTGAGAACAATTATGTGGGTTTACATCAGTACATCAGTAAACATCAGTTAACATCAGTGACTGTCCTGAGATGCTAGTAGTTGGATGGTATATAAATGCTTTAAATAAATAAATAATCAAGCAAACGTCAGTAGTTCATTAATACATGACTATCCAATGCCATCTCTTCTTTCTTTACTATGTGCCAGTGCATAGTTAAGGTATGGCATCTGTGCTACAGAGCAGGGCTGTTGTGATGTGCTAGGGGCTCTGAGCACTCTTTGGCCTCAGCTTGTGAAACATCAGGTAGTGTTGGCATTGAGATTTACAGTGGTTGCACTTGCACACAATTATATGTGGTATTCTTGCCTGACCCTGGCTTATTCTAAAGAAGCAGCCTGCCAGTATATACTCCTTCTGTCAGATGAAGAGATAAAACTAATCAGGAAAGAACTGTTGCCATGTTTCAAACCTTGGTTCCTGGGTTATTGTTCCTAAAAGAGCCAAGATCAAAACAAGTAATGAGGGCTTGGCTGACATGTCTTGGCTCATTTAGGAAAAGCAAACAGGATCCTCTGTTCAGATAGCACAATCACTTCTTGGTTAGTTTTACCTCTCTTTGGGTAGGGAGAAAAAAGGGCTCTGTGCAGCAGCATACCATTCAGTTGTGGTAAGCCAAGATAACTCTGCAATCATGGCTTATCATTATGTGTAAACTTGGCAGTATGATTTCATAACTTCTTATAGTCTACTTTACCCAAAACTGCTGTAGAAGCACAGCCTCAGCTGTATTAGAACAAATGAATGAATGCTCAGTTCTAACCTCTTCTTTTGATCTCTGTAAGTTGCCAGTTGGATTTTAAGTATCATCCAGAAACCCATGGGTAGATGACCTAAGTAACAAAGAATGGCATTACTACCAATAAAAGTATGGCATCAGTGAGATATCGTCAGATTAAGTCTTACATTTTGCTTCTGATTAACCATGACAGTAGAAAACAGTCTTTTAAAGTCATGTGTTCATACTTGTTGGAGTCATACATCAGTTTCCCTTGAGTGATAAACAGATCCAGGTAAAAGAGTTAGGAATGTGAAAGAAATCGATCTTGGACTAGAAATCCATCAGATTCACTGGGCTCAGCTCCCAGAAGTCCAGATCATTTTGCAGTGGCCCAGAGTCTGCATTCCTGGCAAGCTCTCCCAGGAATCAAGCCACGCCTTCTGTGCAAGCAGCGCCCTTCTCACACTCCAAATACAGCTGCTGTTTGTGCAGCTGCAACTGGTGCTGAAAAAGGCTCGTTGCAAGGGGCTCCCCCGGTAACCCCCTGCAACCACTGCACAAGCCAGATCCCTCTTCCACACCAGCTGCAGCCCCCTTTAGGCGGACACAAAAGAAGGTTGCCAGGTGCACAATTGTGAATCTGTGAGCTTTCATAGACTCTCTCTTGGCTTGGCTTGAGCAAGCTGTACGCAAGAGGAAGCCTGCAAATGCTTGGAGGGACAGATCCCATTAGGGTTCATCCCAGCTCTAATAAAGTGAGGGCAAGAATGATGGATGAATTAAAGCTGCTGTTAATGAAATTATTTTATTCATACTGACCAAGAAGAGGAATCAATTATGCTTGGTATTAGTTCAAAAGTTGAAACTAAGAATAATGGAATCAAATAATTCATAGATAAGCCAACGTCATCTTATCCACCCCAGGATTTAAGATAAGATTCTCCAAATATAGGATTGCATAATCTTCTACCTGCAACTAAATGTGCTTCAGGGGAAGAGTTAATCTGCATGAGGTGGTTGAACTGCCTTTGTATAATGGCAACTGATGGGAACTTGGGTAGGAAAGTGAGTAAACCAAAGAAGAGTGTGTATGAAGAATGGCATTGCTTTGCAGTTCTATACTGAATCAGAATAGCTTTCAGTAACCCAGTAGCACGTTCCAAGGAGAACTCAAAAGCCACCACTCTTGTTCCTGAAGGGTTCATGACAGCAGCAGGACAGGAAGTAGACTTTTAAAAATGGGAGTTCTGCAGTGCATTAGTAAATGTATTGTTCCCATCTGGCCTTGGATACCCAGTCCTTTGTTCTTTGCTTTGGAGGTTAAATGGAGTCTGCATATAAATTATGAGTGTCTCAACAATTCAGGAGAAGAGGAGGTCATAACTCAATGAATTCCAAGTAGTCCTGACAATTTGTTGGTGGCCATTGGGGTTCTTCAGTATTAGCAGTGTAGAATCTCACCCTAATTGCCATATACTTTGGTGGTCCTTCAGATGGAAGACCCTTAAATAAGTCCTCCTGTAATAAAATAATTGAAGGACAAACAGAAAAGTTTCCCTCATAATGTCATCTAAACTAAATTTTTCCCTTCGGTTTTGGTTTAGGTGGGGAAAACTGGTTCTTATTTGCAGTTTCTACGGATTCTCTTTCGTATGCTGATTAGATTGCTGGAGGTGGATGTATATGATGAAGAAGATATTAATACAAGTAAGTACTAAGAGCCAATTCTCATTTCCAAGGATCAATTATCTCTGTCAATGATCAAGTTTGCAGAGTGCCCTGTGAAGAGTTGGTGCTATACCTTCATACAGATTTTTAAGTGAAAGAAACTGGCATTAACAATGAACTATTTGAGAAACCAGATTAGGTACGCACAAATCTATTAAATCAAATTCTCTCTAACCAGCATGGTTCCTGATCATGGCTAAATAATACACATGGAATAGCTATAAAGACAATTTTCAGATAACTTCAGCAGATACTAAGATGAATTGCCAGCATGTAAAATGACCTTAAATGGAAAATAGCAAAGCAAACACTGGGGATCATCTTATATTTCAACTTACATAAACACCCCAAAATACTAACCTTGTCTTATATTTGAATCTCCTTATACAGTGATATATACAGGTATTTTTCTGAAACATTCCAGTTGCTTGTTCCACATGTCACTACCATATAGATGATCCTTGAAACTGAAAATAGCAAAGCAAAAATTGAGAATTTGTCATATACTCCCAATATATGACAAACTCCAGGAAACTGCAGCTCCAAATACTGACCTTGTCATATGGGAGTCACTTTTTATGCCGGTATATGCAGTGCCTATCCTTTGGGTTTTTGAAACTACTCTAACATGATTTGAGAAATATGAATCCTATACCCCAAGCACAGTGAAAAGGAAGCTTTGGTTCAAAGGCTATATAAATAACAACAGCCACAACAACATGATCATAATGTTGTTTGCTGATGTTCATACATAGATTTGCTGATGTTCATACATAGACCACACTTGCAAATAGTGAAAAGTTTCAGGATTATCAGCTCTTACCCAGGATTCAGCTTCCTTAGTAGAGGGGTGCTGGATCCAAGGACTAAATTCCAAACAGGAATTTAATCCAAGGACTAAATTCCAAACAGTGAGGGGTGAAGCTAAAAGGGTGAGGCCAAAAGTACCAAAAATACCTGTATATTTTAGCTTAAATGTTTACTACTAGTTTCCAAGCTTTAGGAAAGTCATTTCACCTTTAGAAACTAGGGGAGACTGCATAAAACCAAATAGTCAGTGGTTGTTGGAAAGTGGTATGGCTATGGAAAGGGCCTGTTATGTGGATTACTTACATAGATGTGCAAGCTGAGTATAAGGTGAAAGTTCAGAACATTGACATCAGCAGATTTCTGTTCACTATCATGTACCTAGAGAAGCTCATTGATGTGCAGCAAGTACAGCTCTTCGTTTCATTTTCAGATCTATTTCCACCAGAGACTAAATTCCTACAACAGACTTTATCTGCCCAATGCTGTGTCATCTCTGCTTATTCCCTACATCGGGTGCACAACTTTTGTGCTAGAAAAACTGTATCTAGGGCTGGGGCTGTGTATGTGCGCGCACACACACACAGAGAACGAGAACACAAATAAGCATTAGCAACCACAGAAGTGCAGTGATCACACATGTGAGACCAGGGAGTTGCCTTCCATTACCCCCAACAGTCCACAATGGTACTGCCTTTTTTCTTTTGCACTGCTACTAGCAACAGAAAAACTGCTCTCAGTGTTGTTCCAGTACTTCCACCTCCAAATCACTGGAAGCTTTGAGAGCTACAGGTGGTCCATGGGTGTGCACACCTGGCCTGTGCTTTATTGGGCCATCCTAGCACCTGCTGAAACACATAGCAAGAGTGTTACCATCTGTAAACTGCCACAAGGCATCAGCACTGATAGTTCTGTTTACAGAAATCTTAAGAGTCAAGGTTTACATAGTTGGATGGAATGCTGAATCTCTTTGTAGTGGGAAGCACTGGACTGCCAGGGATCCATGAAAGGAAATTCAGACCAACCCCAACCCATGACAACACAGCAATAACAAACAAAAATCATTGTTGTCATTATTGTTACATTGTGTATTATTTCATTTAGAACAAGATTTGTGATCCTAGAAGTACATGTTACATTTTTGTCTGTCAGCAGAATCTATCTTTTGTAGCAAGATTGCTGGTTCAGACCCAAAGCTTGCATTAGTACTGACCTCTCAGTTGTCTCTGTGAGCACACAAGATGATCATGGTAATTAGAGCTAACTGCTTATTGCTTCAACATCTGGTAGGCAATGATATACTGTCGAGTGTTATGGTTAGACTTTGATGGAGACTTTGTTATAGTTTGATGTCCTCTGTAAATTTGCTTTATCCTCTTTTACAGTTATGTAATGTAGTGGATATTATTGAGCCTTGTGATTATAATTAGATAATTATGCACGTAGCAGAATTTTATTTTATTTGTCCCGAACACCCTTTAGTCCAGGGGTAAGCAGCCTTAAAGCTTGTTGGATCTGTGGGTTGTTTTTCCTTGGACTTGAAGATCCATCAAGATCCAAGAGCTGGGGTCAAGGGGCATATACTTAGAATTAAAGAACAGGGTACCTCTGAGCACATCCTGCTCTTTAGATTTTATTTCTGTACTGAAACCAAATTAAGCACAGATCATAGTCCTTTCACATGCAAGAGCAGTCCTGATCACCTCAATTCAAGTGGAAAAATTCAGAAGGAAAAAAATAAGTTTGTTCTTGTTCTTTGTGGTCTCTGTGTCTGTGTGCAGCCTGTGGTTGGGAAGTTTGTATTGGGGAGAGAGTTTTGGCAGGAGCCCCTCCCCTCCCCTCAGCATCAGTATATTAAAGGGGCTCCCACCCATTCCCTCTGTTCCTCTTCACCCCCCATTGTGGTGTCTTGGGAAGTTCATCCAGGTGTGTTCATTAGCTGTTTCTTGCCATTTTCTCTTGTGCTTTAGTTTTTTTGTGCCTTTGTATCTCATCTTTACAATACTTTATTTCCATTTCTCCACTGAACCCTTCTTCTTTTTCCTTTTAAATCTCCCTTTTTTCCTCAAAGCCTTTGTTTGTTTGTTTTCTCCCTTCTTTTTTCTGTGGGTTTTTTTTTTTTTTTGGCCTGATTTTCTTTAGATACCTCCTTAGCAGAGTGCCTAAGGTGATAAACCTTCAGGAACTCTATCTTCTATAGGAGCAAACACTCGCCAAATGCTGGATAAGGCCTTTGCATGATATGGTTGCAAATAGTCCCACAGAAATGGGCCCACCTGGAGCAAGGTGCTGCAGATGGTGGATTCCTCCACATCTGTGGAGGAGGAGCACCTGTGCACTGCAGAGGTGCCAACCTTGCCTCCAACTGTGCCTGCTTCAGTCAGGCTCTAATCATGGCCAAACTGCACTGCCTGTACTTGGTTATTCCTTGAAAGAGTCCAAGGCCAAGAAGGGCCAAAGCAGCAAAATTGGCCGAAGCCATGAAATCAAAGGACTATAAATGGCTGACCAAGCAAGAATAATCTGTGCTGAACATTACCATAGCCATCCTTATGGTACTAAGAGCAGAATCAATCTTGGCTACTTTATCAAAAGCAGAGATCCAAGACACATCATGACAACCACCAACTCATCCTCCTTCCAAACTCTCATTGTTACACCATTGGGGTACCATCTTTCCAAGGTCATTGGGAGCCAGTGGTTCCACCTAGGAATCGACCACCACAGGGGCCACTCGCATATGTATGATTTTAGATGACCAGTCAAGAATGACCGTCATAGCATAGCAACTTGCCTTTATTGTTAAAACAATTTGGTGTCTGAAACCCTTGTACTGCAGGTCACCCAGATGTGGACCAGTAAAGCCTGATAACACCTTATTCCCACCTCCGTTGTAGTCTTTAAGAAGTCACCATTTCTTAGACTTAGACCCCAATCAGTAAAACAGGATGGGAGGGGGAATGCTACACATCTTAAAAGAGAAATTGTAAAAATTCCTGAAATAATGTATGTGGTATGCCTAAAGAACTTAAGCTCTGTAAAATTACTAATATATATGCCCAATTGTTTTATTTTTGAGACCATACAGAGGACAATGAAATTGCCCAGTCTGGCAATGACCAATGGCCTGATATTGAAATCATCAGTAAAATGACTTTTGATCTCAGTGTGCATGATCCTAAATATGTCCTTATGAGTTCAGTGTATACAGAGCAACTGCAAAGAATAAAACAAGGTAAGTGAAATCCGCTTGGAATGCTGAAAGCTGTAGTCCACCCCATCTGAAAGGCACCTAGTGGGGGGAGGTTGCAGTTTAAATAAGCTGATTAAATAAGCTGATTAAATAAGCTGAATTTCATGCAACTTCTTGGCTGTTTTACTTCATTATCTTCATCTGCAGAATCAAGCAAAGAAATTAAAACAGAAGACCTCAGGAAACGGAATACAGTGTCAATGATGCTGACAAAGTATGCAGCTTACAACACATTCCATCATTGTGAACACTGCCATCAATATATGGACATAAATCCTTCAGTTTCAGTAAGCAGGACTTCCTTTTAAGTCATGTTGACACATGACAAGTTTAAAGTGCCTTTGAATCTTTATTAATCTATCACGGGTAGTCAGATTTGCTCAGTAGAAGAGCCACATATGGTAAATGTCAGCAGTTTGACAGTTGCAAGCAGGCACCTGCGGGACATAAACAAGTTTGTGTCTGCAGCTGATGGTAGTGGGAAGAGGCAGCTGGTGAGCTGCAGAATAAACTCATGCAGCTCACAAACCTCAGTTTTGCCATCCCTGATCTATCATTTTGTCAGAAGACCTAATATTTTTGCTGACCAAAGTAACTTAATATCCTCACCAAAAACAAACTCTGTGGAATTCTTTGATGGAAGTTGTGACAGTTGGTGATATGAAACTGGCCCATATTTGTAGTGTAGATATGCCACAAGGGCTTGCTGAATTATATTTTATAACTCCCTTAACCAGTTAAGACATGTTCTTCTGCCATTGTGTACTATCACGTGTGTGTGACATACTGAGGGAGTCGAAGTTGTATAAAGTGAGTTTTGCCCTTTTCCTCAACTGTCCCTCATCACTCACAGATATCTTCAATTGAGAAAACGAGTTGGTTCTTCTCGTCCTTTTGAGCAAACCAAATATCCATTAATATGTGTGTCTAATGATTGATTTGCTAGCTTTATTAAAAGTAGACACCTTCTGTTAAATGGCAGGGGTTTTTAAGGAGCCCGATGTAAGAATTAGAAGATCTAATATGCTGCAATATTCATTGCAAACAATTAATCTACAGAAAAGGCACTCCATATAGCTGTATTCCTAAAATGCTTTCTGTGAAAGTTATTTGGCTGTGTTGCCCCCACTTGTGGAATTTCGTTGGCAATCTAACCTCATGGACCAAAGTATGTTCATGTATGCAGGTCATCTCCTTAGTGGGTTATAATTTTATTCTCTCCTTGTGTGCAGATGTCTGATTCCACCCTACATGCATTCACATTCTCATCCTCAATGTTAGGAGAAGAAATTCAGCTTCATTTTATAATCCCCAAATCCAAAGAGAGCTATTTTGTATTCAGCAAGCAAGGCAAACATTTGGAAAGCATGCGTCTTCCTCTTGTGTCTGACAAGGTGGGTGAAATCTATTTAAGTGAATAAAGTACATAAAGTGTACCATTCTTCACTATATATGTATCATGTAAAACAAGTCAAATAAATTATATGAAGAGTTTTATCTCAGATGTACAGTTTCAGATTTGAAGTTTGGGCTTCCTCTACTTTTTTATTTTGCCAGAAGGTAGGCAGAAGTTTATAAACATCTTTCACTTTCATGGGAAATCCATGAAAAATCCATGCTTGGGAGGTACACTGGAAAAGGATGAAGGAGGATACAAGTCTACTATGTGGTACTAACCTTCCAAACCAAGCCTTGGAACATCAGGTTCATGATGGCTGCATTGAATGCTTCTCCACCCAGTTATGCTGCCTGGGAAGTTATGGTCCATGCAGGTGAAAAGAAATTGAGCTGGCTCACCCCCTCTTTAAAGGGACAAAAGGAACTCAGCTAGTGCATCCCGTTTCTTTCCCTTTTAGGAAAGGCATAAAGATGGTGAAGCCAGGTCTCAGGTGAAAGACTGTTTCTCTGTCTGACTTCAGTGAAAGCAGACTTTCCCTGGGTATGGAAAAACCCATGCACAGCATAGCCATGTCCCTGGCAAAGGCATTGGTGGGAGGAGCTCCAACCAGAGCATTGGCTGCTCCCAAATGATGTCAGTGGCTACAGTTATCCTCCTTCACCAAAAGATAGTTCCTCATCCTTGCTATAAATGTTTCTATGGAACCAATCAAAGCCATTGCCATCTAATAGGAAAAGGAGAATTCATGTAATAGTTATGAGAAACCATTGTCACATTAGGCTACTGGTGTACATGTTCCAGGGTCTTTCATCATAAAACCAAATATTGACCTTCCAATAGCAAAAGCAGAGAGAGGTGCCATGCATGCAGAAATATATACAGTCTTGATTTGGCTCATCTTCCAACAGAATCTGAATGCAGTAAAGAGTCCTATTTTTACACCATCAAGTGGGCGCCATGAACATGGTCTCTTGAACCTTTATCATGCTATGGAAGGGATCAACCATCTTCATCTCCTTGTGGTCAAGGAATATGAAATGCCACTTTATCGCAAGTACTGGCCCAACCATATCATGCTGGTTTTGCCAGGCATGTTTAACAATGCTGGAGTTGGTGAGTAAGACAAGATGAGAGACCAGAATGGTGACATATCCCTGTTGTTTCCAGAGCAATGGGGCTGAGGTGGGTGAGGAGCATTGTATGGATAAAGCAAGTTTAGCATAAAACTTTTTGATGCTGACACAAGGAAGCTGGGGACATGAAAACATGATTATAGTGAGTAGAAAAATACACATATCCAGTTAGCATTAAGTACTAAAATAGTGAAGTATTGTGCTCTTCATGGTGCCTCTAACACCTTTGTCATCTATGACCTTTGTTTGAGTTTATATAAATTTTGTTCTTTTTGATTTCCATTGCAATCTCTTTGGCTTAAGCCGTTCTGTATTGCATTAGAAAATCTTGCTCAGATCTGATACTTTGTGCTTGATTGTTGGTAGGGATAAGCACACTTAATTAACAAATAATTCTTTAATAATCTGATACCTTGTTAGCTGAAACTGGGCACAGTGCTACTAGTTGGAATGCTAGCAATGTGAAAATAAAATCCTGGCAATCTGCTAGGTTCATCCTAGGGTCTCCTATCCATTCACTATTATACCAAGGATCATAATTTTAAGCTCTACTGAATTATTTCAAAACTTAAAATAGCTCTAAGTTGAATATAACATGGAATATTAGCTGATCTAGATGGACATTTTTTCCAAATGCCTTGTATATGGCTGTGCTATGACCCTAGCTCTTGATTCTCAGAGTAGAGTATATATTTATTATTGATTGATTTCTAAAAATATCTTGCATTTCCACAAAAAAGTGGCAGTCAAGGAATCTTTCTTGCACCTTTCAGTTTCCATTTCAGGCTATAACCTCTAACCCTTGCTCACAAGGGATCAACTTGTCTACTCTGTTATCTTAGCTTCACATCCCATTCTTTTTTTTTTTCAGAAACAAACTACATTAGAAATTGTCAAAGCAAACTTTAACATAATGTAGTTGATAAACAGATAAAAACCCTAGCTAACACAGATTAAAAAGGTAATATGCTGAAACTTGAATGCTTTTACGTTAGAGAATAAATAGACAAAACTTTCGAAGCTACTATATAGTAAAATCCTTTGTCATTTTGGATATCTCTGTGAATTTACAAATGTGATGATAATGAAAATGATAAATAGAACTTGATTATTTAAAAAAAATGGCGCTAAGTCTTCTCAAGGTAGATTGGACAGCCAACACTATGGTTATGTCCATTCTATTCTAATGTCAGAGTCCACAGCATGATCCCAAAAACCAATCTTCATATTACCTTGTTTAATAAACTCACAGTTCTGTTCTGTGCAATTTAGAGGCCTCAGTTTTTCTCTTCTGTGCTGTATATTTTCAGGTGCTGCCAGATTCCTTATTAAGGAGCTTTCTTACCATAATTTGGAACTAGAGAGAAACCGTTTGGAAGAGCTAGGAGTCAAGCGTCAGTGTGTCTGGCCTTTTATTGTTGTCATGGATGATTCTTGTGTTTTATGGAACAGTCATGGTATCCAAGAACAGTCCAGGTAAGCCAGTATCTAAAGTGATGTCATGCATGGGACCTGTAACAGAATCTTGAAGTAATACATTAATTATTTCACCCATTATCCATATAATGGGTGTTCATGCACAGAAAGAGTAGTGGGGCTGTGTTGCAGGTGCTACTCCTGACATTATGCACTTCACCATACGCTCCTCCTACTTGGACATCAAGAGCGGAGATCTGTAATACTGGATAGGGCCACTGCTGCTTCTACACATGGAGCCCTCATTATATGGATAATGCACCTGGGCACTAGTATGGTTTTGCAAATTGATGTGAAATAGTGTTTTTTACCTTTGATATATCTACATGAATATAGACACGGGCTTTTTAAAGGCAAAAGGGAAGTCATACTAAAAATAATCTCAGATATATTCTGAACTATTCAGCTATGGATGGCACTTGGAAATAATTATTATTTGACATAGCTGTGTGTCCTTTAGTCAATTCATTTTGGGATTGATGAGATGCTTTTCATCAATCCCAAAAGGCTGCTAGACGTTTTCTTGGAATTCATTTGGTCTGTCCACTTGCCACGATAAACAGGGAATAAGCAGCATACTCATGTACAGTGCTTTGCAGAAGTATTCACTCCCTTTCATTTTTCCCATTTTGTTGTGTTACAACCTGAAATCAAAATGGATTTAATTGGCATTTTTCTCATTTGATGTACAGAAGATACTCAACGCTATGAAGATATCAATTTTTATTGTAGTATAAAAGTTAAATAAATGAAAACAAACTGGCACCCATTCATTGCATAGACATTCACCTCCTTTCCCTTGAAATGCCTGAATGAACTGGTTCAGCCCACTGCCTCTGCACATAAGGTAGTTGAATGAAGTCACATAACTAGTCGAATGGAGTTTGCCTGTGTGCGGTTCCAATGCCATATATCTCAGAATAAATGCATGTTTTTGGAGGGCTTCAGATTTCTTGGAGAACATATCAAAACAATATCATGAAGATTGAAGAGCGATCAAAACAACTCTGGAAGAAAGGTCTGTAAAAATACCACAATCAAGGTTGGGTTATTTTAAAAAAACAGTACAAAATTGAAAGAATGTGGCTCAACCGTGGCTCTACCTAGAGAAGACTTTATACCAAAACTCAGTTACCAGGTAAAAAAAAGCATTAATTAAAGAAGCAAGAGACAAATGGGAATTTTGTAGTAGATGGAAATATCTGCAGCTGAGATGAAAGAAACTGTCCATGGGTCTACTTTTACCCAGATGCTCCACAGAGTTGAGACAAAACAAACAAGAAAACATACCTTTGCTGAAACTAACCCCTATTTGTAGTTCATTTACAATACAGTAATCACGTAAAAAATGGTTCTCTGGTCTGATGAGACCCAAACTGCAATTTGCAGCAAAACTAGAAACTTCAATGTGTAGCATAATGTCAACAATGCTCATTTACCATCCCAAGGTAATATGTGGTGGTGGTAGCATCATGTAGAGCTGATGCTACCAATTTCCCTCAGCAGGAAAAGGGAAAGTGGTCAAGACTGAGGGTGAGATTGATGGAGCCCATTACAACCTGCAAGAGACAAGAGATTGAGGTAGAAGTCCACCTTCCAGCCACAAAATGGCAACCAAAGTAACACTGAAGGGGATTCAGAACAAGAACCTGAATGTCTTAGAACAGCTCAGTCACAGCCCAGATCTCAATCCAATTGAAAATCTGTGGCAAGACTTGAAAGTTGTTGTTCACTAGTGGACCCCATCCAGCCTACAGAGCTGGAGCAGCTTTGCCTGGAAGAATGGGCAAACACTGCAAGAAACCTGATAGAGACTTACTTAATACTCACAGCTGTAATTGCTGCCAAAAATTCATCGACCAAATATTGACGTAGTGGGGTTAGGGGAAGACCAATACTTTGCAAAGCACGGTAAACTACCCAATCACTCCTTTGCTCTTGCTACTATAGTAGCTGCAAAACACTCCATGGGTCCACTGTCCATGCTATACTTATTGTGATATCCAGTTTCGAGATTCTGGCTTATCTCTTTCTAAACCAGACAATCATCAGGCAATAAGTTTTACATCCTATTTGGGGAAAGACAAGCAAGAATCCCTAGTCTGGGCATCATGATAATCTATGGACAGATGGCCTGTGGTTTAGTCATCTTTGCAAGTAGGACAAACCAAGTGGAAGCTATAGCATCAGTGTGCTTGCTTGATTGCTAGATTTCTCTAACTCTGGTTTATCATGACATGTAAATCCAGTTGTGTACATTTTTCCAGTGAATTGTCAGTAGAAATGAATATATGCTAAATCTGTGGGACTATGTTCACACCAGATTTTCTTCATATTGAAAATTGTTGAGAGACCGCTGTAGTCACTATGAGACATGCTATATGGAGTGACTTGCATTAAGCTTTTTGTCTCTCCCTTATTCATTACTAGAAATCTCTCCCTTATTCATTACTAGAAATTATGTGTTGTAAGCCGCCCCGAGGCTTTGTTGTGATGGGGCGGCATAGAAATATTTTAAATAAAATAAATAATAATTAAATAATAATAAATAAATTTCCCAGAAGAGTAAACCTCCTACATAATTTCTCATTCTTCTCCATTACCATCTTGGCTTCAGTGTCAATATAAAATACGCGACAAAGTGTGAATACTGCAAGTGCTGCTGCTGCTGCTTTCTATAGTTATTTTTAAGCATGATAGAACTTTTACAAATGTTAGTATTACCATTACGTTATATTTATAGCCTGTCTTAGGTTAGCCCATATTTAACTGCATTGTGTGAGCTTTTCATCATTTTATAAAATGATCACCAGACTCATTTACCCCCTAGTTGTTCGTTTGTCATTCCAGTTACTGATTCTTTATAACGTTAGCTTTGTCACTTTGGGAAAGCAGTCTTTGATTAGCTTCATTGCCATAGAGTGGGTGGATCTTGAGTTACAGATGTAGTACCTAGCACGCTTGACATCCTAGTCTAATAACTTCCCTGTATTTTAGGGGACTTGATGTATATTGTAGCCTTAACATGAAAGCGTGGTTTTGTTGGCAATGTAGCAATGTTGTCGCCTTAACAAAAGAGCTTCTGTTAACAGTAGATGGTAGGGCTTCCCAAATCTCCCATTCTTCATTCCCCAAAACAAGTTCTTTAGAACGAGCATATATCTCTGGCCTTGTTGCTGACATACTCTTCCATCATTTGTTATACAGACATATTATCCAGATAAGACAAAAGCCTGTTTCACGGAGCATTTTGTTTCCAACAACAGTCACCAAATGCTTCTGGGCAAAATGTATTTTATTTAAGATTTAACTTTCACATTGATTTTCCTCAAGAAACTTAAGTCACTGTATATAATTCTTCCTTCCAGTACAGCCACTTTTGTTCATATAAACATTTATATCCCATTGTACTGGTGGCTACACAGCAGTCAAGGCAGCTAAGAACAATTGAAAACCAGAGTAAAATATTTACTGTGAAAATATATTTAAGAAAATTATATATAAACAGAACCAGCAGATAATGAGATCAGAAAAATGTATCCATGAAATTTTGATATCCTGATAATACTCCTGTGATGTACTTTAGCCTGAAGGAGAGATTACTTGTCCAGTGAACTGCAGAGCGGAATGGCAATTTCACCTGAGAGCCCATATTCCAAGTTCAATGGTCCATTCATTACATAACCATTAGCACTTGCCATATTTTTCCCCCTGAAATCAGAAGCTGGAGTCAGAGTCTTCCTAGACCTGCACATATTCTCTGAACCTTGCTACACACAATATAGAGGTTTTGCACTTCAAGGAACTTCAAAATGATCAGGTCCTTTAGTCATCATTTGTACCTCTGAGTGCAGTTGTAATTTGCTACAATAAAAACCTTTTGCTTTTCATAGCCAGTCCATGGATCAAGGATGGGCCAGTAAAAATGTGTCTCTAAAGTGTGTCCTGCAGCACATTGAAGCTACACCCAAAATTGTCCATTATGCAATACTGGGCATTCAGAAATGGAACAGCAAGCTGAATTCCAGAACACCCAAAACTCCCTTCTCCAGGTGCCACATACATGACTTTATCCTGCTCAACGTAGACCTGACTCAAAATGTACAATATGACGTAAACAGGTAGGTAAATGCAGGCTGTTAGCATAGCACTGCATTTATATGTGTAAGCTATTAGTACTTTTAAAATAAAGGTAAGGCTTACAGAGAAACCAATAAGCAGTAGAAAGAAAGTAGTTCTGAATTAGTTTTGGGATTACAGTTTTTCTATAAGACTCTTGTCAGTGGCTTGAACTAAGAATTGAAAAGGGGGCAGTTGGGTAAGCTTGAAAATGAAAAAGACATTTGGATTGAATCTCCAGTTGAATCAAGGCACAGATAGCCTTTGGAAATTTTCTCCCCTTACCGCAAAATGAATGGAAATTTTCTAAGGGTAAAGGCAATGAATGACAGCATTTTATTGTCATGGCAAGTACAGTTTCCCTATGCAGTATATACAGTTGCATTAAGCCTGATTATTGAATATGCTTCCTTGACACATTAGAAACTGGATGGGAGGTAAGAAGTGATAGTCCAAAGGGCCATCTCTTCAGCCACTCTTCTCTGCTTTAATTTGCCCTGGCAAGGATGCAGCTCACTAGGCAGAAGGAGAACATGACTGCATTTTGGGACATTTTTGCTTGCTTTCATCCCCTGTAAATGCCAAATTAGAATTAGTGATAATGATGACAGACATTGTGATGTGACGATTGGAGTGGGAACTAGGATTGGGAAGACCCTGATACAAATTCCACTCAGCCATTGAGCTCACTGGTGACCTTATGCCAGATGCTAATGTGTAGAATAACCCTTTATCACAGTATTGTTCTGAGTATAAAATGAGGTGGGGGACACCATGTATGCTAAGAGGGGGCAATTGCAGAGGGCTGAGGGTATACTCATTGACCTGCCCTCATGGAACTCTGCCACAGGGCACCCTCCCCCTGCCACAGCTGCACCCAGAGGTGGTATACTCTGCTTTTCTGGCAGAATTGTGCTCCCTGAGCCTGCCAAACATCCAAGGAAAGTACAATTGTGTGCTGTGCTTCTCTGAAGAACTGGCATTTTTGCTGTGAAATGGGGCATAGAAACATAGAAACAGAGCAAGTCAGAAGGGGTCTCCCGGGCCATCTAGTCTGACCTCTGGCACCAGCCGGCTCCACTCACGACATGCCCACCATGTGCATGTCCAGCCTATCTTTGAACGCCCTCACCAATGGGGCCTCAACGACCTCTCAAGGAAGCCCATTCCACACCCTCAGGGTCCTGACTGTCAGGAAGTGCTTCCTGGCATCTAAATGGAACCTTGGTTCCCTGAGCTTTGCTCCGTTGGAGCGCGTCCTGCCTTCCTCTGCAGGGGAGAACAGGTCTCTACCCATCTCCATGTGACATCCCCTCACATACCTGTATGTCACCAACATATCCCCTCTGAGTCTCCTCTTCTCCAGTCTGAAGAGACCCAGTTCCCTCAGTCTTGCCTCATACCCCATCCCCTGTAAACCGGCCACCAACCTTGTGGCCCTACGCTGCACTGACTCTAACCTGGCTATATCCTTTCTGTAACGAAGGGCCCAAAATTGAGCACAATACTCCAGTTGCAGGCGCACCAGAGTCATACAGAGTGGTAGTAATGCCTCTCTTGATCTAGAAGCCACACTTCTGGCTATGCAGTCAAGGTGGCGTTCGCCCTCTTGACCACCGCATCACACTGCTGACTCATGTTTAGCCTGCAGTCAACCAGTACCCTGAGGTCCCTTTCACAAGTGCTGCTCTCCAAGCACTTGTCACCTAACCTGTACTTGTGACACCTATTCCTATGTCCCAAGTGGAAGACCTTGCACTTATCCACATTGAATGCCATCCTGTTGTCTCCTGCCCACTTCCATAGTCTGTCCAGATCCTTTTGGATCTGGAGTACCTGCTCCTCAGTTGTGGCCACTGCTCCAGTTTTAGTGTTGTCTGCGAATTTGATCAGCAGACTGTTCACCCCTTCTTCCATGTCATTTATGAAAAGATTAAACAGGATTGGCCCCAGGACAGAGCCCTGGGGGACCCCGCTTGTCGCTGGCCGCCTTCCCGACAATTCCCCACTAATGGTTACCTTCTGCTTTCGGTCAGTCAACCATGCCCTAATCCACCGGACAGTGCTTTGGTGTATCCCAAAACTCTTCAATTTCTCCACCAGGATATCATGGGGCACTTTGTCAAAGGTCTTGCTGAAATCCAGGTATACCACATCCACTGCATCCCCTCCATCTAGCCATCTCGAAACCTTGTCATAGAATTCCACAAGGTTTGTCTGGCAGGACCTGTTTTTGCAGAAGCCGTGTTGTATGGCTGTCAGCCTCCCTTCCCTCTATAGCATCACTAGATCTCTGTTATGAGCCTTTCCATTGTTTTTCCTACAATGGATGTAAGGCTAACAGGTCTGTAATTCCCCATGTCCCTTCTACTACCCTTTTTGAAAATTGGGACCACTGATGCCACCCTCCAGTCTTCTGGAACTTCACCCGTTCTCCACGAGGCCTCAAAAATGAAGGCCAGCAGGCGTGAGAGAACCCCTGCCAACTCTCTAAGTACTCTCGGGTGTCACCCGTCAGGGCCTGGCGCCTTTGTAATGTCCAATGCCCTGAGCAGCCCCTCGACTTCAAGGGGGGTGACTCTAATCTGTGCCCCTAAGACCCCAGCCTCATCTAATCTATGCAGATATCCCCCGTCCTGCTTTGGGGAGAACACCGAGGCAAAATAGTCATTTAGCATCTTTGCCTGTTTCCCTCATATCAGTCACTGGATCTCCTTCCTCCTTATTTAGTGGTCCCACCACTTGTCTCCCCTTCCTCTTCCTATTTACATGCTGAAAGAAGCCCTTTTTGTTGCTCTTGATATTCTTGGCAAGTCTCAGCTCATAATCAGCCTTAGCCTTGCGAAGAATCCTTCTGCAACGGGCCGCCTCCTCCCGGTATACCCTTTTGTCTATTTGAAATGGGGCACATGAGAAGTGCCTCATTACTTCCTGAGAAGTACCACTTCCTTCTGAACAATATGGTGGGCTGTAGGAAGAATGTCTCTGTTGGAAATTGGCATAGCAGTCGTGGAGGCAGAGGATCCAGTGTGGGCTATGTGCAGCCCATGCACTGCCTACCCTGGCTCTTATGACCACCTTAGAGGAGTCAAATGAGAGGTCAGCATGGACCAAATTACTGTATAGGTATCTTCACACCTTCCCAGTTGGGTAGGCCACCACTCAGTGAAGAGGAGAAACTCCTTATACCTATGATCCTGCAGGAGTACTCCACTCATATTCTTTATATTCATCTATCCTCTGATTTACATTACCACTCATGCTTCAGAACTGGGGCTAGATGGGAAATCATAATGCCATGTTTTCCTCCAGTCAATACTCGACTCAGGTTGCTGCTTGGTAGGAAGGGGCTGCAACAATCACAGATACACTATTTTTGTCTTGTTCTTGGATTTTTGGCCTCAATATAACATTTTGTAAGTAGTTGAAGGGCATTGACATCATTGCCTTGAATAAATACTTTCATATCTTTGTCCAAAAATTTAGGTATTTCTGTGAAGATGTAGATTTTAACTTGAGAACAAACAGCAGTGGTTTGCTTATCTGTTGCTTTAACAAATTCAGTCTCATGAAGAAACACATCCAGGTTGGAGGGCAAAAGGATTTTGATATTAAACCTAAAGTCATGGTGAGTGCCTCTGCCGTACAATGCCTCCTCTACAAATGAACATATGGAGGGAGGGAGGAGGAGAAAGAGTGTGTGGGTGTTTTTCTGGTGACAAAGGCTGGATTCCTACGCTCCACACACACACACACACCCATTGTGAAGTCCATAATGAGGGGGAAAGGAGATTTGTACTAGATGAGCTGTTAACAGCACAGTGTTCATTAAATGAGGCCAAGAAGGTGGGTATAGGATTGCAGCCTCTAGGTTAAGGGTGGGATAAGTTGTGGTCTTCCAGATGTTTTGCTGCACAACTCCCATCAGCTCAAGCCAACATAGCCAGTGGTAGGAGACATTGGGAGTTGTAGGCCTATACATCTGGGGCACAGGTTGCCCTCTGCTGCTCGAGGGCACAGTATCTTGGCAGGGGCCTCTATGAAATGTATATTCAGGGAGAGCTGCAGGGGAGGAACTGAATTGTAATAATTAAAATCCACCATTTTAATGCTGTGGATACTAAGGAATATTTGTTATCACATAAGATTTTTTTAAACTACAAATGCAGTCCAGGTTTCTATGCACATTCTGGTTTCCATATTTAGGCTGTGATAAAGACAGGCAGACTCATGTAGACAAAGAAGTGGATCCAGAAATGGTCTCCTGCTTGCAGCATTGGATTTTTCACATTCTGTGCTCTCTCCTGCTTACTAAGCCTTTACTGTGCTCCCAAGACATTTCAAAGCCTTACCTCAGGAACTTTCTTTTTGGGACTATGCTTATAGGCACAGTTCACAAGCAGAGGTGGCAAGTCATGGGCTTCCTGCAGTATGCCACAACATATGCCGAGCACATCCTGCAGCCTTTTTGACTCTTCAGCCTCAGGTTGGATTAACTGGGGCTTGCTACATGACATCCATACCCAGACTATATAAGTTAATTGTGGATTATATAACCCACATTTAAGCTAACTATTAATTGTTAGGTTTATATAGCCTATGATTAACCTAAAGTGAAGCCAGGGGTTGAAAATTCAAAATGGCCACAGAATTTGTCTAGTCCATGCTGCAGTAACTTGTTCTAATGATGTGGACAAGGTGCTTGGACGAGTACATCCCACCACCTGCCTATTGGACCCTTGCCCATCTTGACTAATTAACAACGCCAAGCATGAGATAGGGACCTGGATTTTGGAAGTGGTTAATACCTCTCTGAGGGAGGGCCGGGTACCTGCCCTTTTAAAGGAGGCGGTAATCCGACCAGTCCTGAAGAAGGCGTCACTGGATCCAGAGATGGCCACTAATTATAGACGAGGGGCCAACATCCCGTTTCTGGGCAAGGTGTTGGAGCGGGTGGTGGCGGGACAACTCCAAGCTCTCTTGGATGAAACTGATTATCTGGACCCATTTCAGTCTGGCTTCAGACCTGGGTACGGTACTGAATCTGCCTTGGTTGCCCTGTACAATGACCTGTGCAGGGAGAAAGACAGAGAGTGCATTCCTTTTGGTTCTCCTGGACCTCTCACCTCCTGGGCCCAATTCAAGGTGTTGGTTATGACCTATAAAGCCCTTAATGGCTTGGCTCCTGGGTACCTGAAGGAGCGCCTACGTCCATATATGCCCGCCCGCCCGCCCCTTGAGATCAGCGAGAGAGGCCCTTCTCCGGGAACCCTCCATGGAGGGCTTTCTCTGCGGTGGTGCCCAATCTATGGAATGCGCTCCCCAGAGAGGTCTGCCTGGCGCTGTTGTTATTTGTTTTTCGGTGCCAGGTGAAGACCTTTTTATTCAAACGTTATTTTAATTGTTATTATTTTTTGGCCAGGTCGACTCAAATTATATTGTTTTTATATTGTGTTTATTTATTATTGTGAGCCACCCTGAGGCTTCGGCAAATGGGACGGCATAGAAGCTTCCTAAATAAATAAATATTAACAGTTCTGCTTGATCCACTAAAGGATTTTTTGACCTTGCATGATGCACAAATGTTTGCTTTGTCCTCAGTTACTTCATTGAAGGTTATTTTGCTAATGATAGAAATCACAATCGCTATTTGAACAGAACTGTGTCTCTTACATTAAGCTGCTGCTATTACAGATTCCTCATGTGCTGCCCTAGATATAAGTAGCTGCAGTAGCTAGATTCCCCATGAAATGGGGAGAGGTCTGGTCCAGGCATCTGATGTTGGGTTGGATTCAGATGTAAGCAGGATCAGCTGGGCGGCTAGAAGTGGACAACCTCATCAGCCAATCCTGAGGAAGCCTCTCCAGCCCCTGAAAATACTGCAGTCAGGAAATTCTACTGAATAAGGTGGTATAGGCAGGAAGATAGATCCTCCCAAATTGGGCAGACAATCCATAAGCAGAGTCCTTCGTTTTGCAAAAGGTAAATCCTGGGTCCCATCCAGTATCCATTTTTCTTGAAGGAACAGGGATCTAGAATTGTGTTTTTTTCTCAGGCCTGGCATCAGCAGGCAGAATGCTTGGGCAGCTGCTGAAACTTCCAACAGCCTGGCAAGACCCACTGCTGACATCTGCCTCTTGAAAGGGCCCCCTTTAATTGCAACATGACATAAGCTGCTTGGCTTCAGTCATGGTGTAAGCCCAGGGGCTGCCAGGGCTACTGGCCCAGTACAGGGCGCTGTACCAAGGACTTCTCCCAAGCTTACCCTCATTTTCTCACTGTTGCCATTGTGCCCAGCTTGCTAAAAAGTTAATCTAGTACTAGCTGCTTCCTATACATTATTTCTGTGTAACTTATAAAATATCTAAATACTTATATATGTATAATATAACTACTTGCTTTTATGATAGACATACCACTATATTCCACTTTAATGCCGTTCTGCTTAATAGGTGTCTGAGAGCTTGAGTCCAATAATGCCTCTGCAGTATGTCTGTGCTCCAGACAGTGAGCACACTCTTCTGGCAGCTCCAGCTCAATTCCTCCTTGAGAAGTTCCTTCAACATGCCACCTACAAGCTTTTCCCAAAGGCCATCCATAACTTCAGGAATCCTGTCTTGGCCATTGACTGCTATCTGAACATTGGGCCTCAGGCACGTATCTAGAAAACTTACAGATAACCAAGTCTTGCAAAGGGTGGGAATACCCCAGGTTGGTTTGGTTTGGTTTAGTTTAATGAACATGACAGAGTATGTGGACTTTCTTGAACCCTTTGCTTCAGTTTGCAAAGTTGAAGGAGGACAGGTGGCTTTACCTGTACTTGAAGTCATCTGTGCAGTGCCAACCCGTAGATAATTAGTGCTTCTAGATAATCTAGATAATGTTCTGAATACATTGTAATAAAAATATATAAGCATTTAACTCAGAAAAAGAGGAATAGTTGTTCAAGTAACATGCAAAAGAAATTGGAAACATCTACGTTACATCTTAAAGCATTAACACATTCCAATAACAAAAAGAGGGAAAGGAAATCTCAGTTTTCATTCCTGCACCCCTGTAAGTGAAGTTAGTTCATCATGATCTCAATGGCTAACACATGTGGGCTAATGCACCTAGACAAAGCATTTGCAACATTCTAGAACTAAGTAGAATTTTGGTGTGTGTCTCCCCCACTTCCTCTAAACACACTTCAAGTGTGGCTCCTGCCTGCAACCCAGATCCATGTCTGACACAGCAGAGGGAAGAAATTGTGACATATCAAGCAGGAAATACACAGATGACTGCTTGAAGAACTACCATATTTTTCGCTCTGTAAGACACACCTGACCACAAGACGCACCTAGTTCTTAGAGGAGGAAAACAAGAAAAAAATATTCTGAATCAAATGGTTTACTAAACTGTTTAATAAACTATAACAGAATACAGTAATACCGTATTTCAACCTTGTAAAGTGAACAGCAGTCAACAGTGGCATTAAGAACCATCATCACTGTCATTAACAAAAGAGAGACTTTAAAGTTCGAGTACTCTTCTAGCTTTCGTTGAACCCATAGAACTCATCATCACTAGAGTCAGAATTTATGAAGCTCTGTTGCTCACAATCACTGACATCACTTTCTTAGTCAGTAGTGGAATTATTGAAGGAATCCATAATCTACACCAGTTATACAAGAGCTGCTGCAGACAATTCAATAACAAATCTAAAAAAGCCAGTAATGTCCACGCTGCCCTGCTAGTAAATAATAGAAAAAAAACTTCTGACAAAAAATGAGATATTGTACGGTAAATGAAACACACAGCGGACTAAGTAGCCTTTGAAGAATAAACTTCATACATGAAGGTAATGCTGTTCAAATATCCACTGATCCTAAAAAAAATGTGTCTGATCAACTAACGGAGAACTGATCCATGGAAAGCTTCCTGATAATCACAGGCACATTCCCCATCACTTCCCCATGGGCTTCATTAAAAGACGGGTTGCCATTTGAAAACACACACCGACCTGTGATTAACAGCTCTCACCTGCGCCGCAGGAGGGGGCAGAGCAGGGCACGCTGAGCGCATGCCGGCCAGGTGGTGCCACGTGGGGCTGGCAGTGTGCCGGAGGTGGTCTTCCGGGCGGCGCGGCGGCGGCAGGTCTTCCCAGGCGGTGGGGGTGAGCAGTCTCTCTGTGTGGCCGGCGAGTTAAAGCCCGCGGCTGCTCCTCCGCACGCCTTCCCCTGAGCGGCACAGCTCTCACCTGCGCTGGGGGCGGGGGGGGGCGGAGCAGGGCGTGCCAAGCGCGTGCCGGCCAGGTGGTGCCATGTGCAGGCGGCCAGCAGTGTCCCAGGCGTCGGGCACATACACATTCGCTCTATAAGACGCACAGACATTTCCCCTTCCTTTTGAGGGGGGAAAAAGTGTGTCTTATAGAGCGAAAAATATGGTACATTTACAGGTAAGCATCCTGCCCCCCTTCTTTAGCAGCTATGTGAGTCATACAGATTGGTGGCTATAAAGCTAAGGAATTATCAGTGGAAGGTGGTTTCACTCAAGGACAGCTCTGCCAAAGGAGGCATGATTTCTTGCTCTGATATTTAAACAGTAGGTACTTGATGAAAATGGATGGTTGGGCTAAAGTAGCTGCATTGCAATCTTCTGTTGAATGCAGTCAAAGAAGCTATTGTCCCAGTAGAATGCTCTTTCACTTGAGAGAGAATGGCAGAAGAGCCAGTTGGTAAACCAGATGAATGGCTAGCGTGACCCATTTGGCAAGGCATTGAGAGGAAGCTAAGTAGCTCCCTTCTAGGTCCAGAGCAGCACATGAAAAATGTGAGTAGTTTTCTGAAAGGATGGCATTCTGTCCACCCAGAAGGTGAAAGCCCTACTTAGATCAGGCGAACAGAGCCTAGTCTTCAGTTGGGAAGACAAGTGGCAAAGGAAAACCAGTAGCTCTATGACGTAAGTGAAATTGAATACAGCTTTAGGTCAGAAGAAGCAATAACAGACTGAGGACCACTTTATCTTTGTGAAAGGTAGGTTGTGTCATAAGGGGCAGAGTTCAGAAGCAGAGGTTATAGCTACAAGGAACCTGGTTTTCATGGTTAACAGAAATCATGCTCAATGATTCAAATGGTTTGGTGGTTAACTAAGCCAGAAAGATTCTGTGGAGAATTGGGATCATAGAAAGTTTCCCAGCTGTTAAGGAACTGTGGGAGAGAACACAGTTAATCCATTTGTATTGTGGTGGGTTGGTATCACTACCAGGTATACTCTGATGAGTGATAGGGCTGAGCTCCTTAAGTGACAGGAAGAAGTCCAGAATTATTGGTAAGTCACAGGATACTCAGTCCTGTTTAGTTCTGAGAGCAAAGTTACAAAACCTTTTCTGCATCCATGCATAGGAAGTACAGATGAAAGGTTATGGGCAGCTGTTATTATTTCTAATACCTGGGTAGAAAAGTCACTGTCTTGAGTATTCTTCATGTGGTGAGGCAAAGAGATGGAAGCTGATCTCTTCATTGTTCATTGAAATGAGGTCTGCTCTGTGTGAGTGTGCTTGCCAGCCCCAGAATAAAAATGTCTGTTGTGACTGAAGTATTGGTTTCAGAGTGCAGAATGATAAACCTTGTAGGAAGCAGGGAAGGCAGTGTCTGACAGTTGGTGGAAAGGGCAAAGATTTGGTGATTTCTTTGAGTGAAGTTTCAGATGAACCAGGATGGAAGTGGTCTCACACAGAGATGAGCAAATGGAATGATCGCTGTAATAAGGCCATAAGTCCTAGGAGACGTTGAAGTGTAATGGACTTACATTATAGAGCATGGGAAAGAATGCTTACTAGGAAACAAATGGCATTGACTTGATATCTAGGTGTGCTTTGGAGGATTCCAGGAATATGCCAATAAATTGCTGGATGTGAGACAGAGAGAAGTAAGATTTCTCTGTATTGATATGACAGTCTAGAGGGTTTAGAAGATTGGGGCAGCTGGAATGTTCATTGAAGGTGGTGAAAGGCAGCAATGAAGAGCAAGTCACCAATGTAGGGGAAGACTGTTAAGTCTCTCAATCTCATTCATGCTGCAGTGACTGCCATGTACTTTGTAAAGATTCTTGACACAAGAGTGAAGCCAAACTGGAGAGCCTTAACTTGGAAGGACTTGTTGTCCAATGCATACCTGAGGAATGGGTGAACAGTTGAATGCACAGATATTTGAAAATGGGTGTCTTAAAGGATTAATATTGTCAGTCAGTCTCTGTGACAAAGGAGGAATAGTATGGCTGAGATTGTCATAATTTTGGATTTTTGGGATGTATGAAACTGCTGCTTTCACAAAGGTCAGGAATAGAGCAAAGTCCTCTCTCTTTCTTGGGGTCTGTCCATTACCATCTGAGAAGAATCCACATATCCTTTGAGCCTTTTGATTGTTTCCTTGGCTGGAAGGATAAAGACTTTTTCCCTGCGCAGGTGTTCATCAAGGAGGGAAGTTTATCAAATTCAGTGTGTTATCTGTGTGTGATGATGGATAGTACCCATCAACTAGTGTGGTTTCACAGTAATCAGGCTACTGCAGTGCACTCCATGTGGCATTGCCCTTGAAGATAGTTTGTGCAAAATGCATCAACCAGATTAATAACAAGGACCAGAAGATGCAAACATGTATCACCAATCACTTGGATTGTCTGCATATACTGTATGCTTCTGACCACAATTCAAGGTTTAACCTATAAAGTCCTATGCAGCTTGGGACCACAATACCTGAGGGAACATAGCTCCTACAATCTGCATCTAGGGCCTTCCTCTGACTGCCAACTCCAAAAGAAACCTGAAGAGATGTGACAAGAAAGAGCGTTCTCAGTGGTGCCCCGCCCCCCAAATATGGAATATTCTCCCCACTGAGACCCATCTGGTATTAACATTTTCATCTTTCTGGAATCAAATTAAAACTTCTATCAATTTGAGGCATTTTATGGCCATGTGGTGCATTATAAGTAGGTGTAGTTTTTAAAAATTGTTAAATATATTTTTGTTTACTATATATATATATATATATAATATATTTTACATTTTTTTACATTGGAATGTTAAAGTGTTTTAAATTGGTATACTGGAATTGTATACTGTTTTACTGTATCTGTGTTTTTATCATATCTCTCCTCTGTATTTTGAGAAATTGTTGTGACCTGCCCAGGGAACATTGACTATTGGTGAAAAGTTGTTATTTTATTGGATTGCAAGATCCAGTGAGGGTCTCTGTGGCAGTCAAACACCCCACTTGTTTTGGTCAGCAGTTTTCTTGCCAGTGGATTGATGGACCTTAGATTATCAAGAGTAGTTACAGTGAAATGGTATTCTATAGGCATCCTGTTTGGAATTGAGCTGTGGTGTCAGTGTGGTGGCATTTTCAGGAATGTGGAATGGTAAGTGAAGGAGAGAAACTGAGGAAGCTGATGATGCTGGAGAAGTTCTTACAGTTATTTGTGAAGCACTTGGTGAAGAAATTAGTATGGCCTAGGGTGGGAACATTGAGATCTATTGGTAGAACAAGTTTCATGGCTCTGGAGATAATCCTGAAAGTCATGTTCTCCTGGGAAGCAGTTGTGGTGTTGGATAGCTAGCTAATCGAGTTAGACATCCATTAATTGAGTTAAAGCTGGAATAAGTTCCAGTTTAGTGTCAGGTTTTAGTCATTGAGACAACTTCTAAATAAAATCAGTCTCAGGGTTCTAATGCACACCTGAACAGGATTTAGTCCATGCGACTTCCTCAGGATTACCTTGGGTACCAAAGGGCTGGTCTTCTTCGTGGTCTCTGTGCAATCACACAAATGGGCTTTGCTGTGCAGCGCAAGGGCTGGATCAGAGACAAAAACTTCCAAAGCCCAGCGGGACAGAGTGGGCAGGAGCCCCCACCCCACTCCTAGAAGTCCCACCCAGTCCTTCAGTTCCTTTTCAACCACACACAGTCACCTCACAGATCAGAACCTCTCCACTTAGCTACCTCTTGTTTTTCTCTCCGAATTTTTTTCTCCTAATATAATTTTTTTTAAACATCTCGCTCCTGTCTCCACTTCTACATCAAAGTTTGCTCCCAAAGTTCAGTGCAGAGACGCACTAATCCATTTCTCCTAGATGGTTTAGTAGCTTCTCTAAGAGTCTCTCTAAGACACAAAATGCACCCTGAACGTCTCTGAGATGACAGGATCTTCCTGCTGAAGAAGGCCTTTCAGACCATGAATCCAAGAGACAGAAGGGTGAGAAAATGGACTAGAAAGAAAAAGGAAAAAAGAACTCAGTGCTTCAGGGGGCAAGAAGAAAATTCAAAAGGATCATTTGAAGTGAAGAACAGTCTAAAGAACTGTTTCTTGCTGGATCACAAATAAAGAAGCTGCAGTGCAGGCAAGAGCCATTTCTGGAGTATGTGCAAAAGAGGAGCAGGGAGCCTGCCAAAAAGCTCAGCTTTGACCTAGAATGGTCTGAACGCTGCTTTGTGCAGGCACGTTAACTCTTATATGTGAGTCACTGAGACCATGAAGAACTGACTTTAATCACTGAAAGGGTGGGTGCATGAAAATTAAGATTTCCTTTCCCTTTTTGTTATTTGGATAATGCTTGGAGATTTGCTGTAAATGTTTCCAATCTCTTTTGTATGTTACTTAAACAACAATTCCTCTGACACTTCTGAGCTGACTGCTGACACTTTTACCACAATAATTGCAATGTATTCAGAAGATTATCTAGATTATCTAGATCTAGTAAGAACAATGTTTGCTGTTCACCATTAGCATGATGGGCATTTTGCTGAAATTCAAGCATAAAATGATTTAAGACAAACTCTAACATTCATAACTTTCCCCCCCTTTCCGCTTTAGGTAGCTCTTTGCTACGTCAGTTCACGGCCACACTCAGTTAATGTCAACTGTGAAGGCGTGTTCTTCAGTGGACTTCTTCTATATCTTTGTGACTCCTTTGTAGGAGCAGATTTTCTTAAGAAGTTCAAATTCCTGAAAGGTAATGTCATTTCTTTATTAAACTCTTGCCTAGTGGTTGTTCCATGGCTTTCTAAGAGAGTAGAATGGGATGGCATTGATAGTACATACAGGAAACCACCTCCCTTTCCTATTTCTCTAGGGATCTTTAAAACTGGGAGCCATGGTAGCTGGTGCCCTAAAAGTCCTGCAGGATACAGAAGTCCTACAAACCAGATCCATCCCACACCCCAACTCACATGATCCCAGTTAAGCATAGTCTACTTTCTACTGTCTTGGGAATATAAATTATTTCAGGATAAATACTTCTTAATAATCCAAAATGCAACTACCTTTTTGTACTTATAACAAGGGTGGTAAAGTATTGGATTGTTCTACTCTTTTTCAGTGCATGGTTAAAGATGAAGTGGGATTCCTATTTCAAATATGGAATAGGTAATATTAGTGAGAAGTCATTATCTGATTTATGTGTCTTGGCCTGATATATCCAGACAATTTCATGCTATGTACAGTGTCATTCTCTATTTCCATGTAAGGCTTAGCATTAAGTTATGGTTATAACTGGACACACAGTTCCATGTTGCTGAGGCTTCATCATGTCACAGCCAAAACAACAGGCAATGTTTAAGAAAATCACTGTGTTGCTATTGCTCTGTCCCTGCTTTGGCAGTCCACTTCATTTCTATGCTGGCCAGGAAGGCAGAGAATCATGTCCTTGCACAGCTAGTGTGGATTCCTAGATCCAGTCCCAGAGAGATGGCAAAGAGAATAGGGGGCAAGAGAAGAAAAAGGGTGTGGGCCCCCAATAGATAATTCCAAAGGGAATGCAACATTCAAGGGAGAAAGGTTCCTCACACTGATTATGAGCTATTTTGTGCTTCATTATGTGATGCCATGTTTGCCCTACCATGTGCATATGTTGGTTTTCATAGGGAAAAGTATGTGGAAACACTTATGGATAGTAGTGGAAATCTATTTTTCTTCTGGGAGAAGAGTGTTGCACGCATAGTACAATTAACTAGCATAAGGAGCTGGTTCTTCTATAGAGGCTCCAGACACTTAACGTTACCTTATTTGTGTATAGTACTCTTTCCAAGTAATAGGGACGACTCTCAGAAAACAGACATGGAAGGTGAACAGCAGTATAAATTATGCTTTGTTTTTCAACCTAAGGTGCAACCCTGTGTGTCATTTGCCAAGACAGGAGCTCCTTGCGTCAAACAATAGTCCGTTTAGAGCTGGAAGATGAATGGCAGTTCCGTCTGAGAGATGAATTTCAGACTGCTAACAGTAGTGATGATAGGCCACTCTATTTTCTGACTGGACGCCATATATAGTCTTGGGGAAATGGCAAAGGAGAAGATAAACCTGACAAGTTTGTTTTTATTTTGTTTTTTCTTTTAAAGTACAATCACTGTGGAGCAAAGTGCAACCAATACTCTGTTCTAATGATTTCCCAAAATTATTGTCCAGGCTGTATGTTTCTCTCTTCTTTTTGATTGAAAGAGCATTGCTTTAACTTACTGCCTGTGGGTTGCTGTTACAGAAGCTTAACCTAATGGCATGGCCCCTGTGACTCAAGATATGGAGAAACATTTTGGTAGATGCTGGATTCTCCTTATCTCATTGTACTATGCTAAACAGGGAATTAAACTGACTCTTGGCATCTGTTGGCTTGAATGTGTTACATGAAATTCACACTAAGAATGTGGAATTATTGAAGATAGTATGTTGAGAAATGCTATTTCTCTGCATATCTGTACTTTTGGTACAGAATAACTCAGGGGTTAGAAATGACATAGATCTTTGTGTTTAAAAAGTAATCATTGTTCATGTTCTGTGCAGTGTTAGCTTAAGATTTGTAATTTTATATGTATTGAAACTGTTTTGGCAAAATTTTCACAAAAATTAAAAGTTTACTACATAAGCCTGAACAAATCAATGAATGTATGGCAAGCATTGCACTCACATGCAGGTTTGTTTCACAATTTTTATTCTACCCCTTGGGTGTCCATTATTAGTCTGAATCCAGGAAATCATATGAATGGTGAAAGCTGACCACTTTAATAGTGACTGGATATTTTCCTCTCTGGCAATAGTATTCATAAAAACAAGCTACATGCAGAAATAAGTTTCTGCATGTGGATCATCCTTGACTGTGTTTCAAAATACATATGGTCAATCAACCTAAATTATGCATTTTATTTCCTCAGTGTCAGCCCCATCATAGTTATTCATATCTCCATGTCTCATTAGTTCTTATACAGAAAAAAAATCCCTGGAATTCTTTTTTGTGGTTGCCTCATTTTTCTCTATTCCTTTGGGGTAAAGAACCCTACTTTGGAGCTTTGTATGAGAGCATTTACTATACCAAAAAGAATATACAGACCACAAAACAGGGATAATGGATCATAATACTTTGTGATATAACCAAGGGCTGAAGCAAAGCAAACGACAGGTTATGAAAACTACAAGTACTTTAAAAACCAATGAAGTCTGGACCAACAGGAGATATTTTTAAATGAAGTTCTTTAAAACACATGGAAAAGTTGGCTAGTTTATTTGAAATGCCTAGACTTTGATCCAATTGAGCAGAAACCAAGCACCTGTGTGCAGAAGAGTCCCTCATGGAGCTCTGTTGTTCCCTGTAACCCACCTCCTCTCCATGTGAGCATTTGAGTATACATAGAAAGCAATATGAAATAATGAAAGAAATGGAAGTTCAGTGACCACTTCCGATATTCATAGCAGAACCAGCATCACTGCTACAGAGCACAAGTAACTTGCATGGTTGAAAATTGGTTGGGAATATGGGGTGTGCGCACGTACCTCCTCTCCTAGCAAAGCTTCATAAGAACACAAGAAAGACCTGCTGGACCATCTGGCTCAGCATTCTAGTCAAACTGCGGCCAGTCAGCTCTTCGTAGGAAACCTACGCGTAGGACATGAGTGCAACAGCAGCCTCCTGCCTGTGTCCCCCAGGAACTGGTATACATAGGCATACTGCCTCTCATGCTGGAGGAAGCACATAGCCTTGTCCTCCATGAATAGAATGTCTAATCCCCTTTAAAGCTATCCAAATTGTTGACCATCTAATCATGAGGAATTTCCAACTTTAAGCAGGTGCAATGTAAAAAAGTACTTCCTTTTATTTGTCCCGAATCTTGCATCAATCAGATTAATGGGTCAAGCCCATGCTCTAATATTGCAAGACAGGGAGAAAAAATGATCTCCCTATCTACTTTTTATCCTTGCACCACCTGCATGTGTGCTTGGTTTGATGGGGAGAACAGGCACGGTAGAACTTTCACATGCAAGTACTGCATGTGTGCTTGACTGGATCATGTGTTTTGTCTTTGCTTGAATTAGAGATACATGAAAAAAGCATTATTTTAAATAGGCATTGAATGGTTTTAGAATTAACATCTTCGCACCAGCACTTTGTGCTGTGAAATACATGAATAGTTTATATGAATGTAGTACAATTGAGTCGTCATATGGCAGTTAAAGTTGATTGAATTCCTTTTCTCTTTACTATTCAGATTTTTCCAGTTTTTGTCACTGTTATCATTTAATAAATTGCTGGTCCTTTCTTCAGTTACATTCTAACACTTTTTCTTATGTACAAATATGTAAGCTGTGTGACCTATTTAACAAGATGGTGAAAAAAGAAATTCATTCAGTACATTAAATTTAATATGATTTAAACACCAACTTTATACCTGCAAATTGTTTAAGAAGCACCTGCTAAAAGTGCATTTAGAACAAAGTGTTAATCATACAACTTTTTACCTTGTGAAAGAACTGTTTACAAATGATGGAAAGTATAATATATTGATTGAAGTTGAAAAGGAAGGTAACAGTTTCAAACGTATTGGTTTTATTATAGCTTTACATAAATGTAGCATATTTCAAATGAACAACTGTTTACTTTAGTGTAGATTATTTGGGAGGTTTTGTAGCCATACAAAATTTGCCTTATATTTTAGCAAATATATTTTGGGGGTAGAAGCGTAAATAAAAGCGACAATTAGGGCTGTGATGCATTTATTGTGGAACCTGCAAGAAACATGATAAATACCAGTATTCTAGGAATGACTGAAGACTTTGTTCTAATTTCATTGGTTGAATTAATACCTGCATAATATTAAATTTGTGAAAAGTTTCCAATGTTTCCATTTTATTGCAAATATTGCAAATATAAAGATTTCAAAATCATCTTTGTATATTTGATGTTTGCACTAAGTTCTTAAAATTCCAGGAGACTAATTAGCTCCTTTGTAAAAAGATACAAAGATATATAAAGGCTGATAACTTGGACCCTAAGGGCCTTTTCACACAATCAGGGATATAGATTGATCTTCATGAGAGAGTTTGCGCTTCAACATACAGTTTCTGCAGGCACACTATACTTTGAAAAAAGTCTCCTTGGTTGGGTAGCAGATCTTATCTTTATTTGATATACCTCTTTGTAAACATGGTTTTTTATACTTTTAATTAAAAGGAAAAAGATGCACTATGCATTTGAAGTCATGTGCTACTCAACCCTTGCAGATTTTGCTTAGTGTTTTTAATAGTGCACTCCTTTTTGAACAATTTGTGCAGGAATGAGATTTTTTAAAAACAAACGGAAGCCTACAGACTCCATTACTGAGAAATGCTGTGTGTGATTGGGCGGAAAGATCCTACATTGGACAAGAACAATTAGTTATTCAAAGCGATATCACTAAAGCAAAGGAAGAACCCTGATTACTAGCTGAAAACTCTTCAATAAATGTCTTCACAGACTAATAAAAGTTCTGTGTGGTACAGTAACACACGTTCTTGATAGATGAGATGGAAACTCAGAGTATGATTCTAAATAGTACTATTTTATTTTGGTTACAAGCCTTGCCAGCAAGACAGTGACATGATTGTATTGAATAGACCAGCATTATTTTACCTGTGGACTTGTTAAATATGGATAGTTGACAAGTCACAGGTTATACTGAATGTAATCTGTAATTATAAACAAATCAGTCAGATATTTATGGAGTTGCTTTGGATGATCTCTGAAAGGGGGTTAAATGTTGCTTTCGTAGGACTGCTTCACACTTGACTAGTTTCCTTTCCAGATAACTTGTATTTCTTAGCTGTAAAGGAGGAAGTATATAAGCTGTAAAACAGTAGTGCTGATGATAAACTTGATAGGTTTATTATATGTACAGTTGGTTGCAACTTCCAAGAGCATATATACACATCACAACAAGCATGTGCGAGCCATCTTTCATGTTAATCTGTACACTGCTTGTTTCTCTGCCTACTTTAGCCTATGTAGAACTATATGAAGGAAGTTCATCAGGTTTGAAGCAGTCCTTGATGTAAAATTCTCTTAACCAACACTTGGTGAATTTAGCTTCACTAGTCAGTCTACCTCACATTCATATTGTTTGAACTGAAGTTGTTTGCAATTGTGGCTATAGTATGTTTATAATGTTCTTTCATTAAATTCAATGAATGTTGTATTACCATTCAAGAGTCTGTTTTAATGCTGTATGCAGTCTTTCTACATCAAATATAAATGTAGTGAAGCTGGTTTCATAGATGCCTGCTCGCAGTGTTACACACACAGGTTCAGAACTTAACAGTTTTAAGTTTCTGTTATGGGATCAGATTATATTTTAACTACTTTAAAGGTTAAGTGGTGTCTTAAACTGTTTGGGCTAGTGTTCCTCTGGTGAGACCAGAAGCAAAAATGTCACATCATCTGTTAGTATGCACCATTGCAGCACCATTGCACCATACTCTGTGATTTTTAAAGCCTGCTGTTTTCAAAGCTAGGATGTAAAAACGGGACATAACCTGGAATACAAAAGTAAATGATCAAGCATTTGCTACTTCCTCCACAGAAGCATAGGTCAGTACCAAATTACACAAAAGATTAGTGTTATATTATTGTTTCTAGGAGATTTGAAGCAGTCTCTAGGAGCAGGTGGCGCAGTGATTTAAACTGCTGGGCTGGTTGATCAAAAGGTCGCCGGTTCGAATCTGCACAACGGGGCGAGTTCCCATCGCTCCGTCCCAACTCCTGTCAACCTTGCAGTTCGAAAGCATGCAAATGCAAGTAGATAAAAAGGTACCACTTCGGTGGGAACGTAACAGCGTTCCATGCACCTCGGTGTTTAGTCATGCCAGCCACATGACCACGGAGACTGTCTGCGGACAAACGCTGTCTCCCTTGGCTAGGAAACGGAGATGAGCACCACGCCCTAGAGTCAGGCATGGCTGGACTTAACGTCAAGGGGAAACCTTTACCTTTATTGTTTCTAGGAAGATGTTGTAAAGCCAACTTGGCAGGTATCTGGACAGTCATTACTCTGAAAGTTTGCCCAACTAATCTGCTAAATTCAGGAGTGCTGTCTAGGTATTAATTTATGATGCACTGTCTTCATTAGAACTGGCAATGTAATCATGCTGAAAGGTGCACTGTACCCTTCACTACTAGATTTAAACAGAGCCCATTTACAGTGACTCAGTCCAGATATGCCAATTTCTGGTTTGGCATTCCAAGCAAACCACTGTGAGCCTCTGGCTTGTATGAGTCCACCTTCTATTCCTTTGTGTCAGAGGAGAAGAAGCAATGTCCTCTAAGTTGCATGAATCTATGAATCCACTCTGCTTTCCTTTCTTCATAGGCGGGGAAGGGCAAGAGAGGGTTCATGAATCCAATGACCACTGCTGCTCATTCCCAGTTCTCGAAGGCAGGTGTAATTCTATAATGCAGGTCTGTCTTCTAAAGTTTTATAGCCTTCTGGCTGATGTATTTATACAGGCTTTTAGAAATAACTCTGTATACTTTTGAATGACAGATTATACTCTACCTGCTGTGAAAGGTCGTGCAAGCAATTGTGGTTTGGAAGAGGTGGCTGATATTGCTCATTATGTATTATACTATGTATATCTGAGGTCTCAAAATTTTCAGAGGGACAAATCCTCACGCTAGACAGGCTAGCCGCCTTTTGCATTCTTGGGTAAAACACAATCTTTGGGGTTCAAGTCAGGTCTAGTCTGAAACTTGCATAGTACAAATTTGACTTTTCAATCCACCTGTAATATGAACAAGGTGCAGTATCAGTCTGAGTAAAAAAAGTAAGTAGCCAGTTTGGGTTTCAACCACTGTTACTCCTACTTAGAGAAGATCCAATGAAATGAATAGGTAGACTTAACACTGGTGTGGAATCAGAAGGCTGCTAATCAGCAGTGAAAATGAAACAGTGATGTTTAGACTCCATCAGGTACATGAAGACTGGAACTTGTCTTTCTCCATATCCTGGCTTCATTTTTGTGGGATTCATGGAGAGGACATTTCCACAACTGGAAACAGGAGGCTGAACCATTGGCTTTTTCCACAGTAATATTGAGAACCGAAGCTCTTAGATCTTCTAAATATAATGACTGCAACTGTTAATCACCCCAGCTCATAATTTTTATATAAGGATCAGACTACCATTTCAAATCAACTTTTAATATTCAACCATATCAAAGGAATTGCTTAAATGCATTTCACATTAGTACATTATTTAAAAATTATCAAATACTTTATTTTTAATCTACATTATATACAGGTCAAGAAAGGCCACAGTAGTTTTCCAACATATGCACCCTCTGAAACTGGAGGGGTTTAGGTTAATGTATCAAAGTGAAGTCCACAAATGAAGGTATACATCCAATCTGCTATTGCTGAGGAAATAAAACACAGTCTCCCTCTTTATTGGCTCACCTAACACTCCCTTTTAAACATTATTTCCATTCAAAGTAAATACTAAAACAATGTGTGATACTATAGACCATCTTTTTATTGATTTGTATAAGCTGTGCTATACCAAACATGAATCAAGGTAACTCTCACTGCCCTGATATATTCCTTACATTGTGAACTTCAAAATGTACTTAAATACTTGACAATTCTTGCACTAGTTGTCAGTCCACTATGAACAACTATAAGCTGCATGTAAACATGACTAAATTACAATACATTTTTATAAAAATAGCTTCAAAAATTACCCTATCTCTGCACTGTTTACAGTTGTAATAAAATACAACAACCAATGTTTGGTTGTTATAACTCCTGAGTTCACTGCTAGTAAGTGTCCCATTCTCTTGGTCAACAGCTACAACCAGGCAACAAGTTTAACAATACCTTCTTACTACCTTTTACTATAAAAGTTTCCACTTTAAGTAGGTTGTTGTCCACTGAGAAAATTATACACCAGGAATTGACTAGTACCAAAGTATTGTGTTGCAAACAGCTTTCCATCAGGAGTAGGATCAGAAAAAGCGATTTCTTCTTTACTCAAATATGAGCCATATATAAAGTTACTCCTGTTTAAAGATATTTAACAAAACATCATGGTAGCAATAGAAATATTTTTAATATGGATAGCTTCCTATTGATCAAGTAATACCCATGAATTATACAGCTATTCTTAAATAACTATTAGTCATATAAACAGTCCCCATCAATTAATTTAATGCCTCTCAAAAAGTTACTATGAAACCAGTTTTTTGCCCTCCTTCCTGTCCTTATAACTGGCTCATATTTCCCCCTCCTCCCCCTCCTCCTCCTCATTTTACTAATCACAGTTCATAGATAGAAATATGAAGAAACTGCTTACCTCAGGCATTCTAACATCCGGGAAGCAATTTTCTTCCTTCGCATCATGCTAAACACCCAGATGCGACTAATACCACAAATAGCAGGCTCAGGAGATGTTGAACAGCACCAAGCCTTTTGTCTTTCAAAGGTGACTTTCTCATTTTCCGAACTAATTTCTGGAATCTTTTCTTCAATAACTCTATATCCCTAGAGAAAGAATATTGTTAATAGACTTTTATCAGCGCATTAAAACAAGTGATAGAAGATGAACCTCATTTCCCTGCAATGTTCTTAAGTGTTATTTGAATATAATTACAAGAACATTGTCTTCTACAATCCTAAAATAAAACAAATGTAAGCTTGTACTAAATTCAGTTACTGTAGGAACTCCAAGATGTTTATAGGAGAAAGCTGAGAAGCTGTGGCATGAAGGTAAACTGTTTGCCTACATTCTTTACCCCGATATGAATCAATTTCCATTATATACTGGAAACAATAGTTCCTGAAAACTTTCAAGCAAACGAAAGCTAAAGAATTAAAAAACCAGGCTGCTGTATAACGTGTAAGCCTGGATCTCTTACAAATAATTTCTATTCTGCTTTTTGTTGTATGGGGAACAAGGGGAGAGTTGGGAAACAGGGTCTGTTAAGAATTTGAATGTCAATATCATGTGATTTGATACATTACTGATACATTAATTCTGTGACCCTGCACTTTTGTCAGGATTAGTTCAGTGTGTTTTTTTTTTAAAAAGTGTTAATACAGCAATCCTATTGATGAAATAGCGCTAAGGTCCAACATCAGAGCAATCCAAGATTCCAAAGCCTCAGTGGTTCATGCTAGAAAAGCAGGAAGGATGGAGGTTTCACTGCATACTTTAAAATACATACACATGCACGCACGCACACAAACCTTCTCACTGATTTCAAAGAGAAGGAATTAACCTACAACAGCTCCAGAGCTGACTTGCATCTTTTCTACTGAAGAAAATATTTTGTTAATTTTATATCCAATTTCAAGGTATGAGACTTAAGAGGTTATAATCAACAATTGTGATTCAGATGGTTTATTTCTTGTCAAAAATACAAGGAAACACTAGGCCAAAGAGGAAGTTAGTTTTGTATAGCAGTGTTGAAGGAATTGTTTAAGATAGTTACAGTTTTGGGATATAAGGCAGCAATATTGTTACAGTTAAGTATGAAGAGGGGTATAAAAATGAAGAAAAATACTCTGGGCACACCCTTACTCACCCACTGGATATGTTCTGCAATTAAGCAGCCAGTTACTTTTTTATCATTAGAAATAAATAATAGAGTCTTAGTTCTGGAGCATGTAAGAGGAGCTTGCTGAAATCCCAGGTCGTTATCTACCATCTCCCTGATTTCATCAACCTGCCAAAATAGCATCACAGAATCAAAACCAGTATATTGGAAAGTAGTTATATATTAATAAATTGTACACCAGTTACTGTTTATATTAGTTTGCTTACATTTTTAGATACCACTCCATTCCCATAGGCTCTGAGCGGTTTACAGGAGATTAAAACCAACAATAATTCATATTTAAGACTAAAAATAGACATAAAACTAATCTGGAAACAGCTGTCGGACAAGTTATGTCTTTAATTCCCTCTTGAAAGTAGCAATCTGGAATATCTGAGGCATCTCTCCTGGCAGGCCATTCCACAGTTAAGGGTCAACCGCTAAGAAAGTTCTTGGGATAGTAGGCATTAATCTTGCAGAAGCAAATATATCCCCAGATGATCTTAGTGGGTAAGACAGAATATATGAGCAAAGGCGTTCCCAAAAGTACTTGGGAGTTGAACCATCAAGGACTTTACAGGTAATTACTAGTATCTTGCAGAAACATATAGGCAGCCACAGCAGAGACTTTAATACCAGTGACAGATGGTTTCTCCCTCATGTTCCAGAGACCAACCTGGCTGCCATATCTGTACTAGTTGCAGTTTGCTTATGTGTAGCCCTTGCTGGGGAACCAGGGCAGGAGCGTGCTGCCGCCATCCTGTTCTGAGCAGCTGGCTAACCACTATGTGAAGAGAATACTGGAATAGATGGATACTTGGTCTGATCTAGCATACCTCTTTTTATGTTTTATGACACCCAAATTGAAGTCTTTGTGCCTGTTAGAACCAGAAAGCAAGCAGCCCGTATTGACTAAATTGTTCCTAATGATCACATATTTTTCTTGCAGGGCCTAATCAAGTCCTTTGGGATGTACTGTTTGTCAGAATGGCCATTTTCATTACAAATTTGCTAACTACAGGCTTTGACCTGACACTATTGTCAACTGTCATATTTCCTGAAGTAATCTGACCAATTCATATCTATTACCTCTGTACCTTTTCCTGCCACAAGCCCATGTGAGTCATAAGTCTCTTAAACTCTTGAAAAAGGTGCACAGTTTGCTAACCTCTGTGCACACACAATTTATGTTCAGGTTTCTACGATTCACATAAAGATCCAAAAAGCAATACAGCATTATGAAAACATGAATATTAATTGCTTTATGATTGTAACCTAACTACTGATCTGATGGCAAATATCAAATACTATGTACATATAAAAATGAACAAACTTACTCATGAAGTACATTTGTGCTACCAACCTAATAATATAATCAAAGATAAAGGTATCTAGTTGCCCATATCCAGAACCAGGAACAGTACACTTTTTTAAAAGTTCAATCTACCTTTCTTAGTGCATATTTTGGATCATCAGGAAGTACCATTATTATCTTGCCATCAGGAAACTCGGCCAAAATTCGTTCTTTTTTCCAGCCCTAAAAGACACCACCACATACAATAAATACTCAACACACATCCTTTTATATTGCTTAATATAGTTGACAAATATTATCCTTTAAAGCTTTGGAAAATAATCCATATTTGTTCAGTGAGTAAATAAATCCCAAATAAGCTGCTTCCTGTATTCATATGAACAGCCACACACTCGTTCATATAACATAGTGAAGTTAACAGAATGCAATTGATGAAAGTGTTTTGGACTTTAGAACCTTTCTTTACAATTCTTAGACAAATCAACTTGGAATCTGTAGATGTATTTTGTAAATGGAGTAAATTCCCTAAACAGCAACCCAGAGCAAGTTCATGTAGATATATGTATACCTTCTAGCCAATAGTGAGCATAAGTATTATTTTTAAGAAAGTGTTTCTTTAATATAGTTACCTCCACAAATACAAATTTTGAACATTTTAACATCCTGGCAAGCAAAAGACCTCCAGGAGGTTTTCAATGAACTGAATGGCATGCAATGTTTTCAAACAAGGAGTAAGTTATTATGTCACTGGTTATAAACTATCAGTCATAAAAAATGAGACTATAAAAACAATAACTACCTTCTAAGAATCTAAAGGGGAAAGTTCCTATGCTGTGTGTATCTGAAGTTAAACATACTCAAAAATAAGGTAATTAACTCTTCTTCAGATCCACACTGATGGTGATTAATGAGCAGTACCTGCATGGAAAAACAAAACAAAAAGCCACTTAAGTCTATCCAGAAATTAGAGTTTATGTTGCTCAGAAAGGATGCCCAAAGTAGTATTTATAGAAGAACCAAAGTAAAGTTTACTTCAGTATGCTAATTCAATCTACAAGCCACCCCGAAACGTAAAACATTTTGAAGGTGAAGAATGGCGGGAGAAAAAAGAACTGGACAGCACTATCCCCTAAATGTATAGTAAGACTAAAATAAGACCATGAAAAGAGCCATGCTGGATCAGACAAAGAGGCCATCTAGTCCAGCTTTCTGTTCACATAGTGGCAAACCAGCTGCCCTTGGGACCCCACAAGGAGGAACTGAATGCAACAGTGTGTTCCCAACCAAGTTCCCCATATACTGGTGTATGTAGGCTTCCTGCCTCTGATAATGGAGGCACCATAAAGTCATCAGCACTAGTAGAATGAAGTAGAAGTAGAATGAAATAAAACAAAACAGTAGCTTTTGAGACTCTTCTCCTAGATACAGAGCAGGGTGCAGCAGTAAGATGCTGGAAGGGAAGCTGTGCACACCACATGGCTGCCTTGTAGTCCTAAGGTAGCTTTCTGCTATCACGTGTGGTGAAAGAAGCTACCCCACTAACAGTGTTAAAGTAAGATGCAGTTGCCACTTGCCAGTTTTGTCAGGTTCTATACATGGCTGGGAGGGGAAGAATATTATCATGTCCTTTGCCTCAGGCATTAAAACATCTTGGGTCAGCTCTGACTCTCTGTAATATGTTATATGTAAGGTTGCCCCTAAAGAAAGTTTGAGAACTGCTGTTAAAATACAGCTGCTAGAGTGCTAATAGGAACCAGGTATTATGAGAATATTAACCTGGTCCTTGCCTATAGGAACCAATACTGCTTTATCCAATTCAGAGAACTGGTCTTGATTTTTGATACCCCTTCACCATATGGGGTCTGGCTGCCTATGTATGTAGATCTCCTATCTACATACATGCCTGCTTTAAATTCTTCATTAGAAGCTCTTATCAGAGTTCAGCTCATCCAAGTAACAGCAGGTGATGGCTATGGGACGCTCTTGCCATACAGGACACTTGTGTTTGTTTTTCCAAGCTTTTTAACATGTTAATGTCCATTAACCAGTTGTATTTAGTTGTTGCTTTTATATGTTTTAATTAACATACTTTATTGCAAGCCACCTCAATATTTATTTCTAGGGTATAGTACAGACCTAAGTAATAAATAAATAAATAAATAAATAAATAAATAAATAAAGAGGTGAAATCCTTACTTCCACATAAATATGCAGAAAACTGGGCTGTAAAACTGAATCAAGGTTTTAGTAACAGCTTTTGGATTAAAGTGAGGATTTAAAACATAGTGGCACTTAAAAATCTTGTGAAGTGTCTAATTAGGCTTGCAGTTTGGTTACATGATGTTTTCTCAGTCCAGTTTTAGCTGGAAACAATGATTATAATGGATTATTAATAAATTACATGTTTAAAAGATTTGTTCATAGCTGTACTGAAAACAGGCCAAGAACTGAAAGTAAGGGTAAACCCACTAAGACTTTATTGAAATAGAAGTAAAATAAGAGGTGGATTTCCACCAAGGGAAGCTGATGCTCCTCTCATCCCTAAGCTTTGTCCATTCACTCCCCCAAGCAAACTCCCCTCCCGCTTCTCCGCCCCACTTTCCCAAGTGCTCTAAGTTGCTCTGCCCTGCAGATCTCTCTATATATGAATGATACACAAATAAACATAGAAAAGCAACTGACTATACTTTCTTGTGTAAGTCATGAATGGCTGACAAAAATAAACCAAAAAAATCAGTAAGGAAGCACACCTCTAAATTAGATTTTGTATATGCGTATATCATTACATTCCAAGCTAGATTTGAACCAATGATAAAATTTGAGGGATCAGAAATGAAGTAGCTTGGTAAGTTCAGTTCAGTTATCCTGGAGGTCTTATCAATGTCAATGCAGAATATGGAAGGTAACATATATGATAAAGAAAACAGACTTCAATGGCTGTAACAGAAGTTACAGGGACATTATGATCCTTTATATGCAATTTTGTATGTAAGTAATTGAATTTCAGACAATATAAAGCTTAATATTTTCTAATCTATTATGTTAATATACCCTAAGAAGTTCATGCTGTAAAACATGGCCCCTTATTTGTGCATTTACATATTACATGTAAACAGAACAACAAATTGGAAAATGGATGCATGGTATTGTAAATGACTGGCTAGCTTGATCAATCTTGGGTGCTTGAATACATACTGTATCACTAGGACAAGTAAAAGAACTGGGTAAAACATGATTTAGTAGCATAAGTAATATATTAATGACTGACCAGCATTCTAAAACATTTCTAACTGAATCTAATTCTTACCTACAGTATACTTAGCATTAAGTACTATTCTGATTGTTCCATAGCAAAACCCACAAAGCACATAGTGTTTCATAAGCAAAATGAAGTCTCCTTACCACGTATTTTACAGCACTTATAAATTGGTTGTGAAAGAGCAGGTGCTGAGTTTCATCCTCAGGATTTGAAGCTGTGTAAAGCATCCCACAAACACTGCAGGAAATTGCACCAAATCTTTTTTGCCCTGCATCCTATATTAAAAGGTAAATACAGTGCTCATGCAAGAGTAACATACAGTAAAAAAAAAACAAAGTTTCTTAACACAATAGACAATGACAAATGGGCCCCTTTGAGTCTCCATGATGCTAAAAGATACTATTTTTGCTTTGCATGCTTATATCAAGAATAGTGGCTAGGAACAGCATTCCAAGGTCTGTAATATGGTTATGGACCAAGTATTCTTTGCCTCATGTTAACATTTTCAAGACGATCCAAGCATCACAAGAACTTACTCTTTCCTGCCAGATTTGCAAGGTGTGTGAAAGACAGTACAGCTGTCATATCTAACTAAATCAATCAAGGAAACACAAGCAAGGAGTAAAAGAACCTTGCTAATGCCCAGGACGATACCAAGACCCTTCTGATAAACTGAGTTGCTGAAGCAACCAGGTGCAGGACTGCTTTCTTTCCTGTGCCTATACATCTTTTCATATATAGAGTGTAGGAACATCCCTGGACTCCTGTCACCTATTTTTCAGTAATTTTTTTTTACAGATGTCAAGTGAGGAAGGAGAAAGGGACTCTTAGAAAAAGAATCTTTACTGCACATTTGTTCTCCCAATGAAAAATTGCAATTTTAGATAAAATATGCTGATGGTTCTTAATACTGTGACATAGGAACCAGATCCTGGGGCAGACACAGTGGTCAACTCCCCTCTGGAAAGGCTGTTGCATCATTTCATAGTGCCATTCACAAAATCAGGAATTCAAACACCTGCTCATCTTTCAATGTGATATATGCCAACACTGGCTAGCATGCTTTACTACATAAACAAACAGAACAAACAGGACAACATCTATAAAAATGTGTAAATGGACACAAATTTGATATGCAGAATGAAACTGTTCAGGAGCCAACTGTGTCATCACCCAACATTTTGGAAATAGCAGTTATTAAAGTAATTGTCACTGCCTGTATGTTTTGCATTTTAATTCCTTCCGCCTCAGTAGTTTACATCTCCCCTGCCCTATCATATATACAGATCTGCCAGTGTGAGGTTAACATGTATATAATTAAATAAGAAGTTTCATGGAAGTATATACCAGAATAAACTTGTTAGCCTTTTAAGGTGCCATGGGATGATTTATTGTTTTTTCAGCAATAGACTAACATGTTCATTTTTCTAAAAATATTAACACAATGGTTACACAACTGGAAATAAAAGGGCAAATTTAACAATTGATACACTTTGCTTAAAATATCTCAAAAGATGAACATCAAATGCTCAACATCTACAATTACTTACTATGATTAGTTGTTTATCACTATCTTTTGTTCCTTCTTTTAATTTTTTAATATTTTCTTCAGACGAAAGTTGACCATCACATTTCGATACTAATGAAATCTTTGGAGAATCTGCCCTTTAAGTTTAAAAATTAATTTGGTATGAACAAAATGTCTGTTTTACCATGAACTTAAAATTAAAGCAATTTAAGTAAAAATTAAATCAAAGTAAATATAAATTATTTTAATATAAATATAATTTAATATTTAGGTATGTTTCTTTCAAAAATATGGTTTTTATTTTAAAGCAAACAAGTCTGCAAGTACAAGTCCTACACTTATTTGATAGACTAGGATTGAAAACAACAAGAATTACTTCCATTTCAGTCTACCCTTGAAGAGCCTGCTAACTTTTTAAAGCTCAGTGAAGAAACTGTTGGGTTTGAGTGGCTGAATAATGGTCTCAAATTATCATGCCCCTTGATGTAGGAAAAAGCTCCACATGTTCCCTTTGGAACCCTGCCCTCCTCTTTAAATTGAAATACCTGTAATTGTATTCTTAAAGAATTGTTTCATCCCTCCCTTTCTTCCGAATGGTGAGGGAAAAGTGCCACATTTTTTCTGTCTTAAAGATGAGAACATTCTGGAAGCAATGCAGAAGGCTGTTTTATTTCAGAAAGATTGTCAGAAAGCAAACAGCCTGTTGCCTGACACCTCCAAGACTCATGTTTTAAACAGGGCTGTGTTTTGAAAACTGAACCTCCAACAGTACATTATCTGATACATGGAAAACTGTTTACAAGTGTCATGTTTTGCATAAGAAAAGCTTAGCAGAGTTGCAATATGGGCCTCTAATTTCCATAGGTATGATGGGCCAATGGAAAGTACTAGCAGAGCATACTAACCCTACTGCTGGGGGTAGAGGATACGAAGGGGTTTAAATCTGGTATAGCCAGAATAAGTTTTCATGAGTTCATGAATACAGATTCCAGACTCTCATACTACAATGAAGTCTTCCTGTGTTGCTTAGTGGAATGGGAGCAGGCAAGCACTCTATGGAGCAATCCACTTGTGTCTGACTGTGGGTTATTGTACTATTTAACTGCAGTCACTTCCTTTTATTTTCTAACACCCAGAAGAATATTGGAGTGAAGAAGTTACTGTTCTTACATCAGATCTTCCTCTGTTTTAACTATATTGAAATATTTTAAAATATAATCTTCAACAAAGTTTTGCAATAAAATGCAACTACGGAACTCTTCAAAATACCCTACCTGCTTTCATTTGTGTCAGGGATTTTATTTGAAAATAAAGTCTGAACCAACTGTTGGGGACCTGGACCTGCAAATAAATCAATGTATTACTTCAGATGTATATCATGAATCGTGGATACCAAACATTATAGGGATTATAAACTTGATTGTTCACAACAGAGGATAGAAGGGAAAATACCAACATCTGTAGCTTAAGCAGTTAATTTAAGTACTAGGAACAATTCAACTGTCAGTGTAATTTCTGTTTTAGTGAATACAATTATTATTAGTTTTGGTCATTTTAACAGTACTTATTTGTCACTTTGCGCACCAGTGCTCAAAGAAAGAAAATAAGAGGAAAGTTGCATACATTCATAGAATAGAAAAAGCTAAAGGAAACCGATCCTATTAGCAGAATTGCATACAGCTGTGATGAAAAAACTAAATGCAGCTATTCATCATACAGGAGACAGAACTGTAAACTTTTTGTTTCTGCCACCTGACTGGGCAAGGATGCCCATCTCTTGGCAGGCCACAGTGCAAGCCTGGGAAGATATATTTGCCACGTCAGGTCACAATTTGCACAGGTCTACTCTACAGAAAAAAATGAAACATTCTAGCAGAATGGTTACACTTCAGAAAGGTGTATCAGTTAAAGTATAGACCAAAGTATAGAAGTTGCAAATACAACTACAACAGAAACAGCAAATAGAACTAGAAATGTTAACTTCTCAACAAAATGACCAAGTCAGCGATGGAATGTGGTAAGTGACCTTACTTGCATGATTTATTAGAAGTCTAATTGTCTAAGTTGTCATCAATACCTGGAGTATAGATTATGTTGCTGAATTTCATAATCAATAATGCCCTTTCTACTTCATAGTTCTACAAACCTAACACGAATTTGTCAAGTGTTTCCTGGAATAAAACAGCAACTGAAAATTCAACTACCTGTAACCTCTGCAGAAGTGATAAATTTATGAAAATGTATGGAATTTGTATTTTAAAGTTCACCTTGTGATTTCATTTCTGTTGTATCTTTTTTTATTTCCTTCACTGGAAGATGTGCTGTAACTATTTTCATTGGTGTATTTTCGGGACTTGAGTCCAAATGTAAGTCGAAGCTCTAAAGAAAATATTAAAATATATATTAATAAAATGCCAACCAAATCAAAGACTTATAAAAACTCATGTAAATGACAACAGATCCCATACTGACAGATAGAATGCAACCCTTGAGCAAACAAACATTCAAGCCAGTAATTCTTGCTTAACTTGCCTAATTTAAGAATGTTAGAGCAATGCTGGATCAAAGTGAGAGTCCATATAGTCCAGCTTTCTGCTCCTCCCAAGAAGCTCACAGGACATGAATGCAACAGCACCCTTCCACTTAAGCTCCCCAGCAACTAGTGTACATAGGCATACTGCCTCCAATATTAAAGGCAGCATATAGCCATCAGGACTAGTAGCCAATGATAAACATTGATAACTTCTTACACTGCACTGAAGGCAAAAACCATTTCCATGAAATTGAATTATATATACTCTAAGCTGGAAAAGTCTGTTGGCAACTAATATGTAGACTACTTTTTACACAGTTAACTAATAATAAATAAATAGATTATTTCCTCTTGATGTTGCCATGCACACTGCTAGACTGACAAGAGAAAATGATACAGCTGTGGTACAAGATATAGCTGGCTGTGCTTTTGAAAGGAAAGGAAGCTCTAGAATGCTACTGTTATATTGTAAGCCTGTAGCAAATGTAGTAGAGAGTGACTTAGTTTACACAGAACAAGAAACCACCATTGTTTATTTCCTGTGAGCTTTGTGGCAGCGTCTACCATTCTGACTATTTGAGCCACAGAAGTAGGTGTGTTATATCTTGTATTACATGTGAACCTAATGAAGCAACTTACAATTCTAAAACAGCCCACGTTATGGATGGCTTGTCAACTATCATACTCTGCTGCACTCAGGTGTAAAAGCAAATTACAATGCACTCCCATTGTGACTTAAATATTCAAAATGGCAGCCATGGCAACAGAAGACTGCACAGGGAAATTCTCCCAAAGTGGCTATTTGTTATGTGCAGACCAGGTCATTCTCTCATGGCCAGAAAACCATGCATAAGGGCTTAAAGTGAAATTGACCAAAATAGCCTCTACACATTTTACTTAGGAAAATAAATAGGGATGCACAAACTGGCTCATTTTAAACAAACTACACTGCAATATACTCAAATTACCTCACAGAGTGCCTCATAAAAATTACTGTTTAAGCTAATCTCATAATGAAATGTATAAAAGTTATGCTATCTCCATTCAACAATATTGCAAGTAATTACCTCATCTGGTGTTGACTCAGAACACTGTTTTGTCTCAAACAAGCCATTTTCTACAGCTTTTACAGTGGACTGTTGAACAGGTGATATCCTATCTTTAGTCTGCATTTCTTCCAAGCAAGCTGTATTCAACTTCTGGTCATAAGTTGTTTTACCATTGTTTTGTGATTGTATCAATTTCCTTTGAGTTTCTGGAAGGTATATTTCTACAGCTCTTGCTTGCCCTCCTTCTGGAATGCTGCTCTTTAAAAAAGCATGTTCTGGAGTATTTGCACAATTTGAAAGAGTTTGGTTCATATGATTAACCTTTTTTAATTTTATTTTGGTCCATTTAGAGTTTTTGTTTGTAGTGTTATGTCTGCCATTCACAGTACATTTGACAGGCATTCCTTTTTTGCTAGGGAAAAATCGCTTACATTGGGAGTTCTGTTTCGTTTGCTCATCAGTAGATATTGTAGTCTTTGGCAAATCCACTACTGTATCTCTTTCTCCCTCTTTTCCATATTCAGCATTAGGAGAATCTCTTTTTACCTCCACTGTGTCTGACTCAATCTCACCTGCAATTTCCTCACATAGCTCAAGGATGCTAATCTTTTTGGACTTCATCATATCCTCTGGTTGATAAGCAGGTTTTATATTCAATGGAGCCTGCAAAGTTCTCTTAGCTTTTACACTGATTTTCCCATTTTTGTGTACTGATTTCTTTTCCTTACTTATTACATTGCAAGATGATGTCATAGAGCAGGCAATTGTGTTGATAGCTTCATTCCCGGATTCTTGAAGAATGCAATCAAGGTTTCTTGATTCACTTATCTTATCTTGAGAAACAGTCAAATCATTAATTTTAGAATCTGTTTCACATTTTTTTTCCTTCAGAGAACCCATTTTTTCAATACTTATTATTTTTTGTTCTTGATTTGTATATTCATCCTTTTTCAAGGGCTTATCTTCTTTTTTCTGCTCAAAATGTACCATCTTTTCATTTTTTATACATCCACTCTGTCTTTTCATCTGGATACATTGTTTTGTAGAAGCATGTTCTTCTTTAATTTTTTTACTGCGCAAGGATATTGTAGACACAACTGATGATTGCTGCAGTCTTGGTGATTTTCTGGTTTGATACTCATCATGTGAAACAATATGTTGCAACTTATTAAGATCCTGTATCATCTCCTTCTGAGATACTTCCCTAGTTTTTGTGAAATGAAACTGCTCTTGTGTATCGACAGGACTTTTGTTAGAATTAGTTCTCATTGACCTTGTGGTTATTTTTCCCTGGTCAGAATCACAAGATTTTTTGTCACTGAAAATTTTACTCTGTTTTGGTCCAGGATTTTGCAGCACTGGCTTTTTTGCACAAGGATTTTTTGAATTCTGAACTTCTAAGCTAACACTGCTTCCTTTAAGATATTTTCCAGTTTTAGCTTTTCTATCCTTTTTTGAATTATTTTTTATTTGTTTTGTTTCAGAACACCGGGTCTTATGTGTAGATTTATTGCACTTTGCTGAATATCTATTACATATAGCTTCAGCAAAACACTTTACTGTTTCTGCAGATGACTTCTGTTTCTTGCTTTCATGAGAAGTCTTACTTTTGACAACACTGGGTTTTCCTTTAGCTCTAGTACAGGTTTTGGAGGAGTTTGTGTATTTTGTATGGCTTGTTTTAGAAGTTTTTAGGGATGTTTTTGTAGGAGTTAATTTACCTAAAGACTTTAAAGATGTTTTTTTCACATGTACTGTTTTGCATGTTTTCTTCTTTAATTCATTTGAAGTCGGTTTGGAGTGCTTTTGAGCTTGTTTAATTTGAGAAGATGGTTGAGATGATCTATGTATGGATTTATTGACAGGTGACCTGTTAGTTTTGGAAGCAATTTTGCACATATTTTTCTTCAACACTGTCTTTTTATTTGATACATGTTTGCCATCAAGCAATATCCTTTCTTTGCTAGTTGTTACTGATTTACTATTCTTATCCACTTTCCGATGCTTAGCTGGAGGTTCTACTAGCACAGATTTTCTTTTCTGTGCTGCCATTTCTGAAAAAGACAAATAATCTGTCATCTTTACAACCTCTCCAGCAGTTTCTGCATAAATCACAACTGAATTGCAAAGTTTAACAGAAGACTTGGCTTACTCACAGGTACTGTTTTGTAAGTGAACTCTGTCTCAGTAGAAGAAATGTACTGATCTGTGAAAAACACATTCCTTACAAATTTGCATCCAAAGAGATCATTACATATTTCCTATGAATACAGAAAAACACAGTATTATTGGAAATTAAGCAATTTACATATGTCTTAAAGTTCAGATACTTGGACCTATAATTCACATTACAATACTTCCAAGTTAATGGATTCAGATTCAATTAGCATTCCAGTTCTATGAGAGACTGAGACTACTATGTTGGCCCATAGACATGCACAGGGACTGATACTTTTCTAACCATACTGTGAACCGGAAGCTAAACCCTTACCATCACTGCCCCACCAACTCCCCACGTACATGGAAAGCTTCAGCAAAGGCAGGGCACTTGGGGTTTCCCCTGGAAACTGTTTTTTATACTGTTTCTGCAGGCCCTAATGTGCAAGGACTGAGATTTTCCTACCCTAATCCTAACCAGAAGCACAACCCTATCCATGCATGGCCAAATACTGCCAGTACATAGGCAATGCTTTACCAAAGGCACTTCAATCACAGATTCTCTTCATAGTTCACTTTTTCTCCCACATCTGAGTTTCCACCAGGCCCTTAGATATGTAGAGGGACTGATATTTTCCAAACCTTGAACCTGCCCTAAACTTTGACCCTTTCTGAAACTGCCCCATATACTCCCCAGGCATACAGAAACCTAAATGAAGGTAGCACTATCATGACTTTTCTTGGCAGCTCTGTTTTTATGTGAACTTGTTCAAGGCACTTCCACATGCACAGAGATTAGTATTTTCCTAACCCTAACATCAACCTAAAGTTAACACTAACCCTACATACCAGTATACACCCCAAAAATACGTAAAGGCTTGGAAAAGGCAACACAAACGTGGCTTTCCTTAACAGCTGGCGTTTACACCGTGATCTGAGCTTGTTCCAGGCCCTTAGACATACACAAGGACCGATATTTTCCTAATTTAACCTAAAACTTAACCCTATCCATAACTGCCTCATATACTTACCACATACATGCAATGCTTTAGTAAAGGTACAATCATGCTTTTCTGAGCAGACCATTTTTGCTCACTCATACAAACTTGTTCCACAGGTACAAAGGCTGATTTTTTCCCCAAAAACCTAACGCTAAACCAAAGCTTAACCCTTACTGTAACAGTCACTTCTACTACCCATGATCATGGAAACCAAACCACTGAGGGCTATTTCCTGGCAACTCATTTTTCTGATTCATCTGGGCATGTTCTGGCCTTTTACATAAGTACAAAGACCCATATTTTCTTTACCCTAGCCAGAATCTTCACCACAACCCTAAGAGCCCCATCTGTAACACAAAGATATGCAAGGCTTCTGCTGAGGCTTCTTGCAAGGCCCTAAACATGCAGAGGGACTGATGTTTTCCAAACTTTGCCTTAACCTGCAATTTAACCACTACCATAACTACCCCTTCTATTTCCCCATAAATATTGAGAATTTGAGCAAAAGGAGCATACTAGGAGTTTTCTATGGGTAGCTTGTTTTTCTACCTCATCCTGGTCTTAGACATGCACAGGAACTTATGGTTGTCCTAACCTGAACCCAAACCTGGAGCTTAACCCTAAGTCTTATGGCCTTACACCCCATATACATATGTAATCCTTCACCACAGTTGCAACTTTTCTTGGGAGCTGGACTTTTCTGCCTCATCTGAGTTTGTTTCAGGCCCCTACATAGACAAAGAGACTGATATTTTAACCATAACTCTAACCTGGACTTTAACTAACAGCCCAATATATAGGAAGTGTTTGTTAAGGCAACGTGATCATGGATTTTTCTTTTAATACACACACACACACAAATATGTATATATAAATACAGTCACATTATTAATATCCACATTTTTGCAATTAATATAATCAGTTGTTAACTAGCCTGTTTCTATGCTATTAAAACCTACTAGAACACACATCAAGGTGGTCAAGTGGTTTTTCTTGGCAGCTGGCTTCTTCTGCCTTATCTGAACTTGTTAGAGATTGACAAGGACTGATATTTTCCTAATGCTAAGCTGAACTTTAATCTTAACCCTAACCCTCCTATAAGCCTGATATTGCATAAGCATGAGTTTTAAGTGAACAAATCCATATATGCTACTTTAATTCCACATAAGTGCAATATTTTGTTCTGGGTCAGAATTCAGTGCTTTGAGAATCTGAGAATGTTTGTTTATTACTTTGCTTTTGGAGCTGCTAATACAGGCTTGGCTGGTAAAATATCCCAGAAGATCAAATCAGGGCTGTGATATTCTAAAAAATGCCTTACCCTTTCAACAGACTAGGGTAAGTGAAATAATGTAACAAAAAATGACCTACATACGTTCGGCACAATTCAAATAGGTCACCAACATTCTCTTTTTCTCAAAATTCCACTGTGGGGGTCATCCTGTCACAGTATGTTGACTTTTAGAAAAAGGATTTAGGGCAGAATTTTAGGACAAAGCACCAACTAAAAAATACAGAATATATGCTAGTCTCTTTGTTCAGGATTCATATTGCTCTATATCAAGCAACCTTAGTCTACCTCAACATTATTCTAGTACAACTAGACATTAAACAAAATCAAAGAACCAACTCTGCTTTTTCTAACTCTCCTGGGAGCCCCTCAGGACCTTTACTTTAGCCTCTGATAATGTGCCTTTATTGTGTACAAGTTATTTTTACATTTCTATTAATTGTGCCTTTTCACATACTTTCGGGGAAAAACTAATACTAGGGATCAACAAACCTTCCCCAAAACCTATTTTGTCCCCTCTGATGAAGCAGAAATAAATTCAGAGACAAAGTATAAGGGCCACCAAATTAGGAAGACTATACAGATAAATCATTTGACTGTTACATAAGTTTCTTCAATTTATATTGCCAAGAAATTAGGAAAGGTGCCCATGTCTCCTGAAATTAAAGTAAACTGGTTTAAAAAATGTGTGTAGAAAATATCCCAGCTGTTCAAAAAACAAAACAAAACTCCAACCCTAAATATCAGTTGGTTATAGTTAATAGCCTTAAAACTGCCATATCTTTGTTCCATTGTGATAGAACAAGGTAGTTATATTACAATATATTTTGTTACAACATTTTTCTTCAGCCAAATAAATAGTATTCCATGGCTAAAATTTACAGTTCCTGTCACAAGGAGCAATCAGCAAGGACAAAGAGACTGCCACCAGAAAAGCATTACTTTTAGTCCTAAACCAAAGTGCTCCTGTAGCACCAGTGATTCCAATCCTAAGCTACCTAATGCTCCCTATTACTACAACAATGCTTTGGCCCAATTATGACTTGGATATAACAGGAAAAATGAGCAAAAGCTTTGCCATAAATGGTTGCTGAAAACCTGACACGGTAAGGACAGCTTTTAGACTTAAGATGAGTCTAAATTCCTCATCTTATTTCTTATCAGGAATCCATATTGCTCCCCACCTTAGCAATGCTAATTGCTTGCCTGTCCTCTGGGGGTACTCTCTTAGATATGCAAATAGTTTACCTGTCCTGAGGGTCCTTTTGTGTTCTTCCTAATCTGATCAGGAATCCAAGTTGCAAGTCTTGCTGCACAGGTGCATTTTAGACATGCTAATGTCCCTGTCCTGAAAGGTCTTTCTTTGAGGGGCACCTTAGACATGCTAACATATGCCTTGTCCTGAAGGTTCTTCTTTTGTATTGTATTCATCCCCGACCTGAGTGTTCATCCCCTATTGTTTTATCCCAATGGGCCATCATCCCCCCATTGTGTACTATTCCCCCACCTGATCTCCAAACTGTATACAAATGGCAGGTTTTGATAGCAGCCTAAGTCACAATGTTATACCTGTTGCAACTGTTTACATGGCTAATTCGCATAACACAAATATAGCTACTCATGCCTATACAAATATAAACATATCTCTCACATGCCTACACAGTTTTATCTTATGTTTCTTCCAAGAAGCTCTGGCTGGCATACAATGTCTCCTGTCCTTCCTTTATCTGCACATTAACCCAGTAATGTACCTTCAGCTGAAAGATATGGCTTCTCTACATGAAACTTAATAAATGCTTTTGTTTCCAAGCTGTTTGCAGAATTAAGATCAGCTCCTTTATTAGCATCCCCCTTACCCCGGGCTTTAATGCTCTGCCTTTCTGTACATTTCCATTACAGAACCACAAGGTGGTGCCATGGTATAGCAGAATTCTGCAAATACACAATGGTTTCATTCCAGTTTATCCCACCATTTCCATATAATCAATATTTTGCAATGATTGAAAAGAATGGGAAAGGCTCTGAAGGATGGCAGCATTATGTAAAGTACCCACAAACTACCATAAGGCACAATGAATGCCCTGCATAGACAAGCCAATAATGAAGAGCCAAAGTTAAGGGTCATGACTAAATAAAATTTTAAATTCTGATCTGTGTGGTCCAAGGCCCACACCATCACCACTGTAAACACACTGGCAATAGAAAAACAGGCAATAACTGTAAAAATAGGTATAATATCTATATTCAAAAGATCACAAACACTAAAGCACTAGAAGAAAGCTTCTTCATAAAGCTTTACAACTGTGTTTTGGTTAAAGTAATGGTGTGAATGTAATACAGATATCTAAGAAAGGATGTATCATTCCAGCATATTTGCCAGGAACCCACAACTGGTTGCAGCATTATTTCATATGCACTTGATCACAGAATCATACAATCCCATAACAGCAGTGCTGCATGGGCCAGAGGGTCACCAGGTCCAACCCCCTGTTCAGTGCAGGGTTCCATGTTACCTTGGGCTTCTTGTATAATAGGTATAATGGCTCAAGCAGCTGGCAGCATTCTGTATGTAATAAAACCGCTGCTGGCATTTCTTCAAGTAACAAATGGCATATAGGTGACATACATAAATGGTTGTTTCAACAATCCATATCTGCAGTTGGAGAACTTCAGTGCAAAATCAGTTCACATAAACACATATAAAGGATGGATCCTGCCTCGAGGGTGGATCATCATCCTGCCTCGAGTAGAATAATATGAAACTATTTTGTAGCACATATGGCACAGAAAAGTCACCTGATTCAGCCTGTGTAAAGCAAGGCTAGCTGTTGATTTGCAGACAATATCCAACCATCATCATCAAACCACACACTGAAATCCTGATTTGGCAACCATCAGGACATGGCAGTTTGTTCAGATGGTGCAGGTTTGGGCAGCCCAGCCAACCACAACTTGATTTAACAAACCACGGACGGCATGACGCCTCCATCCTCGATTAGAGAAGATTAGAGAGGAAGAGCTCAGAAACTGGAAGCCAAACGGTGCAGCTACCGAGAGCTCCAAAACACCCCCCCCCAAAAAAAAGAGCACCAACAGGAAGGTATGCAGAGCTTCAGAGTATCAAGTTATCTCGGATATCCCTAATGTATTATAAACCAATTTGGTTCTGTATGAAGAAGCAGTTGGTCTGAATAAAAGTAACAGAATGCATGATGGGGGGGGGGGACTGGGGACAGGTGTGCCAGCCCAGCTTCCCCATTTCTCGCCAGTTCCTCGCCTTCAACAAAGCCCATATGTACAGTGGATACAAAAGCCCCCACTGACCAGATGCCAAAAACCAAACTGCGGGCTGGGGAAGGGAAGGGAAGGGAAGGGAAGGGAAGGGAAGGGAAGGGAAGGGAAGCGACGCGGGCGGGGAAAGGCCACCCTGCCTCCGAATATTTCTTTTACTTTTCACCGCCGCCCCTCCTGCCGACTGTACGCGGAAGAAGAGCGGGGTTGTCACTTACCTCTGGGACGTTGAGGTAGAGGCGAACGGAACGAGCTGCCCGCCCGCAGCACGAGCTGTTTCGGGACGACGGAGAGGCGAGCGCAGAGGCGGGGGCAGGTGCGGGAGAAGCTGCCGCGCAGGGACAAAGTCGCTTTCTCCGCGCGCGCGCGCGCCGCTCAACACAGCGTCAGCGACCCTCGCGTCGGTTCCTCATGACACCCGGCCGGCGCTGAGCAGCCGTGCGAGAGAGGGAGAGAGAGAAAGGAAGCGACTAGAACGCCTCCCTACATCCGGGTATCCCAGAACCCCAAAAGCGGTCCGCGGTCTGAAAAAACGGCTTTCTAGATCGATTTCCGGTTTTTCACTGCAGGTCTTACGTCCGCCATGTGAGGGGACAAGTATAGTTAGGAACTCACCTGAAGCAACAGCCGAAATAAATGTTACATAGGACTCCCCCTTTTGATTGCTGGAGTGCTTTGAAAAGTTATAGCCTCCAAATCTCTCTTTCGTCTTTAAAAAAAACATTTTTAAAAACACATGTTAAATTTATTTCTTGCATTTATTCCACAAAACATTCAAGAAAGTTATACGAAAGCAACGAAGGCTAGGAAAGGAAAATGGGAAGTGGGCCGAGATTTTGGTTTTATTTTTTGATTTGATTTATATCCTGCCTTCCACCAAAGATCGAGAGAGAGAGATTCCCCAGGCGAGCTGAAAGTGTACGTGCGTGTCTGTCTCTTTTGGGAAGGTCCGATTAGGAGAAAAAGAGTGTGGAAAGTCAGGTATATAAATAATTGGATGCAGTCCAGATAAACGCCCTCAAAGCTTTTGCTGGTGATAGTTGCATGCTCAAATATGGAAAGGAAAGTGAAGTCCTCAGTCCATTGGATGGCAGGCGGTGGGGGCTTGTCATTTTAGTGCTGTAATGCAAGTCTCTTGCTGGCCAACATCTCTCTCTCTCTCTCTCTCTCTCTCTCTCTCTCTCTCTCTCTCTCTCACACACACACACACACACACACTTCACAGCATAAGGATTTTAAAAGTCACATGCACACAAATAGTGTCTGTTTGTTTATTTTGAGAGCTGCCTGTTAGCACCACGCTGTCTACCAGTGCAACTAGAATACAAACGTGTTCAAATACTGTTACTGGTTTTATAAACGGCTTTAATTCTTTTGTTGTTGCCTTGCATTATTACATTTATTGTGTTTGTATGTTGCCCTTAACCACCTTGAGCATCATTTGGGAGAACGAAGCAATACTAATTTAACAAATAATATTTTCCAAGAAACGAAAACAAAGGCATTTTTTTCTGATCACCATTAGAGATGTGCCGTTCCCTTTCAAAAAAAATTCAGCAAATGAAGCCTTGCCAACCTCATCATGGGCATAGACTGGGAAAATGGGAGCTGTAGTCCAACACCCATTTGGAGAATGCCGTGCTGAGAAACATTATTTTAACTTCTCTGCTTTCTTCCGGGTCGCGCCCGCCAAGCTTCCAAGCCGTTGTTAGGAAGAATTGCAGAGCTCTGTCTCAACAGCCAGTGAAGTCGCAGGCTCAAAGCAACTTTTTGGGACAAGTAAGAGTCTTTCCGAGAACTGCAAGGAGACGAGTCTCCGCTTTGTTCCAGGATCCTCGGGTCATGTTTACTTCCAACATCTGCCCTCAGCTGGAGGAGTCAAAGTCTGGCATTAGGAATCCAGAAGTATGACAGAGAGGTGCAATATTTTCTTTCTCTTTGCAGCACCACCGTTTCCGCCCGGCCGCCAAAGACCAGCCAGCTGACGTTTGACAGTCATGCCGACGCCTCCCACAGGAAACTTCCCAATTTCGGAAACGGATTTCCGGCCACGAGTATTAAGAGGCAGCTCCCGCGCATGTGTAGCTAGAAGCAGAGTTTGTAACAAAATGTAGTGTGAGTTGGCTCTGCTTAGGTTTCTGCAGCCTCCTCTTTAACAGTATATGCTTTGTGTGTGCTCAGTTTGCACTGAACGCTTTTTGCAACTTTCAGGATTTTCTGAGCCGTCTGTTACTTCTTTTTATGCTTTGATGGTGCCGTTTTGGCTACATAATAACAAGCAAATACGTTTTACTATTACGCTCGGATATAAGACTATGGCCCTCAGTGTTTGCTTCTTCTTGACCAATACACACAAGATTCTCCTGATGTTACAGTGCCCGCTATTGGCAGCCATGGGGCAGGAGACAATCTACTATTAAGAGATTATGGGCCTTTCCTTACAAGGAGAAAACGCCTGGAGTTGGTTACTAGCTCGTTACTAACCCAGGGAACAATCTTGCCGCACAGAAGATAACAAAGAAGGTCATTTAAAAATGACATTTCTAGTTTCTGGCTTGCATAAGCAATCAAAGCTGCAATTTTAGAATGTATTGGAACCTGATCAAATGCAGGACATAACCATGTTCTTAAATGTACAAGGAAGATAGGATTAAAATGGGTCTGGGATGGTCACAATATTAACTTATTATGTCATTACCATTATAGATATATACAACTTTCCGGAACTATAACAACATAACCCTGTTAAGAAAATGTGTGTCTAAAGTTTACTAAGGCTTTCTAAGCTCCTGCTGATGCATCCTGATTTGGTAATCCTGAACAAAAAACTGAATTTAATGCTACTTTGAGCTTTGCTAGCAGAATTTTTGCTTAGTTGGCAAACATATTCTCTTGAAGCTTCACTAATTAAAATTGCACTTCTAACCCAGGCAAGGATCTATGCAAGTTTTCTTGGGAATAAGTGTGAAAGTATGATTTGAAACAAGGGAGTAAAGAGATTTTAAAAAGTAACAAAGAAAATTACTTAGCCCAAAGGAGGGGAGGGGCCAAAATCAGATAGCACGAGGTATGGGGAAACAGGCAAGTAGGCAGGAGGGCCAAATACTTCCTGATTGTTTATTGACAAGCTGGGCAGAACAAAATGAGCCTATTGTAGCCCACTGGGAGCAGGGCTGGATTGGAAAGAAGGGCCAGTGTTGGGGCAGCGTGAAGTAGGCTGGTGGAAAGAGTGTAAACTCTCAGTACCCTATTAGCCAATTAGGGGAAGGGAGGAGGGAACAAGCAGCCGGGAGCAGGGTTCAAAAGGGGTGTGTGAACATGTGCTCAGGTGAACAGAAAAATGGGAAGGAAACCATTCCTTTCTGTTCCCTTCATTGCAATAAAGTTTTTAAAAGAACTCTCTGCATGCCTGGAATATTTTTCTCTTCTGACGGAAAGGAAGGAGTGTTCATAACAGGAATAACTTCCAATGAATTGAGCAGGACTGGTTATTTCTAAGTAAATGTGTACAGTGATGGCTGGATGTACATCTTCTAATTGATGTCCAGTTTGGCGGTTAGATTCAGAAATATGCCCCCTGTATTTTAAAGTGCATAGAATTACTGCCTTTATTTATTTGTTTCATGTCTATAACCAGTCCATATCTGAAGTTCTCAGGGCAGTATATTTATGTCCCTCTTTTTTCCTTTTAAGAAACTCAAGGCATCTTACATAATTCTCCTTCTTTCAACCTTTTCTTCAAACAACTGTAAGTCTTGCTGAGAGACTGTCACCAGCTGAAAGTCAGCCATTGAGTTCCATGACTGAGCAGGGACTAGCACCTAAATCTCCTGAGTCCCAGTCCTTTGCTCTTAACCATTGACCACAATGGATTTCTCAAATATCTAAAAATTTAGCAGCGTGACTTTCTTTCAGAAAACCCTTTATCAAAGCCTTTTAAGCAGGTATCATGTCAAATTCATCAAATTAACAAGGCAGTTGCCAGGCTTTCTTTTGAATGTTTTCTTTTTAGGGAGACAGTGTATGGCCTGACTAAGTGGAAACCACTAATAGCTGAAGGCCTTATTATTATGATGGTCTTGATAGCAAGTTTTTTTATAATTCATTTTAGATAACGTATAATCCTGTTTGATCTTGTGATCTTGTATGTCTTTGCCTAACTCTTCATCCCACAAAATAGAACATGTAGTTCAGTTGTAACTATTTAAACAGGATGATCCTGACTGGAAGCATATCTCTGTAAGAAGAGATTTAAAGAACTGGGCATTTTTAGCTTTGAGAAGATTGAGGGAAGATATGAAAGCACTCTACAAGTACTTGAAAGGTTGTCACAAAGAGGGAGGCCAGGATCTCATTCATTCCAGAGTGCAGGACACGGAATAATGGACTCAAGTTACAAGAAACCAGATTTTGTCTAGATAACAGGAAAAATTTCATGACTTTTAGAGTAATATGATAATGGAACCAATTATCCCAGGAGGTTGTGGGTTCTCCCACGCTAGAGGCATTCAAAATGGACAGCTATCTGAGAGGGATGGTTTAACTTGGAGTCCTGCGCTGAGCAGGGAGTTGGGCCTGATGTCCCTCTGTCCCCCTCCAACTCTGCTATGATTCTAAGTGGTCAATTGCTCTTAAGCTGCAACACAGGATCAAGCTGACCAACATCTTTCTGACATATGTGTCTTATGTAGATATATATGAATGACTGGAAGGGTTTGGGAAAAGTTCTTTCTGCATCCATCTCCCCCCCACCCCCGATTTTCTCCAAGAAAACAAACTTCTTTGGATCATAAAGCATTTTCCTATAGAAACCAATATGTTGTACAACAATGTAACTTAGAAGTATAGAAGCGTATTCAGTTAGTTGTGGTCTTGAGAGCTGAAACAAGTCCACTCCCTAAACACTTTAATTAGAGCTGAAGCAAGTGAACTCCCCAAATACCTCTCTGAAGTTACAAATGTGTCGGGCAAGGCCAGGCAGAAAAAGCAGCGCTGTTAGACAATGAATAGATAGAACACGCAAGTAAATGATAGAATGTTGAGCTTGCTGATTGGTTGTTTAGATTGTACACCCCTGGGGGGGGGGGACAAAGAAATTTAACAGACTGTAATTGGAAGGGCGGGTGAAGCTCCCTTTGGCATGAACTAAAGCTGCAGCTGGTTTTTCAATAAAAAACCTCTTGACTCTGTATCAGCCTTCTGTATCAGCAATGCAACCTTTTAAAGTGCTGCAGCTGAGATAAACCCCCTCCATCTAAACAAACACTGTTGACACCACCACTAGAGACAACCTTTCTGAATGAATGAATGAAAAATAAGATGTTCATTAAAAGAAATTATTTACTAATGTGAATAAAACACCACTTTTCAATGTTAGGTTATAAGTGCTTAAAGGTTCTTAATGTGGAGACTTTTAGTTCTGAAGCTGATTTTTTTTGCAGTTTTTTAAAAAATGTCAGTAGCTTTTCTATCAGAACTATTCCTAAGCAATCTTTCAAAAACAGGAACCAGTTTAAGACTTTCTCTAAACTTCCTTACAAACAGAACGTGTCTTCCTCTGCCTATAATTCTTCATGCTCCTAGAATGATTCAGATGTGTTTTAGGGACTGCTTGGAAGTGCCTTCTGGTCAAACATAAAATAGGAACCTAAAATGTTCCAGAATAGCTAATTTGCTCTGGGAACAATGGTAGGATTTTTGTTTCTTTTGTCGCCACTTCATTTCTCAAAATTTTACATCTTTAATCCAAAGCAGTCAAAACAGTGATTCCACATTAGTCTTATAGCAATGAAGGTTTTCAGATACATTTTCATTATGGTAGAAATGCTATGTAAATTTGACATTTAACATATTTCTCTGTTAGATTTGCTGGTGATATTCCAGAATGAACAGCAGATGAGAGGAGAAAAGCTTCAACTAGTTCATGAAATAACCCTTTTTAGTTCAGTAATTTGTTTATTTTACTAAACAAAGTTAATGAAATTGTGTGTGTCATGACAATTGCTATCACCAAAGGTATCTAAAGGCATTGTGTGGGCAATTTCCAAAATGAGAGCTTTAAAAGTACAAGAAGCTTTCCTGAAAGATATGCCAAATGCATTGGTGTCTGATTGGTTGCCTGTACTTATTCAAAAGGGACAAATCATTCCCAGATATTACATCACTAAACTGAAAACAGGGCTAAGGATAAGGCTTGTGGATATTAAGAATACATTCCAGGGCATAGCCTGGGTCACGATAAACTCAGAAAGCATTTTAAATAATATGATGTGCTGCAATACAAAGTGGGGTGGGAGAGCAGGGAAAAGAAAAAGGAAAGGCCATTTAATAGTTCCATTTTATTTCTTGATTGCCATGCAGGTGAAAAGACCAGCTAATGTGTGCAATCCCATGCATGGTTAAAAAAGTCCTACATCTTCCAGCAACTGTATCCTAGCATACTATAAGGATTCGTTAAAAGCTTTTTGAAAATATTTTTCAAGTTGCATCTTTCTGAGGTTATTGAAAACATTTCATAGTTCCATTCCCTGTTGGATGAGGGAATCAAGGTAGAAAAAAACAAAAACCCTGCTGTTGTGTTTACCCTGGAGCAATTCCACTTTCTCCTGACTTCCTTTCTCCTGTTGATTGCAATCTAATGAGAAGTTCAGCTTTCCTCATAGGAAACATATTTTATATACAAACATTGCACAAACAACACAAAATGTTACTTGTAAGACATTTATTTAAAAATGTAATTTATTTCCATTCTGAGCTTTAACATAAAACATCTGGTACAAATATAAATGTTACAAGTTAACAGTGTTTAAAAAGTAAGACATATATGGCATCAGCATACAGGAGAAATCTGTAAATATAATCCCCACAGTGTATAACAAATGAAAAAATCAGTATTCTTGTATTAGCTGTATCTAAAGATGGCTTTTTGAACTGCTATTTTAAGTTTTGAAAATGTCTTTCTATAGCATTTTCTCTTTCAGTGCATGTAGAAGGAAACCTACCTATTTATTACACAGAATGTGTTTTGAATATTAGCCACATGAGAACAAGTAATCAAATGCAAGATTCCATAATGTGAATCATCTAAAATTAAAACCTGAGTATTACCTGTTAATGGTTTTGGTTAAGTGCAATTTTATGAGTGCAGAGTGCTTTTTAGGTCATTCTTAAAAGGGATATTTAAATAAATATATAAAATTAATAATATTGCAAAATATCTAGGCAAAACTATCCTTTTTCTCCTAGTAATGGTTTTCATTCATTTGCTGGCTTATTTGCTAAAGCATGTGCATTAAGCTTAATTACCCTGATAATATGTCACTGTGCTGCAATTATGGTTCTGATAAATTGCTATATATTAATGATTTTGCTTCCATGCTCAAACACAGCTTGAACAAATTGCTTGAAGACTCTGTCCATATATGTGCATTTTCTTGGCCATAGTCCTTCCAGAAAACCAATATGACCTCCATATGAAGTGAGGATCAAAGCTACATTTGGATTTTGTTTTGCCATTTCTACTGGTATGGCTAAAGAAAACAAAAGAGAAAAAAGTACAAGTTACCATTCCAACATTTGCTCCTCAAAAATGTCAAGCAAACATTATATACTAGTGGATAGGTTGGGTTACATACAATCTGGTGTTTGTTCAATCTTGTTTAATGAAGATCAAGCTTGGGAATATGATCCATAATGTAGACAAGATGAAGCATGTATACCCTTTCAAATGACAGGATTGATACTCTGCTAATGGCCTTCTTTTAATTTTTACATAATTTCACATTTAAGTAGAGTCAGAAATATTTATATAAGAATAGAAACTTTGAATTGTGAAATGTGTCTTTTATGTAGGATTACCCGTTTGATAACATGTATACTTTTGGGAAAAAATGCTTGATATCAGCCCAGGCTGCACTGTCACTATAGCTTAAACAAGTGGTAAATTTAAACTTTGGTGCATGAAAGTGCAAGGTGGGTGCATTTGCTTAATTAGCTACTGAGACACAGCATGTTAAATTCTAGTGCCATGGCTAGTTTGAGGTGGAAACAACTCTCAAATAATCCCATAACAGGCTACAAGTTATTTCAAGGTTGCTTTCCCCTCAAACAAGCCATGCTGCCCAGGTTTGGATAGCCCAACCAACCACACCCAGGCAGCTGATTATGCGAATGGCTACTGGAATGTGCTGCAGCTTCAACAAACCACTCTGGCCTCTGTAAGTCTAAGAGATCATCAGAACTGAACCACTGTGTGATGAAACCTTTTACACCACTGCCCACCTCTGTACGTTCTGGTTCATAGATTCATAGAACAGTACAGTCAGGACTATACAAAGTTATCTCTAAGGTCTACTAAGACCAGCATCTCAACAGAAAAAAAGATGAACTTACCATGATTTGGTGAGAAGACATCATCCAGAGAATTTAAGCACAAAACTGGAATGCCAATTCTCTTCAGCCTATGACATGGACTAGCATCTGCATAGTAATCATCGATTGTAGAATAGCCAAACATGACCGAGGTGAACTGTTTGTCAAATTCCCTAATGGTCTTAGCCTGAAGTACAGAATTCAAGTTAAGGTCTTCTGTAAGTACAGTATTAGTAAAATTAATGTATGAAAAAAACAAATTGTTACTCCTCATACCTTCATGACAAGGTTCATATTAACTAGCTTATCAAACATTTTTTGATGTCTGTAAAAGAAAGAGATGGAAAACTGGATCAAAAGTCTTCAGAAACATATGCAAAAGCATAATGTCATGGCTAATCAGCAGTTTTATAAACTTATGCCCACTTTATATGGCAACCTGGAATTATAGTACATTGACTATTACATTAGTAATCATGTGAGCAAAGCTAATAAAAAGGGAGGGGTTCATTTATGAGGTAAAATACAGTCTGAATAAATTTATATATAGCTGCATGTTATTCATACATATTCATGAAAAGTGCAGTAAAAATACAGTTGCAATCAAAGTCAACCCGCGGAAAGATTAAAGTGCTTTACATTCATAGTTGCTGTATTTACTACTGAAACCTTTTTGGTTTTTTGGTACTCAACAATATTATTCCTACAGATATAATACTGCGAAATATTCATGGAGGTTAAGGTTCCTTCCATTGGTAAACAGGTGCCATTTCTGCTGCCAAAAAGGCTGTTAAGAAGGAGAAATTAAGTTCTTGAGAATAAGCCACTTCCCCTTGGGTTCCTTTCAATGGGGAAAGGGAACTCGACCCTAAAGTAATCTCTAATTTTGGTACTTTAGCCAGGGATAGTGACAGATGGCAACTTGTTTAAGGCTATCTAGGGAATTCATTTCAGAGCTGAGATTTGAATCAAACATTCCTGGTTACTCATGCATTTAACCACATCAAGCCACATATTTTTTTAAAAAAAATTGCTTTGTTTTTGGAATCCTTTGGTGTTCAAATTCATACATTTTATCCAGAATGAAAAAAGTGCATTACACCAGGAGATAGATTCTATAGACAGTACTTTCACAGGAACTTTACAAATGCTATTCAAAATTTAATATTTATGCATTTAAAGTACTGCTAGCCTTCCTTTTTGAATATAAGCAATATAGGCAGACTTCCAGCAGTTCCTTTTAAATACATAAAACATAATAATAATATTAATAACTAGTAAGGATCAACACTATTAATAAAAGCAACAACATATAGCTCATTAAAATAATAAAATATAATAGATAGTATCTGCACAGTACAAAGCTTTTTCCTTTGTGGCACCCAACCTAATTGTTTTCATACATAGGTGGGCAAGCAGTGATCTAAGGTTGAAGCATACTGATGTGGGTGAAGGTTGTCCCTCAGATAACAATCATTATGCCTCAGAATGGACCTGGATTTCAAAATAGATCTGAGGTTGACTCACCTAGTAACTGAAGACCGTAGACAGGTAGTTAAATAGTAATTAAAAAGGAGCCAGTTCACAGGTTTTTCCAGAGAGTCTGCAGATTCAAAAGCATTCCATCCTGCTGAAAAAATTGCAGCTGCTTTTAGAGGAGTTTCTCTGCCAATTTTGCCCAGGTAGTTTAGCAGAAGCATGCTACAGAGGGGGAAGAGAGAGAGAGAGAGATTTAAAATAATCGGTCACAATACCTAGCACTCATAGATCCTCAACACTCTGGCATATCATTCCTAAATATCTGTACTAGTAGTTATGCTTATGACAATTCAGGGCACTGGATTCAGTGTCAAGTCATGTTGGTGGCACTGCAGACCCAGACTTTTCTGTCTTGTTGCATCTTATGATGAAGATGATAGTGCAACCAACTAAACTAAAAAAAATGCATTAATTCATTAACCTGGAACCAGAAATAACTTATACAAGTAGAAGTCCTTCCACTTGTGCAAGAAGAAGTGCAATTTCCATCTTTGTCATTCCGAAGTCTGCCACATCATATTCCACAATATTGCCAAGGATCTCCAACCCTTGGAATCCGTTTTTCAAAGGAGGTCAGAACCACAGTGCAAAGGAAAATTCAGAAAAGCCCATTCCACAAGCAGAATACGGGTCATGTGTCTCTGAAACCAATCTATCATCTATGCTTTGACTAGTTGCATCCTGTCATTTTTCTCCTGCAGTGTCAGCAATGCTACTACCCTTCAATTTCCATGGGGTCATTTCACACATCTTATTTTTAGATATCTATTTTGGAAAAGTAAACT